AACAAAAAAACTCTTCAGCCATGGCCATTATGGGAAGATGGATCGAGATAAAATCTAACGCGTTTTCTTTGGTTTACAGCATTATTATCTTTTACTTTGTCTCTGGCAACCCTTTTTTCTTTCTTTTTCTTATCTATGTTTGTATCAGAAATGAATAATAATATAGGACTGTTACCAGTACTACAAAAGTTTCTCTCTCAGACTGTGAAAATACTATAAAGTAAGCTAAGGAGTCAACCATGGGAGCAAACACAGGGCTCGAGAATGACAGACACGAGAGAGAGAGAGAGATACACAATTATTGGGACTCGCACAATCATTCACTTCTCTTTCTCTCACTCTCTTTTTTTTTTCCCTCGCCCGAACCTGAAACTTAAAAAAAAAGTAAAAATAAAAAATAAAATCTTCTCAATTCATCCCTTTTAACATTATTATTACATCTTAGCTGCTTAAAACCGCGTGGCTGTGGCTGCCAGGGAAGTGAAGCTTCATCTTCTCAGGTTTTTGCTGCACAACAAGTCCTGTCAGATGTCTTTCTTGTGTAAAAAACAATTTCTTTATTTTTTTTTCAAATTATAAATAAATTGAATTTGTTTAAATCTCACCGCTGCTAGTTGCCGCTGCTGCCAAGAAAATAAAAGAATTGTTTCCTTCGTTGGTTTGCTTTCCTGCTTTTGTATTTCAGTGCATTCGTTGACATTGCTGCAATCTTGCACAACAAAATTTTCTTGCGTGCCAGTGCCTGCCGGTTCTTTATTGAAATAAACGATGCTATATATTCAATTAAAAATATAAATTGAGCTAATAATATCAAATATTACTTTTTTATGAAAAAAAGTTACAGTTTAATAATAAAAAATATAAATATTATGATTTGAATTGAAAATCTTTATCATCTTTTAAAATATATGAATCAATTAAATTTAGTTTTAAATTTAAATTTTCATGCATGCCATTGCCTGACAGTTTTGTGTTGATTAAGAGGCATGTTCATAACTTGTAAGATTAATTAAATTTTTATTTTTAAAAAATCATTTTTAATGTTTTTCTTGTCAAATTAAAAATTAAAAATATTAATTATTATAATATTTTTATAAATATCACCTTAATTTTTATAAGCATTTTCAACTTTATAACATGCCAAAAACTTTATCCCTAAAGTCCCCTACCTCTTGTCACTTAATTTCCTCTTTAATTCAACTTGGATTTTTATGCAAGTGGAAAGTTTATTCTAATCAAACTTCAAACTAATTAAAATGCTATCTTTACAGGATAATACTTACATGAAATTATATAAGTAGAGTTTACAAAGTTTCTTATTAAAAATAAATAAATAAAAACTTTGATAAAAAATTCATAAATTGATAAAATTTAATGTAAATATCAATAATATGTAAAAAAATTATTTAAAAAATTATTTATAATTCAAATTTGATCGATATTTATTTAATGATAAAAATTTTATCATTTTTTTTGCTAAAAATATTTATTTAATAAACATATCAATTTTTTTTTTTTATTTTACACGTTTGTTCTATGTAATAAGATCTTTTAATTTATCAATTTTAATTTTTATTTACTCATTTTTAATAAAAAACTTTACAAACTCTACCAATAAAACTTCATATAATTTTTTTTCCATCTTTACATATGATTGAAGTTAAGTCAACTGAATCCGAAAGGAAATTTGTAAGTTTTTATGGAAAGGGAATTGCAAAAACAATGAAAACACCTTCATGGATTATATCATATCAGCTCTAAAGTTCTTCATACCAGATGAATTTGCCTTGAATTAATGGAAAACAAGGAAATTAAAGCTATGTATCATGTTGACTTTAAGCATCTCATTTAATGTTATTTAATTAATGATCTTTTTTGTTTGAAAATAACCTCGATTAATTACTTAATATAAAAGTTAACGAATCCAGCTACTTTTTTTTATTAGACGGTTCAACATTGATTAAAGTATTTCACTCAAATGATGCATTTATATATTTATATTTTATTATGAGAAATTAAGAGAAAAGTATTAAAATTTTGATAATTTGTATTTTATATGAGTATATGAAATGTGTGTATTATATGAATGTACATATTAATTTTTTTCTTTTTTTTTACTACTTTTTATTTTATGTGAAAGTAGATTAATTAGAGTTCATCGTTCCTTTAAAGCAAATTTTAAAGATATCGTTAGATCCATTATCCAAATCTTTTTTTTACATTCAACATCGGTTTCTATGTTTCAAATGCTTAAACTTTGCCATTAGAAAAGAAACAAATAATTAAACATTTAATTTAATAATAAATGTATACGTAATTCTATTTAAAAAGAAAGTTCGAATCACGTTATAAATAAGAAAAATATGCCTAATTGATACTCATACCAATCATCATTTCATGTGGGAAATGCCTTGACTATTTTTCACATAATTAACAGATTAATTAAATCTTCTTGATATTTAAAATAATTTATTACCCTTAATTGGGTTCTTAGTTTTAAAATTTACAAACCCTTTAGCTAGCTGTAATTGTGAAAAGTTGACAAGGACAGCATAAGCTTGGAGTTTCCTTATCATTTAAAAATAGGGTCTTTTTTTTTTTTTTTGGTAATTTGATGATCCATGCTTTTGACATTGGCCAATTTGGCAGGCACTACAACAGTAGTTGAGCCTTGATCTTTCTTGTCAAATTTTGCTTTATTATTACCGGTAAATGGTTTACAATTGGCCAAAAACAATGGCAAATAGGGTTCGCCCTGTTCTCCCAAAGCATGGTACCCCCTTCATTTTTCAAGCAGAGACCCTCTTTCAAATACTAGTTTATAACATAGTGAAACAAAAGAAGCATATTCAATTAATGCAGGGCTAGCTGATGGGACAAATATGGTTTTGAAAATAAACTTGAAAAAGGGGAAACATGGGCCAATCTCCAATGTGACAGATGAACCATGCATGCAAGCTTCAAAAATTTCAGTCTGAGGATGTGAATCAGTTTCAGGTAATAAACCAAAGTTCATGTACATGAAACAGACTAATGTGACATGATCTTCAGCCATGGTCATGACATGGCCTTTTGAATTTGAATCGATTAGCTTAGCCAGCTGCCGGCAAGGTCACCATCGTCTTCCCATGCACATTTAATATTGACACTTCTGTCATTTACACTTTGCATGCGCTTGGAAACTCTTCATTAAGCCGTAAATGAGCATTAATTAATTGCTTTGGATCGAGGTTTTATCTTTACCAACTACCAAGTAATGGATTGATTCAATCTTCTAATACATTCCTCTCGATAATAACAGATTTTAAAATCGTTCTCAATAATAAAATAATTTAATCGATTAATTTATTTATCTTGATAATAAAAATTTTAAATTTAAATATCGATCAATTGGTAATAAAAATTTTAAATTTAAATACTGATGATTAAATATAAGATCCTAACAAAATGAAAGTTGGAACAAAGTCTTCGTTCCATTATTTTTTCACCAAAAAAAGGAAGTTAATTTATGTTTATAATTCTTTTTTACTTCTTTTTTCTAATCATAATACTTTATTGTTACTAATTCATCTTAATAATAAAGTATTAAGATTAAAAAAATAAAATTTACTAAGGAGTATCTTTAAGACACATTTTAAATTTAGTTAAATTATTATTTATAATAATATTTTTATATTAAATGTAATAATTAATAGTTAATTTGTTGAATTTTAATACATTAAAATTATAATTTATTTAATATGATAACCTTAAAAAATGTTCTTAAATTAACTTTAAAAAGAATTAATAAGACACTAGTTAACAAAATCCTTAAAAGAATATTTTTTTAATAAAAAATGGGTATGTGTTCAAGCATTTAGGATATTCCACATCAGCAATGACATGGATCCCACTGATGACGTGGATAAATTATCTTTTGCCCCAAAATAATTGCCAGTGGCCACCACGCCCTAATAACAAAGTCCCACCAAAATTATTATTATTTTTGGATTTATTTTCATTTATAGTAAGTAATGCTCCTCATTTTAGAAAAATCAAAATTGTACGGACATAAATCCTGTCTAGTGGCCTCATGCGCCGGTCCCTTAACCATATTAGACATATTATTCCACTTTTTTTTTTTTAAATTTAAAATTTTAATTATTTTTTTATTAATATTATCATTATTATAATAATAAGTATTATAGCACAACTGTTTTAAATTACATATATGCCCTCAACAGTTTTAGTCAACCCCCTCCCCCCCTACCTAGCAAATAGCAAATGCACATCATTTAGGAAAATTAAAAGGGGTGCCCATTAATTTCAAAAAAACTTTGATTAATTAGTATTTAATTTAAAAAAAGAGTTTATTTTTAATACATTGATAATGTAATTTTTTAAGTTTACGAGTAAATTAAAAATCTATGATATATTTTTATTTTTTTAATTTTATTAATATTTTATAAGAATATGAATAATTTTACGGATCTTGATAATTAAATTTAAAAAATTTTATTACTAATGAATGCGATAATTTTAAGTAAAAAGGTAAAATGAAAAGGAAAAAGCAGGGTGGCGCTGTGTTACCTGTAATCAAGCACCAAAATTTTACACCCGACTGACATGATTAATTTTTTTAGGAATTGGATAAAACACTGACTGCCATCTTTTTCACAGCTCAAATCTCTCGATCTTAATAAACTAATCTCAAATTTAATTAATATTTTTAATATTAAAAAATGTTTATTTAATATATTATTAATGTATAAATTTTTTATATTATTAATAAATCAAATAATATTATTTTATTAAGAAATAAATATTAATTTTTCAAATAAATATATAAAAATTTAATTTTTTAAAAATTTATTCATTAATAATATATTATTATTTAATTTATCTCATTAATCAAATATTTATCGATTAACTTACGGTATGTCCAATATAAATTATAAAAATAATATGATTTTTCAAAATAAAAATGATAATTTACGAATATGCCCTTAGTCAGACAGATGTCCGAAAAACAGTGGACGGGAATTTGCTTTACAGCTGCAATTTATGCACGTAATAATAATAATTTAAGCAAAAGCTGAGAGAATACAAGAAGGGTAAGTATTTTTGTTAATTGAAAAAAAAAAAGAAAAGTAGCGACTTTTACGGGAAAAGGCTGGTGGGAAGACACGTGGCGATGGTTTGACCGTTCGATGAGAATGAGGAGGATGGCAGAAAGCGGTTGATCTTTGGATTTTGAGATGACATCCCCTAGGCAACGAAGGGAACAGTTTATAGTGAAATGAAAGTGAAAGAGAAAGAGATCATCTGTTTATTTACTTGAAACTAATGTTTATTTCTTTTCGCTTTATGGGTTTTGGTTTGTTCATCAGATAGAGAAGAAAGAGAAGGCAGCTTCGTTAACCTGCAAGAAATCAGAGAAAGAGAGATGGGTTATGGTAAGACTTAAATTGGGTTAGCAGAAAAGAGGGAAGAAAGGCATGGCGGCGTTGGCAGAAAAAGAGAGCTGTAATTCTCGTGTTGTGTCTTAAATGCCTTTTGCAATAACAAGATAAACAAGTAATTACCTAGCTGCAGCAGCAAAACGTAATTGCCAAGGAAAGGAAAGAAGAGTGAAGAGAGATTATACAAGTTAATTGGAGCCCTTTCCTCCAACAGAACTGACGTGTGTCCTCTTTTCTTAATCCAAACCAGCTTTTTCTTCCAATTAGGGGCAGCAAACGAGCAAAAATAACAACACAAAAATACCTAATCAACAATAGCTACTCACTTTCAGTTCTTGTTTTGTTATTTGTTATTTTTTTTTTATGGGTTTAAGATTGTTAGATAGCTCATAGCAGCATAGGATTGAAAGGAATTGAAAAGAGTACCCATTTGAAAAAAATTGGGTTCTAAATAAACAAGAGAGACGGAGTTTCTGATATGGATTGTCAGTTACGATTGAGGTCTGGGAGAGGTTTAAAGGAGGAAAAATGGCTGGGTTTTTCTCACTAGGAGGAAGAGGAAGCAACAGCCAAGACGATCAACAAAATAATCCACCAACAGAAATCCCACCTGAGAGCTGGTTTTGGTACAAAAATGATGACATTTCTTACAAGGGTTTGGAACTATGGCAACAACAACAACAACTTTTCCAACACCACAACAGCAGCAGCAGCAACAACCCGCATGACCAACAACAGCAAGACCTTTATTCATCGGCAGCTGGGTTAGGTGTTGGACTTGGACCTAGCAGGAGCTCAATCAACTTCTCTGATGATTCTTCCTCGAGATCGGCTTTCATGTTGATGAGAAATAGTGGTGGAGGAGGAGGAGGCATGAGTTGCCAAGATTGTGGCAATCAAGCTAAAAAAGATTGCATTCACATGCGGTGTAGAACTTGTTGTAAGAGCCGAGGATTTGATTGTCAAACCCATGTTAGAAGTACTTGGGTTCCTGCTTCCAAGCGCCGTGAAAGGCAACAACAACTTGTTGCTTTGCAGCAACAACAGCAACAGCAACTTCAGGTTCGTGGAGAGAATCCCAAAAGACAGCGAGAGAATCCAACCTCTTCTTCTCTTGCCTGCACTCGTTTACCCACAACCGCGTCAGGTACAGTTTTTTTTTTTTTTTATTTGACTTTGTTTTTCTTTTAATAATTATATACTTATACTATATGTTCTCAGTGAAACACTCGCAGTCTCAAAGATGACTCTTCTTTGTAAGAAATTTTTTCTAGAAAGAGATAAGAAACTTTGTGTCCAGGAAAAAAAAAATGAAAATAAATAAAATATAAATGAAAAAAGTTAAAGAAAGCGCATATATCAATTGCGTGTAACGAAATCGACCTCCATTGTAAACCGCCCATCAGCTTCTCTTTTCATCATTTCTTTTTACAAATACTGTTATTTAGTAGTCCTGACGAGTGTTTTGGAAGGGAAGAAACTATTTTTTTGCCCTTTTTCTCTCTGTCTCCCCCGTGTTGATATTCCTGTATAACCATGTTTTGCTGACTTTGCTTGCATTTCTGTCCCTTGTCCCAATTTCTTCATTTCAATGCTAATCAAGGTTACCAAAAAAACAAAACCCATTTTTTTTTCACTTATCCAATCTAATAAAGGATTGCGATTTCATAGTTGTTGTTGTTTTTATGTTTTAGGGTTAGAACTGGGGAACTTTCCGGCGGAAGTGAACTCTCAAGCGATGTTCCGGTGCGTGAGAGTGAGTAGCATTGAAGATGCTGACGATCAGTACGCTTACCAGACGGCTCTGAACATTGGAGGGCATGTTTTCAAGGGAATTCTTTACGATCAAGGCCCTGAAAGTGGCTACAACATGGCAGTAGCAGCTGGTGAGAGTTCTTCTGGTGGGGTTCAACCACTTGATCTTATCGCCGCCGGCCCCATCGCCGCCACCACCGACATGGCTACCATTGAAGCTAACGCCAGTGGCGGTACTGCAACAGCTGCTTCTTCTTCATCAACCGCCGCATTTTTAGACCCTTCCTCTCTATTTGCAACTCCACTCAACAGATTCATGGCTGGTACGCAGTTTTTCCCAAATCCAAGATCTTGAAAACACACCTACGTCTCTTCTTTTTTCCTTGTTTCTAGCTTTGTTTCTCTAATCTTGTCAACCTTCTTGTCATTTGATGATAATGAAGTACTACAACATTTGATACCCACCATTGAAGTAGGGAGTTGTTAAAATGGTTTAAAGAAAATTAACAGATAGAGAGAGGCAAATGTGGGGAATTTTTTTTTGTGTGCAAATTTGAATGCTTTGTTTCAAACCATCAATCTAAATTCTTCTTCTTCTTCAACTTCTACATATATATTCTCTGTTGAATGAAATCTAAAGCTGTTTTTGTACGAAATGTGCACAGCATGTAGCGTAGGCGAGTGAGTGTTTCTTTGTTAGAGAAATATTTATTACTCTACACTATAGTATTGTTATGTTTGCGAGAGTGTGGGGTTCTATTTTTTGGTTGAATTCCCAAATTTCCTTTACGCTTTCTGGTTGGTTTTCAACTTGGGGGAAGCCTGCTTTTTCCCTGTTTACCCGTATGTTTGCCGGTTTCAAAAGGGGGACGAATATTGGTTTCTTCTTTGGATGGACAAACTACAATGATCACATCTTTTTTCCTATCAGAGTATGGCCGTTCCTGCCATGCATGAATGAGAGAAGCATAGCTAGCATTCAAGTTCAAAAGTTGATACATAAAAATCCTCTCTCTCTCTCTATAGATTTTCATATGTCATTATCATTACCATTTTATTCATCAGAATAGACATGCATAGCATGGATGTCACTTAATTTGTTGATAAAATGGGAAATATTTCTTATCATCTGCTCTTTGTTTAATGCTTTCCTGCAACGAACCATAAAAATAGGTGCTTGCATACGTTACAATGATTATTCAATCTCTGCATCATTCTTATTAGTAAGACTGTTTGTTTCTAATGGAAGGTCAGGAAAATTGGAAATATGATTAAACTAAATAGAAAAATTGAGAAGCTAATCCTTAATCTAGCAACCTTTTCTTCGGGCCTATACTGTTTTCTTCTCATTTCCCTATGAGAGAAAAAGAAAAAATATAGACATATATTTATTTGTCTTTTTTGGCAAGGTTTTTTTTTTTTTGTTCTTACATGCTTTGTAGGAGATGTTTATATAGCATGTTTCAATTAATGCTACAACATAATGCCAGCTGCTATCTACTACTCTCTTTGTTTCGTCACTAATTAGAAATTACTCAAGGTCTGACAGAATGCACCCTTTAACTATTACTATATTCTAACTAATTTGGATTAAAACCATAAAACTTAATATATATATATATATATATATATTTGAAGCTATCGGTATTTGAATATATCTTGTTAATAGTAATTAGAAGTCTAACATTTTATCAACAGATCATGTTACAGTTGACATAAACTAGAAATAAACTAGAAGTTTAAGTCTTAACTATAGTTTTAACTTAATTACAATTCATTTATAAAGCAGAAGCTGCTAAACCTTGCTTTTCCCCTTTTTATGGTAATTGTTTTCTTATAACAAATATATAGTGTGGTGGAGACTTCTTGACATAAATTGCTCAGTTTTTTAATAAGGGAAACCCACAAAATATATATGCTTGCTTTCTACCTACAGAGAATTCCACTCTAAGCACATCAAACAATCATACTGCTGCCTAAAACTGCCATGGTTAGGATCTTAGTAGTTGTTAGGACAAAGACTAGGGTGTTTAATAACTCAAAAAAAAAGCTGCTTGCATCAAATATTAGTTAACTACAGAATTAAATCAATAGAAGGATTTTGTTCGGTTTCAGTTTTTATTTTATTGTAATACTATTGTTGCTAGCGGTCTAAGTATGCTCAGCAAGAGTACCATGTCTTCTTGATTTGATTCCCAGCTAAAAGTGTTTAACTTTTTAAAATCAATAATGATAATAACAGTAGCAATTATTACATTATTTTTTTTTGATAAAGTAGGAAAAACAAAATTGACCTTTGATTAGGACCTTCAATGAAGAGAGGTTGCTCACCTCCAAAACAAGTCAGCATTAAAAAAAACATAATTGGCTAACTCACCCTTGTACAATCTCACATAAACCGAAATTTAGTTGAAACTAGAAAAAACAAGTATAGTGTTATGAAATTGGAAATTGTTCAATCAGATTCATTCATCATGCTCATCTATTAATTTGATCTTGGTACTAGCCTATGCTAAACATGTTTATGTTGATCATATCTCTAATTTGTTAGAGGTGAAATATTTTCTCCGACAACTACTTTATTTCAGTGTTTTTTATAAGTCAGGAGTGGATTTTCTGAACATAATATAAAGTTGAATTAAGAGCTAGCTAGCATAAAAAATATAAATAAAACTGAAGCATAGGATCGAATTATCGAGCTATACAATTGTGGCGTTTAAAATTGGAAAAATTACATTGTTCTTTCACATTTAGGAATTTTAGCTTTTAAGTCAGGTGCATTTGCAAGTATTATGTATGTCATTGCATGAAATATAGATGGAAAAACCAGGCTTCTGCTCGTGGATATTTAGTTTTAGTTGACACTGATAAAAGAACTTAAGTTTCTATTTGAATCTCAGGCACATTGTTTTAAATTTGAATAAATTCATTTAGTTAGGGACAAATATTTAAAGATTAAGATTGAAACATGCATAAAAATTCAATCCAATACGAAGTGCTCAAAACATTATTTTAGATCAACATTTTCCTAAAGTATGGCATTTACTAGGAAGTACTGTTTCTTTCTATTCCCTGATGACTTTATGTTTTTATCCATGTATATGCTTGAGGGGTGCAAAAAATTGGGTCAATAGCGAATCTAAAGAAAACTCTACTTGGAAATACTCTGACAAATCCCATTACTTATAAGAACATTTACTATTGATAGGGATAAGATATTTGGTATCATATTGTTTTAAGAAGTTGTACTGGTCTTTTTTTTTTCCTCAATCTAGTTATTGGCTATGCCTGTATAACATACAGACTCACTATTTTTAATGATAAAGAACTCATTTAGTTGATCTGAGCAGTTCAGTTCCAAGACTTTTGCATTGTGACATGATTTAACAGTATGCTTGATAGCATCGATGTTGCTGGAAAAATTTTAGTTATATGTATATTGTGTATGTATGCTTTTAACGCATCAATATACAATTGTTTTCAAATATGCATTTTGTATTGACATGAATAGTCATACTACACGTGAAGTTCTTGTAATTAGCAGGAATTTGGCGGTATTAGTTGTCTAGGTAGCATGCAAGCCCAATAAATGGCTTTTGAGTGACCACTATCTCATCTTTTAGCTTTAGGGTCATGAAGGGACTAAATTTAATATACTGTATATAACAGATGGAACAAGGGGGCTACAACATTAAAATATTATCAAGAAAGAATTCAATCATGTCATCTTTTTCATTTGTGTTTATAAGAGAAATAAATACTAAAAGATGAATTGGAAATGTCTCTCTTTTGAGATTAGGAATAAACAGAATTCTTTTTCATATAATGGTTTTCCTCTCTAAGGTTGAAGGGAACTACATTTATATCACCACTTTTCATGATTCTCAGTGTCAAATCAAAACCACATTCCATAACATGAATCTTCTTCTTTTTTGGTGACTTAGTTGATATTTGAATGTTGCAATAGTAGCCTATCGAAGAAATGCTTTAAATCTTAATATTTTCAAAGGCAGGTAGTCTTTGATTCTCTGTGGCATAAAAATTTTTTCATCAGAGCATACTTCTTAAAATCCTTTGGATCTAAGGGGTGATCTTAGTGTGAAGCTTTTTAAGTTTTGTTACTATTTGTTTTTCCTGCTATTGCTTCTTCTGTCGAAGCCAACATTCCTTCAATTCAGCTGGTGCAATCCACAAAACTAGAATATTCTTGGTACGGTTGACCAATTAGAGCAAACTTTGTTTAGACATGCTTGCTAATTATAGCTATAAGATTTTGATTGAATGGTTATATCTTCCATTTGATCTCATTTTCTGTGTCAATTCAAAACGGAATTGAACTAAAGTAACACATGTTCTATCACATCTTTCCCTGAAAAGACTTAACAAATGAAGGCTAAACAGAAAATTATGTTGTGAAAATCATGTACCTTTCCCAATGCAAAAAAGTATTGATGCTACTTTACCTGTGAGTATTCGAGCATTTGTGACTGTTCCCCATATCTCCTTGCTCAGAAAACTCGCTTTTTCTCGGATTCTCATGTTTGAGAGACACAAAACAAGAGTAATATCTGTCTTTCTTGCGCCACTTGTGTAGGTGACTCTCAGCTCTCAACTCGGGTGGATTCTCCATCAACATTCTTTTTTGGTTACGGAATTCGTAACTGTCAGCAATGCTCTGAAAGAAAGAATATGGGAATAACTAAATTCTCTTTTTCTGCAGATATATACAGCGCATTCACTATCGCAAACCCAATTTTTATTTTTATATTCTTAATTATTGTCGAACCCTAGATCACATGACCAGCCTAGAACTATAATCTGCACTAAAACATGCATGAAAAACGAGTGGAGAGGTAGAGGTTACTCAACTCAAGATTTTGTGAGCTTTGACGTCCTTCCGAGCACCATACATTTGGCTAAGCCATGGCCAACAACGAGCTCCATCCTTTTTGTTGCTATTTTTTCCAAGCCCCAAGTTCCCGTTGTGCCTGACCCGACTTCAGCCGTGTCCCGACATCCACTTTGCTTCGGCAACCGTCCACAGACATCAGAATAGCAAGCATAGAACTGAGAGCCATGATTCAATAGTAGTGAAAAAGCCGTTGGCAGTTTATAGTTGGGAGTTGTCTGAAAGAAAATAGAGTAAATATAAACAAAAGAAATTAAGAACATCAATGATTAAGCACATCAAACAGTTTTGCTTGAATTGAAAGCAAAAGGACAGCTAAAAGTCATTTACGACTACTGGGATTTATGGCATTAAGGCAGTGTAGGGACGTGTCCATATCTGCTGCGTACGTAGTACCTAGGGTGTGGCCAGTGGGCAGTGGCCAGTGTGCAGAGAGATAAATCTTCTGCAGGAACAACAATATAGTTAATTTGGATTTGTGGGTATAAATTTGGTGTGGTCCCAAACTGGCTTTACTGTTAGTGTGTCTCAGCTCTGCTCCAAAAGCTTTGCTTGCTCAACTTGTTGGAACAAAAAGGCCCTGTAATGCTTGTGAGAGTGCAGTCGAAGCAGTCTTTGCTGAGCCTCTGGATTGGTTGGGGACAGTCTTCTTTGCTGACGTTATGCTGCAAATTGGTGAAAAGTTATATTCATTCAAAGTTGCCTGTTGTAGAAATTATATATATATATATATATATATATACTAGGCTGAAAATATTTTTGTTTTGAGCAGCGAATATAGCCACGTTTTCAATCAGTTCTCTTGTCCTGTACCATCTCTTCATAAATTCACCACGTATTTTTCATTTAGTTGACAACAAATTATTCCTATGATCTATACCAACTTACATGACATAAATCTCATATAAATTTTATTTTGGTTTTGAGTGCAAGATTTTCCCAATGAGTTAAGTTACTTGGCAATGATCTAAAACATGTTCTCGCTAAAATATTAAAATCTTAATTTCACTAATTATGAGTTAAATCTTGATAGCTTTGAATATAAATATATATATATATATATATATACTTTTAAGCAGAATTTTCTCTTTAATGGAAGCATAAGAAAATTTTTTGAGTTAGAAATTGCAGGTCAATAAATAATTGGCTTGTCAAGAATTCAAGCTTTACCCTGATCCTCCATGGAAGGGCTAAGTTTTAAGCTTTCAATCCTTTAGCCTTGACTATGAAATTGAGTGACAAAACTGCCTGTGAGAAAATTAAGATTTGTAGGACTGAAATCTAAACTAGAATTGTGACCTGTTGCGGTCACATTTCAATAAACTAGTTCATCAAGTTATTAAGAAAAGTTAGTAGTACAGACATAAAGTATAGTATAAAATTTTATGTGGTTATATTTTGTTGCCGTACCTCTTAATGAGAACCTGGTTCCCCATTTGAATCAACAGGCTTTAGATACCATCGGAAAAACGTGATTGGTTTTAGATTTTCCGAAACTTACTGATCCAAAGTGGATGCATCCAATCCGATCATCTTGGCTTTAGGGTCCCCAACTTTTGTCTCTAAACTATGGTTTCAATAGAGCGTATGGCGTGACAAGAGAACAGGTTTGGAATAAAAACTGTAAAAAGCTTTAAAAATTTTCCACTGACACTTTTGCCTCAAAATCTTCCTGTGGGTCTTGGAAACGACAGACATTTTAAATATCATCCTGTTGCCTGTTCTCGGGACCAAAAATCTTAGACTCCTTTTGTTTCTAAGCTCCTGTCTTTGCCTTTCATCTTCCAACTTGTCTAAACTCAAAAAAATGGGGTCCAAAATTGCCCTGCATTCGGGTCCATGTTCGGAGCTGACAAAACTTAATGGCTTAATGGATATGCCTTCAGTTTGTCCCCCTGAAACCCGCCCAATAAAAAAAGAGATTGAATTCCAATTTTAATATAAAAATCTCATCTTCGTAGCATGTCACATCGAAAGATTTTGCAGGATATCTTTGCAGAAGATCAATTGATAACTGTTCTCATTCATCAAAAAAATCAGACAGAAAGTGGACTCACTGACCATTGCTATTTTTATTGTGTGAGAGGAAGCTTGGGCTACCACATTCACCTTGCTGAACAAACTTAACCCACTAAATTAAACCTGGAAATAAGTGGCTCTTGCGAGGCTCTGATATTTTCATTTGGAATTGGGTTTTGCTTGGCCCATAAGAAAAAATGCCTTTATCCCCCTTTTAGCCTCCATGCTTCCAAGGTCAACATGGGTATGTCATCTGGGCCATCAGGAATGGGAAACAAGTTTCCAATGAACACCCTTTTAACTCTTTCGGATCTTGAGACATTCCAACTTGGAAAGTTTCTTCTCTCTTACATCTTCTCCACAAACAAAGCTTAGTCTTTTCCTTGTTTTTTGATCTCATTTCTGCCAAAACTATAATATCAAAAACTCTCCTCCTAAAGCATTCTCTTCTCTTTGTTTCCGGTCGTAGTATAATCGTTCGTCGTCAGTTTCATATGCATCGACTATAACTACTGTAATCTTTGTAACCACAAAATAAGCAGATGAGAAATGAAGAAACCAACAAGAACCAAGAGGAAAACAACAACCAGGATTCAGAAGAAGATCAATGTCAAAGTGTGGAACAGTAACATGGAAATGAGAAATCCAAGGAGTGGCAGAATCAAGAATCTGATGATCAACAGCAACGTGACGATAAGCAAAAACAAGACGTTGAAAAGAATGAAGAAATTAACGCAAGAAACAACAAACAGGGAAACAAAGGAAGATGATCAAGAGAAATCAAATAATGACATAAAGGAAGTACAAGATGAACAAACGGCAAACAACCAACAAAATCAAAAGCGACAAGAGTTACAAATGCAAGGGATTGCAAACACCACTTTTAGCGATGAAACCAAGGACAAACAGAGATATTCGTTACTAAAGGCATCAATGAACCAGCAGACAACAGAGAAAGACACCCAAAGTGAAGCTCAGAATCAGGAAACTCAGCAACAACAGGACTCCCCAAAAGAAGAGAACTCGAGTAACTCAAACTCGGAAGAGTCATTAGGAAGTTCTATTCCGAAAGAGTCCAGCGAGTCGAAGAAGTCCTGGAAGACGCTGAAGACTCAATCAGAGAAGGAGAAGGAGAGACGGTAGGACGAATCAAACGATAAAATGAGCATCTATTGTTACACGTGGCAGTTATGTAACGTCACTGCTGGTCCTGATTATATACCATGTATGGACAACGAGAAAGCATTGAAGAAATTACATGGTACCAATCACTTCGAGCATCGGGGGAGGCATTGCCCTGAGGCAGGACCGATGTGTTTGGTCCCACATCTGGCGGGATATAAAAAGCCCATCTCCTGGCGACAAAGCAGAGATAAGGTAAGATTGAACCTTTCTGATTGTTATGATCTTTGACGGGGTTGTAACTTGTTGCTGTGGTCTGGCTCAGGTGAAAGGGCAGGTGAAAGATCATAACAATCAGAAAGGTTCAAGAGGATGTGGAAATATGGAAGGGTAGAACACGTAAAATTCATTCAATTCAAACAGAGTTTCAAGTATACATTCAGCTCACATGTAGTTGATTTTGCAGCGATTTCGTCCCTGACAGAATCCATGTGTTGGTAGCTTGTGACCTTCAAAAAGGACAAATTGAATTCCATTGCTGCTGCCGTCTTCCGTAAACCTACTTCAAATGAATGCTATGACAAAAGCCAGGATAATAGTCCTCCAATGTGTAAAAAAAGTGATAATGCTAATGCTGTTTTGTAGGTTTTTTCACATACTGTTGATGTTATGCACCATTAATCTGTCACAGTTCAAGGTTTAACTACATCTCAAGAAGCTATCTATTAAGCAAAATAATACTGCTATAGCTAAAGTTTTTTCAGATACAATGAAGGTCTGATTGAATAGTGCACTGAAATGCTTCACATTCAGTGATAAATGGATTCATGCTTGTTTTATTTCAGGCATGTACCCCTGCAGGCATGCATGCACCGCGTGCCAGTAAATCGGGCTGAAAGAGGGGCTCGATGGCTAGCAGATTGGCCTGGTCGGCTGCGCAAAGCTCCTTACTGGTTGAACAGATCCCAGATGGGGATTTACAGAAAACCAGCTCCTCAAGATTTTGTGAAAGACTATGAGCACGAGTGGTGAGCAAGCTGTATATTAGCGGATTGGGAATCAGTTGGTCTAATGTTAAATCTTGGATACATGATGGTTTGCAGCAGCTTTAAAGGAAATTAAAGTGTCGGTGTTAAATGTGGTGAATTTTGGTTCTCCAGATACACTTGCAAAAATCTATGAACGTGGTCTGTTTGGAATATACCATGAATGGTGCCAGTCCTTTAGCACATACCCTGGATGATACGATCTCCTGCACGCTGATCATCTTTTCTCCTAGTTGAAAAAGAGGTAAATTTTATAGTATGATTTCCCTTCATCTTCCTTTTATTTTGTTTGGCATACACACGTGCACACTTGAACCCGTGATGGCAAAGGTGGATATAGAAGTCAGACCAGGAGAAAAATTGATTGTTCGTGATGAATCAAATGCTATTGGGGAAGTCGAGAACTTGTTGAAGTCTCTGCACTGGGAGGTTCATTTAACTTTCTACAAAGATGAAGAAGGAATACTCAGAGCTCAGAAAGGTTATTGGTGGCCAATAACACATCAAGCTTCTTCCTAACCCAGAAAGAATGGTAATTGATCCTTCTTATGGAGAATTTTTTGAGAACTAGTGATATCCACCAACTTTCAGAAGAAATTAGTTCTTCTGCCATTGTTGTTTCTTGGATGTAAAACAATGAAGAATGTACATGATCATAGAGAAGAACTGTAACTTTAAACACTTTGAATTGTGTAGCAAAAATCCAATCATAACAGAGAGCATTATCTTTTTTATTTTGCACTTAAAACAGAGCTATGTTGTCCTTCATTGGAAGCTTGTCTCGCTAAACATACATGCACACATAAATATCAGAATCAGACGGTTTTGGACAATCTTATGAGTAGGAAAGCATCTCCATGTCATCAGAAATCCAACAAATTGATGGGGCGGAGTCTGTGATGAGCAAATTATAGACTATAACCTTTTCCTGGTGATCAATTTTGACACGAAACGTGTATGAAAAAAACTCAGGTCTCCATTTTTTGGTGACTTTTTCTTATATATCATATATACATATCAATGCTAACAACAGAAAAGGACCACACTGGTCAGATTCCTCGTCTGCAAATGAAAAGTTAAATAATTTTCCCAGAAAATTACATGGAAAATCATGTTGACATATTTTAGTTTTTCAGGAAATAGAAATCTTACGAGTGTAAACTACCTAAAATTCACTTGTTTCAGAACCATAAGGAGAAAAGATAAAACAGCCAAAAGGATCCAGAAGCAGAAGTATAGATTATGTGAAAACTAAACCAAGTCATTGTCATTGTCCCTCCTCAAAACTATATCTAAAATGAATTTAAGACCTAAACCATAATCTTCCATAAGGATGAAGAGAAATAAGACTAACATCAACAAGATGTGCCATTATCACAGAGCACCTAATAAAATCTTGCTGTGAACTTACTTAATTCACAACCCAGCAACGATTCTCTAATCCTTAGGCAGCATCATCGATTCACGAGTCAGATCAAATGATTGTATTTCCATCTTTCTAACAGTTCATTAACTTGCAGCTAGAAGCCTTTGCAATGTACCATTATGGACTGCATCCTTGAGATCTAAGAAGTAGTCACAAATAAATAAGAAAAATGAAGTCAAATTATATATATATATATATATATATATATAATACAAAGGAAAACCAATATTATGAAAGCCTAAGTAACTAACCATCGGAGCCTCCAATATGCTTGCCATTCACAAACACTTGAGGCACAGTGTTTCGACCTACCAAATCCAGAAGGACATACTGGATTTGACCTCCATCATCTAAAACAAAAATTCAACAAGTCAAAGCTCCCTTTACAAATGCTCTTTTTGAACATAATCATACCAAAAAAAAAAAAAAACCCACATAGCAGAAGCAGATAAAGAATAGATACCTCGAAGATCAAGCTCTACAACATAAGGTTTCTCATTTAGCTCACTGAAAATGCGCTTGGCACGAAAACAATACCTAAGAACAAGACAAAAGAAAAGAATTTGGACCAACCCATCATATTATCTAATAACAAAAGCCCAATAATTGAAGTTTCAATTCCACTTTTGAAGAAAAACCCAGGTAGAAAATGGGGTTAAAAGTGGCATAAGATTGATTATACGGAGTAATACATAACTATGATATCCTGATTCTTAATTATGAACATTAAAGAGTTTAAATAAAACTGTAAATGTCAAAGAGATAGAGAAAATGACATACGGGCAATAGGATTTGGAGAAAATAACTATCTTGTTGGAGAAGATGGCGTTTTGGACAAAGCCTGAAGCTGAATTGTTGGCTTTATCTAGCCTTAGAGCATTTCTAACCAGCAGCAACACCACAACTACGCCAAAAACCGTTAGGATAAGCCTCGACCGTCTCATCTTTTCTTCGCCTTTTTCTACCAAAGGGATATTTCCGAAGTTTGGCTCCAGAGCTTGTAAATCCGAGTGAAAGATCTTTAACAATTTTTAGAATTTCATGTTCTTTTTCTTTCACAGAGTGAGGTGTTTGACCAGTTGGTTGTCTTGTCGAGGAGTTTGATTTTGTTTCGGAGACTTCAAGGTTTGAAGATTTATTACATGTGGCCCAAGGCCCATAAAATTTGAGGCTATCGCTAGTCCATTGGACTTCGCAGTTTATGAGATTTGGACCCGAAAGGGCTGACGGATAGGGCGTAACCGAGCAAAAAAAAGTTGATATCACTCCAAATTTGTTGTTCGAAATTTAGTTTAAATTTGATTAAATTTTAAGTTTAAATTTACCTAAAAATAAAAATTAAATTACTTAAACTCGCTTGATTATATTTATTTATTGAATAAAAAAAACTTGACTTTTATACATGACTTCAAACTTAAATTATTTATATTAAAATTCGAACTCAAACTTGAATCGATAAATATATATATCAAGATAAAATAATAATTTTTTAATTAAAATATATTAAAATATAAAATCTCTATTAACTTGTAAGCTACTCAAATTGGATATTATGATACTCAAATTTAAATCGTTCGATAAATCAAGTTACTTAAACTCTAGCTTGACTCAACAATAATCGAATCGAATTTAAGTTTTATTCATATAAAATTTGAGTAACTTATAAGCAATGATATATTATTTATACTTCTACTAGACGCGTACTCCAACTAACTATTATTTTGATATTGATAATTGAAAACAATGAAAAGAAATAAGATAATATTACTTCACTTACTCTTTTTAATTTTAAGTGTGGATAAAGTGTGCATTTGAATCACTTCATGTGATATTTAAAAGTTACGAATTTAAAAGAGTTTAAATTTATAATGTTTTATTCGATCAAATAAATATAAGAGTAAAAAATTTTAAAAAAGGTATTTGATACACTGTAAAATTGTGAACCGCTAAAGTTTCAAATGATTGCAAAATTCATTTATAAATTATAGAAGTTTGTCTTAATGAAGTGCTCGATCTTTATCGATTGAGCCGATCTCCATAGGCAAAAAAAAATCATTTTAGATTGCAACGTTATGAATACTGCTAATCTACTTTCTTATAAAAGCAATTATAGTTTCAAACACCATTTCATCAACTTTTCAATCTTTATATATGTAGGCTGAGATAAAGATTCTATGTTTTCAGGAAACTAGAGACGGTATTGATTAGTGCATTTTGCATCAGATCCTGCAATGTTAAAAAAATAAACAGGGAAGATAGATATTCCCTTCTGCTATGATTTGCAGGGCAGCCCTATAAAATTTCGGCAGCCAATCTCCACAAGCTTCACTACTAAAGGAAAGATGAAACAAATGAGGGGTTTGAGTTTTGAAACTGCTTTGTCCAAATAAGACTTTTGCAATCTCAACGAGAGGAGGATTAGTCCGAAGCAGTTGAACCTGTAAGCTAATTTGATGAATAGCAGCTTGAAATCACTCCATGGAGGATACCTTGGTTCCAATTCTGGGTAGAAGCCTCTATGTAAGACGGATTTCTCATGACTGAAAGTATAGAAAGAGTACTTCCCATTGTACCTCCCAAAGCCACTCTGACCAACTCCTCCGGATGGTAGCATATCACATAGAAACTGCAAACATTGCACATTAAACGAGCAGTACTTTCCTTCCATGATTTATCTGCTTGACAAATATACAAGAGAAGTTTGAAGAGAAGCAAAGCAATGCTTGAACCATGGAATCATTGAATGTTACAGTCCCTGAAGATGTTTCTGATAAAATTCGTTTCTTGAAGGTTTCATCCTCAGTAAAAAAGCATGAATAACAAGAGGATTAGGCCTAGAGTTGATTAATTCGATGCTTTCTTCAATGCTCACAAGAATGGTAACTTAAAACAAACAGATGTTAGAGACCATTTGCAGGAGGAAACAAAAAGGGTGAGAATCTCTCACTGTAATTATTGGAAGCAATGGGCCGAAGATTTCTTCGGTCATGAACTCAGAATCAAGTGGAGAATCTAACAACATTGTTGGCTCAATAACCCTGTAAAAGTTTCAAATGAAGATCAGATAATTTCTAGGTGCTACATTTGGCTTCAATGACTTGCAAATTAAGCATCTTAGTGTGTGAGTCATTGATCAATCAATGATCCTCACGTCTTGAGATCAAGACGTAACACAACTGTATTCCTTTAAAGAAACTCTAAAGTAATACGAAGTTTTTTTTCTTAATCATTCTAAAATTCTTTAATAAATAATCTATCAAGTAAAATCTATATCTTTAATTCAACTGATGATACATATTTATATATCCAAATATAAACCATATAAAATACTAAACCGTCTTATAAGATCTCATTGGCCAACATTATTTTCGATGACTAAGTAATCTTTTCCATTTGATCTTTTAGCTTTTTACAAAACTGAGCAACTTATCACTTACTCATCTGTAAAGAAAAAATAAAAGGAGAATGAGTAAACCACAGCTCAGCAAGTATAGGTTCACACACTTTACTAGATCAAGCATCTTTTTTATACATATCATATAGATCATTCAAAACATTCATCAAATCATAATGTCAAAATATTTCAAAGATCATCGTTCTAACAAACATTTTGCAAACTCATAAATCAATGTCAAAACATGTCAATTCATAAATCATTGTAAAATATGTTGTCATTCAAATATCGTAATCAAGCCAAATCATGGGTCAATCATTAAAAATCATCATAAATCATCTTTATATATAAATCATAGATCAATCTTTAAAATCATCATAAATCATCATTATCATTAGTTTATCATTAGCTACGGTCACTGCTATAACTCGTGACATTTGCTTTATCAACAATTTTATCCTCATGATCATTGTTAACTATTATAATCCGCTAGCCAGAGCCTTACGCTAACTACTATAACCCGTTAGTTAGGGCTGTAAAATTAGTTATGGTGTCGATGATCCCACTTCCCAGGTATATAAAAACATAGTTATCATAAAATTATTTTTTAAACATAAACCATTTTCTCATTTCATTCATAAAGATAATCCATCATTTATATAGAGAAATACAAAATAATCATATGCTTGATCTTATTTTCATACATCGAAAATAATGAAATAAAATATTCATTCATTTAGAAACACACATATATACATAGATTCAAAAATAAGTAAAGTGTATGAAATTTTACTTACCTCTTTTCAATTTCACTACTTAATTTTTCTCTCAAAATAATTAATGGTCTATTCAAGATTATTTCAATACATCAGAATTTAATCAACCCTTTTTGAGATCATTTATACAAAAATCAACTAAGTTACACAATGATTAACTTAACTAATTAATACTAATAGCTTGACATCTTTTCATTAAAACAATCATATCTCAATATATCTAAATCAGAATTAAGATCTCTTTAATGTGTTAGAAATTAAACTTAATAAGCATTCTAACCATATATGGCCATCATCGTAATTCCTTGTAGATTAATTATAAAAATTTTTACAATCCACATCATATGCTGCTACTAGATAGCATGTATACCTTTTAATAAAAATTACACATTTATTCACAAGAAACTCCAAATTCAATTCCCTTTATTTCGTTGAAACGTAGAATCAATGACCTTTTTAAACATGTGGCTCAATACATAATTCCTTGTATAAAAATTAAGAAGAATTTCGTAATTCCTCACTGTTGCTGCTACTAGGCAGCCTGCACATCCTTAAAATAGAAATTAGACAATTTTTTCATAAAGAACTCGAATTCAACTTCTGTTTATTTTATTATAAAGTAGATTCAACATGCTTTCCAACAATATATAATAATCATAGCAATAATCTATCAATTAATACAAAATTTTATTTTAATTCATTATTACAGATCACAATATCTCATTCAAAAATAGAATTTCTCTTTCAATTTTTTAATATAACTCAAATCCCCTACTTTTAGCCTTTAAACTCCATTCAATAATCATCAATAAATCTTAAGGACATGAAATAAACAAAGCACAGTGATTTATCCAAATAGATCATCAAGATTAATGAAAGATTTCATGATTTTTCTTGGTTTTGCTCTAAAAACTTCAACTTCAAATAATAGCAATCAACTTGATATTTTTTTTTAAATAAAAAGAAGGCATATACTCACTTTTAAGAGATTAACTTGATTGTAGCCTCTAATTGTAAATCTCCAACTTGATTTTTCATATTCTCTAACCCTAAGGAAGATGAAGAAAAAGAACTTTATTTCCTTTCTGTTTCATGATAACTAAGTTTTCTTTCATCTAATACTTCAATCATTTTTCTTTTACTAATTAGCCTTTTAATAAACTAATTAGTTTAGCCTAATTATTATTTGGGCCGGGTTATTACACATGAAAGCTTGTAACTAGTCTTACATGATAGCAGCCATGATACAGGAAAAGATGTAGAGAAATCACAGTTTTTCTTCGCTAACTGAACGACCATAAACAATTGAGGTTGCAACATGGGGATCTTTTAAAAGATTATGCACTCTTTAAAACTGGTCCATGTTGATAATTCTGGAGATGAACTTCAGGTCTTTGATGTTTTCACCATAAAATGTCTTGATGGTCTTCTTTAATAACTCAATGACAAAAATTTATGATTCAAATTGAAGTTTTAATCCCTTTTTCCAATGAAAGATGATGCTAACGATGATTTCTTTTAGTGAATTTCATAGTTAATACCAAAGTAGAAGCAAATTTCTCTTCCACAAGCAAATAATCTATTGCGATGCAAGCTTGTCCGGTGCATGGCCCCCACTTCACCTCTACAATTCTTTTAGCAGCAACCTTGACACCATAGGGAATGAAGTAAATTAGAACAGTATCGATCCAATACCTTCTGATTACATATTGTTAAAGCATTAAATCATATATGTAAAAAGTAAAAAACCCTTGGCCTTTGAAGGGCTGGAGAGGGTATCCAGAATAGCAGGGCATTTCCCACCAAGTTCTAAAGTAACTGGTGTCAACTGTCAAATACCTTGCAGCTGCAGTCATAACCAAGCAGCCTACTCTTGGACTTCCTGAAGACAAAAGCAGATATGCATACATATGTAATTCCAATCATCCATACATTTGAATCTTTTAAAGTGGGAAACCTGATACCGCTGAAGAATATAATGATTTAATTTCATACTATCAATTTTTTAAGCGAAGAACAGAAACTCTGAAGCATCCTATCTTTGGTGTCTTTTTCACGTATCAGCAACAAGTTTGATATTGTTGAACCAAAGATTAGAATCAAAAGCTGTAGTTGCACATGTCCCTTGATTCTTCCACATGTGATTCGTCAGGTCAAGCTTTGGACCACTTTGACGAATCTCCAGCACCCAATTAGTTTGGACAAAAGCATCACAAATTCACAATCTGATGAGGTACGAACAAGCTGGGCCTGCTCCACTGAAAATTCGTTAAAAGATTTTATTGAAGTTTCAGTTTTCATCCATACACATCACTACAACATTTATTTATCTGAAATTCCCATTTCTGAAAGGTTTCTCCAAAAGACAACAAAAGCCATCACCAATCTCTCTGCTGGTGATGACTCAAGGAATCAAGATTCAAGAGTAACAACTAACAGCTGGCCATCACCTTTCCCTTAATGCAAAATTAATCAGGATCTTCTTTTTCCATTGATTTAAGGTAAATTGACAATTCATGCACTTATGGCCCAATTCGTATCAATACAAAAAACATAAAAATACCCATAAAAACAATAATATGTTAAACAAGAAACATGAGTATAAAGAAGTTCATGCAGACTCTCTTTTAACCCTTTTTTCTTGTAGTTGAAGAAAAAAGGATGAATAAGATCCAGCTTTTTCACAATACCATATATGAAATCGAATTTTAATATGTTTTATTCCTTTTTCAGAGCTGCTTACCATGCTAATTAAAGGGTTTGTTTATAGGCAAAAATTACCGACCAAAAGTATGTTAGTGACCTGTTGATGTTCACTCTCGCCATATAAAAAGCATAGCAGATTTTACTTCATTAACTGTCGGCTTTTGATCATCAGTACTATCGAATTGTCGTATTTATGATTAATAGATCATGTCAAATTGACATTTAAGAAACATGTTTGACTTGTTTGTCTGCTATACGTATAAACATACATAGGTAATTTTGCTTAGGATTCTCAAACTGGGTCTTGCGTAAGCTGATGTTCTCTTTACTCTTTGGTAAAACTAATTTGATTAATAAAGCCTCTTTAATATGGCAATTCATTTATACAAGAAACCAACATTTAAATTTTGAATAGAAGTAAACATATATTCTGATCAAAAAAGAAAGTGTACCCAAGAAAACAAGTATAAAATTGATAATTTTAAACATAATATAATAATATGATACAAAAATAATATAATTTAAAATTTTTATAAAAATTATATATTGATTTGATAAAAATCAATAACCAAAATTTAAAATATATATTTCATATTTGATATGTATATGAATTTAATATGATAATTTTATTTTTTATGTAAATAAACAAATATAATACAAATAAATGAATTATCAGATCTAATAAGATGTAATTTACATTAATTGTAAAACAATAGGGTAACAAGGGGTTGGTTGCATTTTAAATTGTAATAATCCCCACTAATGTACCTTATTGCCTTAAAATTTTATGTGAGCCAAAATGTACTTTCTTACCACCTTTGGATGGATAAATCGTTAAGATTATCATTTCAATTCCTATAATATTGGAAAACTATAATTTTAATTACTACAATTAAATAAAAACACTAAGCAGCTTGAACTTTACATAATTATAAAAATCGAATCATGATTAATTGAATTAATCAAAGTAAAATAAAATTATTTCATGTAATTATTTTTAAGAAATGATATCTAATATATATTGGGTTGTTTAATCATGGAACAAAGAAGCAGGTGAAATTTTGGATTCCAAATCCGAACCGAAGACATGATTCCTAAGTAAACTCAGAAATTCTGGTGAATTCATTCATCTTAATTAGAAGAAAGCATGTATTTTTTCCTTTGTTTCCAAAGACAAAATTTACGAGAAAAGGGAAAGAAAAGCTGCAGCAGTCCGAGCTGAAGATTGAGGCTTTCAATTGAAGTGAAAGGTTGTAGTTGGGGATTTGACTGCAAACAAATTTGATTAATGTCTACTTTACTTAATTATAAAGTGGATCAAAGTTACACTCGCCCCTTTTCCAAGCCTAGTTTGCTGACAGCTGACAGGCAGGCTCTTCCAATTTCTTCGTGAAACAGAAAGTGATCCACCAGGCTCAAAGTACAAAATTTTTTTGCTAGGCAAGATTATAAAAAATTGAATACACGATATGCTAATCAAAATACAAGCTTACGAAATAAAGTAACAATATTTTATAAGATTTGATAATTTATATATTTATATAGTATAAAATATTAAAATTTATATTATATTTTATATAAAAATTATACATCATAATTCGTATTGATATATAAATATAAAATTTTTTTAATATTATTAAACTATATATAATCATTAGTAAAATTTTAAATTATATAAATTTCGTATTTTATAATTTTAAAATATTCATATTATATTATCAAATTTATATTTTATTCAAATTTCAAGCCTACTGATGTCTATGTGAACCAGCATTTTACAAGATTATGCCATATAAATGAAAATTGAAAACTTTTTACGTTATATCTTCATATCATATTTATATTATATTATTATATTATATTATATTATATTTTAAATTATCAAAATTATATTTTATTCAAGTGCCAAAGGTGGTGTCCGTTTGAACGCAAATTTTACAGGATTACGTCAGGTAAATGAAAATTGAAAACTTTTCTAATCAGATAATGATGCTTTGAGATCTCTAAAATCGTTCTTATCGCCCTTTGAAAGTGGCCTTCAAATTAACTTATTCTTAAACATAAAAAAAAAAAAAAAATCTAATAATAAAAACACCATGACAAATGAAAAACACTGACGTTATGGTAATGCTAAAACACGCAATCCCCTCACCGTTATCTTAGATTTTAAGTATAATAATTTTGAGTAAATTATAAAATCAATCTTAATGACAATTTTTTTTTATGTGAAAAGAAAAATATCATAGGAATAAAAAATGGTGAGATGAAAGCGTCGATGGTTCGAATGTCTAAGGCAGATAGCAAAGTGGAATGCAAGTAAGATATTGCATCAAATCTCACCTTTCAATGAAAATTCAATAACCCCACTTTAACTGATGCCTCAGATTTTAATTTCTCTCAATTATTAAGCATGAATTTTGGCATGATAGATGGCTTGGCAATCACCAAATAGGTAGGATTATTGACAAACATTTAATAATCATTAATTTGCAAACCTCAAATCACATTCATAATCAAACAATTTTTATTATAAACTTAGAAAGAATCAAATTAAATTAACACTCAATAAATTAATATATTTTGAGAGAAATTCGATCAGAAAGAATCAAATAATATTTTGTTGACAAAACTTTCTAGTAATTCATGACCTTAATTATATGGTATGGTATTCCATCAACTTTGCATAACCTTTTTGCATTAATGCTCATTGTTATTGATCTTATTGTGAAATTAAATGATTCGATAAAGTCCCTGTATGAATTTAATTAGTTTAGATTTTTCTACCATAAATCCAGCAGAAAAGAAAAGGATAATTCAACCCTTTTTTGGTTGGATTTAAATGAAAATTAAATTGATTTGCTTAGTATGCAACAAAACTAAAAAAAAAAAAAAGTAAATAAGTTCCATTGGCCTGAAGATATTTTGATTTCGAAGGACTTTTCCACCAAAGAAGTTAAGCAGTCCCCATTGTAAAAAATTTCACTAAAATTAATTTATTCCTTTGAATATATTATATCTTTTTATTCATAATATATTAGGAATATTTATTTTTTCAAAATTAACAAAAAAAACCACATAATTTTTTTCCTCCAATATTATAGAGTTTTATATTAGGTTAATGGTATTCAAACAGCTAAAAAATATAGATTACATGTTGTGAGAAGAAATGCAAGTGATGGAGAATTTGGTTAACCTTGTAATTAGATGTTTATTAAAAGATGAACCATATCAATGATTTTCTTTGTTCAATAAAGAAGGTAAAAATACCAATAGATGGATAACTCAAGTAACAAAGAGAATCTGTTTCTCTTTTTCTTATCTGAATTCGAATTAATTTTCATTTTTTACGAAAAAATTAACCTAGGATTTTAAGAAATGTTAGAAAGTAAATTCAATTTAAACCACTAGACTACTAGGTTTTTTTATACTCTAAAAAATTAAAAAAATTAATACAATAATTTTAATTGCCAAAAGGCTTATTAAAAAATTAACACTACATAAAGTAGCAATATACATATTAATTTTTACATAAAGTAGCAGTATACATATTAATTTAGTATTACTATTACAATTAAAAAATTTTGTTTAAAAGTGTGACTAAAAATTTAAATTGTTTGATATAAAAGCTCTATCTTTTTTGTTATTTCACATTAAGATTGGTCAAGAGTGGTTTTTAAGTTCAAAAGCTACTTTTAACAGCAACCCTAAACTAAGTCGAAATGAGATAGATTCAAAATTTTTTTCTTTAAATAGTGAAAAAAAAAAAAGAATTTTCGCACACTATTCTATGATATTCAATTGTGCATTTTAATGTTTTTTCCTACAGGGACTAGGCGAAAAACCTGTATAAAACCCCCATAATATCTAACATAAAACTAGCGACATTCAAAGGGTTGCAGTTTTGTAAAGACATTGCATGCAAGCAATGGATATTTCTCCGATACAAGCCATTGAACCATTGCCTATGGCCCTTCTTTTCGTTATCCCTTTCCTAATCCTTGTAGGCCGCCTCATCTCTCGGCTTGGAAGAAAACCATTTCCTCCTGGGCCCAAAGGGTTGCCAATAATCGGAAACATGATGATGATGGACCAGTTAACTCACCGTGGACTTGCCAAGCTTGCTCACAAATACGGCGGCATATTTCACCTCAAGATGGGGTTTTTGCATATGGTTGCTATTTCTAGTCCTGAAACGGCTCGCCAGGTGCTTCAGGTTCAGGATAACATTTTCTCCAACAGACCAGCCACCATCGCCATCAGATATCTGACATACGACAGGGCTGATATGGCTTTTGCTCATTACGGACCTTTCTGGAGACAGATGAGAAAGCTGTGTGTAATGAAGCTTTTCAGCAGGAAAAGAGCTGAGTCGTGGGATTCGGTAAGAGATGAAGTGGAGTCTCTTGTTAAAGCTGTTTCAGCCAATACTGGGAAGACAGTGAATGTGGGTGAGTTGATCTTTAACCTTACCAAGAACATCATTTATAGGGCAGCTTTTGGTTCTATTTCTCAAGAAGGTCAAGACGAGTTTATAAAGATCTTGCAAGAGTTCTCCAAGCTTTTTGGTGCTTTCAATATTGCGGATTTCATTCCTTGGCTCGGCTGGGTTGATCCTCAAGGACTCAACACCAGGCTCGAGAACGCTCGATATGCATTAGACAAGTTCATTGACACCATCATCGACGACCACATCCAGAAGAGGAAGAAAAACAACTGCGGCTCTGACGAAGGAGACACCGACATGGTTGATGATTTACTTGCTTTTTACAGTGAAGAAACGAAAGTAAATGAATCAGACGATCTACAAAATTCAATCAAACTTACCAGAGACAACATTAAAGCCATTATTATGGTATGTTCCTTTCTTTTCGCATGTACTTTTATTGATTCGACTACCAACAAAAGATGACAATGTTTCATTTCATTTCATTTCTTTTTGTAAATGCTGTAAAAATAATATGATTTTCAGGATGTGATGTTCGGTGGCACAGAGACGGTGGCATCAGCGATTGAGTGGGCCTTGACAGAACTAATGAGAAACCCGGAGGATTTGAAGAGAGTCCAACAGGAGCTGGCTGAGGTGGTGGGCCTCGACCGCTGTGTGGAAGAATCCGATTTCGATAAACTACCCTTCCTAAAGTGCACCCTCAAAGAAACCCTGAGGCTGCACCCGCCAATTCCACTCTTGCTCCACGAAACTGCGGAGGACGCTGTGGTGGCTGGCTATCAAATTCCCGCCAAGTCACGCGTGGTGATCAACGCCTGGGCCATTTGCAGAGATAAGAATTCATGGGAAGATCCTGACAGTTTCAAGCCATCTAGATTCTTGAAAGAAGGTGTCCCGGACTTCAAAGGAAGCAACTTCGAGTTCATCCCATTCGGGTCGGGTCGGAGATCGTGTCCGGGTATGCAACTCGGGTTATATGCACTTGATTTGGCTGTGGCCCATTTGCTTCACTGTTTTACATGGGAGTTGCCTGATGGGATGAAGCCAAGCGAGCTTGACATGAGTGACGTGTTTGGACTCACCGCACCTCGGGCAAGTCGACTCTATGCCGTCCCAAAGCAACGGCTGGTTTGCCCAGTCCTTTAAAGGAAACGAAACGAAACAAAAAAAAAAAACCCTGTTTGAGCACAGCTTATACCAATGAGAAAACAGGTGACCATTGAAGAAGAAGGTGACAAAGCTGACTCTACAAGTGGGATTTTTTTTTTTCATACTTGGGGAAAGAGATTAAAAAATATATATTTTATATTTTCGAATCAAAATGAATTATAATATGTAATTTTATATAAAATTTTAATATTTTACATAATAAAAATATCCAAATCATTGATCTATATCTTATTTTCAATAAATTAACTCTTTTATTCATAATTTTCATTGTTTTATTTGATAATTTGTTTAAATTTATATAGAAATAATTTTGAACATTTAATGATTGATGTATATATTATTATTTAATGAACAAAGTTGTGAATCACCTGATAAAAAAAAAAGAATACGATAAATATAATAGAGTGATATATATGATTCAATATATGGTATTTTTTGAATTGATGATTTCAATAATTATTGCTACCATGCATTACTTATTGGTTGGTAAATGTGTATCAAATCCATATATAAGATAAGCTACTATTAATTTATAACTCTTACCAAAATTAATACCAATTAATAAGGCAATGGATTATGCCAAAAATTCAGCTGAAATTACAATGATTCTTATTATGTGGATGTATGTTGAAATTTGTCTGATATTCAAATTTTAGTAAATAAATTTTTTTAAATATTTTAGTATTGTTGAGATTTTAGGTGGGTCTGAAGATGACATGAGGCCTTGAATTGGCTTTCTTTATTTATTTTTTCTATGCAATAATGATGAAAAAGCACATTGTTTTAGATTTTTAGATTTTCCCTTTTCCTCCTTTTATATTCATACTAAAAATGATAAAAAAAAAAAGTTCCTAATTTCTAAGTAATAATGTAGGGTATGATAAAATTTATATGGAAACAATTATAATTATGAGTTGTGAATGTAACATTGTTTTGCAAACAGAATCTACAGAAAGCAAGCAAAAGCAATTCATGCATGCAGCAGATCAGGTTGCAATATTTGTGAATTGTGATGGCTTAATACCAAAGCAAAATTTGAGCCAACATAAATATATAATTTCGTACCTTATTTTTCTTGGTAGGTCCCTCGAAAGAGCGAGATAATGAAATCAAACTGTCCAAAGATGGTCTCATATTCATCTGAAAATCATGAAAATTTTATTTGTTTTTTTTTTTTTCTTTTTCTTCTTCTGATGTAATACATGACAGCAAGGGGGTAGACTGTGGGAGAGAGGTGAGTATAGGGGGAGGCCAGGATGAGTTGGTGGTGACATTAACTCGTTGACAATGGAGAATGTATATTGATTGATGGTCAATCATGTAACCAATCAAAGTGTTTTCTGCATAGATGAAATTAGTGATTTCTTGGGTTTTTTCATCAGTAATCCATTCAATCTCTTTGTCCACTGCAGCATGTTGATCTCTACTATACTAAGAATCTCAAAATTTTTCAAGGAAAGAAATTCGGCTTAAGAGTTAGGAAGCAATTAGTAAATAAACCTCTGAAAATGGTATTTTTCAGACCAAACTTGAATGATCTATCGATCACCATGTAATCTAGAATATTTGTTGTGGAAATGACCAAGGGGAAGGTTCAGGCCTCTCATTACTGGTATGAACAAAGGGAAAATAATGACACATGAACGCATAATATAGACAAAAAGAGATCATATGAAACTGGATTTTGGCGTAGGATGCAATTTCTTGCACTTGTGTTTGTTGGTGAATAGATCCTTCCATTTTACCGAAATCAATCAATGCATAATAAATCGAGAACAGAAAAAAGTTCATGTCTTCTTGACAAACCAACAACTCTCTCTAGTGATCCTGGGGCCATCATATGATGATATCAAAGAAAGACAATAGTATCTCAGTAGGATTTTTGCATATATATATATATATATATATTCATAGGCCAGCAAAATCATATAACTGTCTAATTGGAAAATTAAAGGTGAAATGCTCAATTGGGGTCATTTAAACTTAAATTGCCTTACATCATATATCCTCAGTCAAGTTCGTAAAGTTTTTCAATTTCACCAGCAAAATAAAATCTTTATTGATTAATTAATTTAACCTTCCAATAGTAATGTTTAATTAATTATCCAACACATGGTCGACGGAATTTTTAATCTCTCACAATAGGAGTACTCATTTGTAGCATGAGAAATTATCTCGTTAATATTTCTTACTTTCGTTTGTGAAATGTAGTATCAAAAACCAACTCAGAGTATATATTACCCTTTGAAAGGTAAAAATGGTACATTGGGAAGCTAAGGAAAATGCTCCGCATTTAGAAGAAAGAAAAGAGAAATGGGAAGTTTGAGACTGGAATCAAACATTCTTCACGCTTAAATATAATGGTTTTTAAGTTGCTAAGGAAGAAAGGAAGATGCCGTTTACCTTGGCAAGTTGAAAACGAAAACAACCTCTTTACAGCATACGAAACACAGAGGCTTAGCTTGACAAGCATGAATTGTTTATCAAGATTGAAAAGAAAGCTGACCCTCGCTTTTAATACAAACCATTGTCCACAAGCAACATGAAGATGAGCAATTCTGGAAAGGATAATCCGAGTGAAAAGACCTCTGAGGATACGTAACAATGTTTCTAAGTTCTGCGATTGTTACAAGGAACAGATGCAGGCCTGTTTATCTTATCTCTATCCTGTCACAACTCTAAAGTAAATCATATGAACAGAGATCGAAATTACCGACCAGAAGGGGGTGGGGGGTTGAATGGTATAAGATAAAAAGACAAGGATGCTGAACAAGAACGCAACATCAAATTATTATTGGCAGGATTTAGACAAGTAAAAGCTTGTTCTATCATTCAAAAAAAGAGTCCTCTAACTCGGAGTAAGACAATTATTTTATTGAACAAAGAAAGGATGGATTGCTGTAAAAAAAGGAACAGATAGTTAGTGATTTATGAACAGCCCAGATTCCAAATGAAGCCCATTATTGCTTAGCTACTTGTGTCCAGGACAGATAGATTACTTAGGTGGCCTTCGCTATGGGACAATTTCCGGTTCACAAGAATCAGGGTAACACCCGGCCCATTGCTAACATACATAAATTAATCCAGCAGGTATTTCCAAGAGGCCTTCAGCCCTTGACTAAAATGAAAGTCATGACATAACACACGAAGCTTCTTAGAAAATAAAGGAATAAAAATTTCCTTGCCTTCTCTGCTATGAGCATGAGTAGAAGCTGAAGCAGTGTCAGCAGGAATAGGTATTAAATGCTGCAGATACTGAAATCATTGTCATGTCAGTTTGCAAATAATCATACAACAATTGGAATCAGAAGTTTATCTAAAGTGCCCAAAGACACTTGTCACTTGGAATTTAAGCCACAACCAGAAAACCAGCAAGTCCAGTTGAATCAGAGTTCATGATTTCTGTAAATAATTGTAACAAAATTGATGCTTCAAATCAAGTAAACATTATATAACTTTTCGATCACCAGGCACCGACCATCTATTTTACTCTAGATGCTTAAACAGGGAGAGTTACCGCTAGGCCGTTACAAGTAAGCAATTCAGATTTAAAATCTACAAGAACACTCGCTTTTTTAGAACCTTTAATCTCAGCTTGTCCAAAACCATGGCTTTTTACTGCTCAACAATTTGCCAAACTCCAAATTATCATCAAAACCAAAAAGAAAAAAAAAAAAAAAACCAAATTTACCACATAATTGAAATATACCAAACATAATTGAATTAAACCATTAATTCGAAAAAGAAATTCTCTTTTTCATTTTTAAGGAAATCCAAAATGTAATTACATTTCAATAGTAAGAATCAAGAAATGGGTTTCGAATTTGATCAGAAATGATTGCAATAACAAATGAAGATTAATGAATCAAACCGATGCAGTTTTTTTAATTACTAACAAAGAAGAGGAAAATGAATGAAATAAGGGACCTTGAGGAAGAGAACAAGGAATACCGATTACTGCTAAAAGTGATAATGATTAAAATTAGATTTGATTAAAATTTTGAAATATTATATAATATTATGAATTTTAAAATTAAATTTAAATTTTAACTGATCTTTGATATTATGAATAGAATTGAATTTATCTTTTTGATTAAACTTGATTTTTGATTTTATTTTTTTTGTTTTTTGTATATAATTTTAATATATTTAAATAAAATTTAATATAAAATTACAATTTTATTTTATAAAAATTAAAATATATAAAAATTAATAAAAATATATAATTTGTTTTAATTTGATTTTTTTAAAATTTTTATTTTCGATTCAAAATTTGATTCCGGATGTTATAATTTTGAAATAATTTTTAATTTTTTTGATTTTTTTCTCACCTTAAATGCAACAATTAATTGTATCGATTTTCGATTTTCTGGTGCAACGGTGGGATGTGAGAGTGGAACAGTAATAAGGAATCCCTCTGCATGATTTTGCTTTTGGATTTCCGTTTCCTCTTTTAATTTCATTTTTAGATTTTGATTCTCCTCTTCTCCGCTCCTATTGTTCAATCCGACATCGTTTTTAACTCTCAAATAAATGGAAAAAGAGAAGGAAAAAAAAAAGGAATATTAAATTAATCAAGGTGAAATATGGAGGCAGAATAAGGTTCACCCTTCTTCAAGAAACCGTTATATTGTAATATACACAGAAGAAATATAAAGGAAAAAAGACGCTAGAGAATCAGCAGCACTAACATGCCTGACCCGTTTATTGAGTTCAAATTCGAATTTCAATGAAGATATGGAAAGAACACAGCAATTTTTTACCTAAACGGAATCACAGGACATGAAATTTTGAAGAAGCAAAACTTGACAAGTATTATTGTTGGTGGCGACTGCTCTTGAAAACGGGATAGTAAACTTCAAGTTCAAGTCGGTCCAAAATCTGCTGAGTAGCCCATAGATAGGAAGAATGACCTTGGATCAAATCTGTTACGTTAACCTGAAAAGAGTTTTTAAGGAATCAGGGTTTAGTAAATCACTACAACGAACAAACAGCTAGGTGGAAAAGTATAACTGAGATAACTTACATTCTCAATCCCCTGCGAACCAACTGGTTGAATTCCAGCTAATCCTTGTGTAAGTAAACTGTTTTTAAGTCACCGTTAGTATTGTGCGTTAGAAAGAAGTGACTTGTTTTAAAAGCGAAAAAGGAAACAAGCCTCAGATGAGGTCACGGATCTATGGATGGATGGACGGATGATGGTTATATAGTATAAAACAAGCATGCATTGCACCAAAATTTCAAAACCCCTCTTTTCCTTGGACAAGATAGTAGATCAGTAAGCACATACCTGTACACCAACTCGGACACGGAAAGAGAGAATTACAGGTTATCCAGTGTGCATTTATCCACTTTAAAATAATTTCTAGGGTTTTACTTGATGAGAGGTAGGACGACCATAAGTTATCCAGTGTTCATTCATTTATATACCAACAGTTTCAAATCACCTAAAATTTGTTCATCATGCATACCTTGCACGGAAAGCAACTCCAAGCATCCAATCGTTAGAAGAGTAAGCATTTATAAACCTTCCAGCCACCATCTGCGAAAGACCCCGAGAAATTAATCAGTATCTTCTACTGATGAAAAGCATATTAAATGGAAAATACCTTTCTTGCAGCTTCCCAGTTCTCGCCTTTAATTGAAATGGGTGCTCCAAGAAGAACAACTCTTTCTACAAGCTCAGCTGCCAACATACAGTAGAAGAGCCTTAGGGTGTTATAACCACTACAGCAAATCAAAGTGTCTACGAGGATAGATTGCTTGTGGTTACCATTTTGTTCAGTCTCAGACAAGACCTGAAGACACTTGAAAATCACTCGTGCTCCAAGTGAGTAACCAATGAGTGTCACAGGCCTGAAAGATTCATAGACTCCAAAAGGTGAATATTGGAAAGATCATTTTGCAGAAGTTTTTATTTCAATGAAAACCAACATTTCCCTAAATGCCACATGTATACCTGTTACCTTGGTAACCTTTCAACAAAACTTCAGCTAGCAGCTTTCCTGCTTTATCCGTTCTAGAAAATGGAAGAAGATAAGGACATGGTTAGAAACATGTACAGTACAACAACAGTTCCTAAGCGCTAAAATAAGAATTAAATGTCTTAGATAGGTGGAAACTCAATATCCTAAATCCAGCACATATGGTTAATATGTTAGGGCAGCCTGGTTTCCAAGGAATTTAATTTGTAGAATACCTACCTAAGGTTCGTAAAGATAAAACTATTGTGGCAGTTCACTAAAAGAAACTGAGTCAAATCAAATAACATACAGCATTAACTGCATTAGCATTCTGTTTTGAGAAACTTAAATATTATAACTTTCTCCCTCCTAAGATTCAGCTATTTTGAGTTTTGCAAGAACCTAACGAATTTGATGTCTAGTGGTATAAACAAACAGATTGTTCGACGAATAGTTTGTGAACAGGTTCGGTTTTTGTTTGTTTATATTCATTATTAAACTTAACAAACGATCACAAACAATATTTCATGATTCATTAATTAAATGAACATAGTGAGCTTAACAAACGATCACAAACAATATTTCATAATTCATTAATTACATGAACATATCAAAGTTCATTCATATTCAGTTTGTTTACACTAGGGGGGGGGGGGACGTGCAAAGCATTCAATGAATAATTAGCAAATCTGCTTTGCTATTATTCGTTATGTTCGTTTATCAAGCTTAACAAACAATCACGAACAATATTTTTAGGTTTATTAATTAAATGAACAGATAACGAACATAGTAAAATTCATTCATGTTCGGTACATTTACACCTATATTGATATCAAACCATGAGCTACTAGTATTTACACTCTATAGTTGTATAACACTTGCATTATTTTTTTCCCTGTTTTACTTAATATGAAGTTCTTTCCACACCCTCAAGTTCCTTGCTTGGTTCTCTTGAAATATTCTCAAGGGTTATTAGACTAGCAGCCCAATTCTAATTAAGAATGGAACTACCTACATCTAGTACTTCTAAAAACCTAACCAAAGAATGCATCTGATAAAGACCACAGCAAGATAGACCTCTAAAATACTGGTACAAATCAATAAAATGAAACTGGAAGAGAGGTCTACCCTTTTCACAGCCATGTAATCTGCTAAAATTCAATAGCAAATCAAACCTGTCCACAGCAATTGTCCATGAGCTGTCTATAAAGTCAGTAGCTGCAAGTAATGCTGCTGGCCATGCCAATGCTGTTAAAAGTGCGCTTAAAACTGTCATCATTGCACCTTGCCTCATTAACTCCATGGCAATTTCTGCAGTGAGTAGAAGCAATGTTCGAATGTAGAAAATTTTTAAAATCAAGATACTATGTTAAAATCAGATGTAAACCCATTACTTGAAGTTAGCCAATCCTGAATTATGGTGCTCACTGCAATCAGATTCTTGGACTCCCACTGCAGCACAAACCTAAAATCTTCCTTGTCAAAACTAGCTTTCTTCTTTTCTGTTCTTTTATATGCAAAAAGTGCTTTAAAAAGAAAAACACAGGTTTCCAATAAAGTGGATCATGGTATAAAATTCTGTACCTTTCCATGTTGTCAATTCGTCCTTCCCAAGGCCTTACAAAATCTTCCTTATCAAAAATGAATCCAGAGATCAAAATCTCAACTGCTAGTCGCTGAAAGAAAAGTTAAATCAGAATTAAAATCTTGAGATCATTAATTAGATTAGGACACCATAGTCTGATATGTCCCCGGAAACAGAAAAGAATGATGGATGTCTATAGGAACTCACGCCCTGGTTGTGGTAGTCTCCAATAGCTTTAAATTCAAATTCATCAACGCTTCCAATTCTCCTAGCCATTTTAGTACCTGTAAGTCCAGCTCCAGCAGCTGGGTCGAACAGAGTGTTAAAAACTATATTAATAAAGTATACAAAGACTTTTTCAGAACACTATGCACCTAACATATATCAGCATAAAATTTCTCAAATCATAAGCATAGGAAATTAAAACTACATAATGAGTCCTGCAGGAAGGAAAATGAGATGATAAGAATGGGTTAGGACTTAGGACTTAGGATATTCATATTTTCAATTAGTCATTCACCTCCAAATGATGCAGCAACAGCAACAGAACCTGCAACAGTTCCAGCTGCACTTGCAGCTGCAGCAAACCCACTTGCTCCAATCACAGGGATTAAAGTGCCTAATGTTGGAGCTAGGGCACCAAATCCTGCAGCAATTGCTGGAGCAGCTAACCCTGTTGAATATTAAAATGAATCAAAAAGGTCAAAAACATTAAAGTCATAAGACATTTGTTTCCAATGGAAATCAAATGTCCTGATAAAATGGTTTGACAATCACATACCACCAGTAATGGCCATCAACGTTCCTCCAGTTATTGCAGCAGCACCAATGATACCACGGCGCTTCCATTTTGCCCATTTGTGTTCTGATGATTGGGATTCTTCTTCTTTTGCTTCTTTCTCTTTTGCTAAAGCCATTGCAGAATAAGCAACCATCATCTCAATGGCTTCCTGCAAGAACGACAAAATATAAAAATTTTCTATAAGTAGTGCAATCAGACTACAAAGATCAGTTTCTTGACCAAACACCACCTTCCATGCCCAAATATGTTCGATTAGATTAGAGAGGTCTCAGAGATCTTCTCTGATGGTAGAGGTATACAATCAAGGACAACCAGAGAAAGGAATTGTGAGGGTTACATAACAGTGTACAAAACTTTAGATACATATCGTATCTGGCAGATACTCAAAATTACATAGAAATTAACATCAATGCCTATCTATTCAGTTATTACTCTTACTAAAACAACATTGTATACTGCCCTGAGTTTGAAAGACAGATGAAAAAGGCATAACAGGTTAAGTTTACAAACCATTTTTATCCACTCAACGTCAAACCAAGTTGCCAGTAACCGTAAAGCCACACGATGCCGAGCATCATAGCCTTTTCTTCGTCGGTTATATTTTTTGTTATCTTCGCGAGTATCTGCAGCTGCAAGACAAGCTGAAAGAAGCTCATAAAGAACCGTCAGTTTCTTCTGATAACTAAGCATCCCAACCTCTTCAGCAGGTTTCTCATCCAAACTATCACCCACCACATGACGGTTTTCATTCCCACGAAGCCCATTAGTATTGCTCTCCTGTAGAATCTCTGTCTGTTCGTTTGCCACTACAGAATTTGATGGCACCTCAACAGTGGAATATTTCTCACGATATTCAAGTTCATATTCACGATGCTTCTCTTTTTTAACCATGGAAGACTCAGAATTTGTTTCCATGCCAAGTGCCATAGTATCAACAGCTTTAGACAGAACCTCCTGATCCAATCTTTCAGATGAACCCTCCCCACTTTCTTCAGCAAGTAACCTCAAGAACTGTAACAACACAGTAACATGTTTATAGCATGGAAAACAAGAACCATTGAAACACAGCTCAAATTTCTTCTGCACAAGCAGGAAGAGAGACATTAGAGAAATAAACAACATACAGGTCCCACATGATTTTTGGCTGGGGAAACCCCAGCAGTTTCTTCAAGCCCAAGCCATGCTGAAGAGTCAATATCTAGAAATCTGACAAATATGAAAACAAATAAAATTTTAAAAGATAAGAAAATTTCATAAAAATTCGAGTTCCTAAAAATTGATCATGTTCGAATTCAACTAATTCAAATAAAATGGAAAAAAAAAAAAAAACTCAGGCAGATAAAAATCCTATGTTGAATTAGATTTGGGTTATCAAAAGGAAAAGGAAAAGGAAAATGAAGTTAACGACCTTAAAACGGGTCGGAGCAGACCCGAGTTTTCGTGGACCCAAAGCTCGGGATCTTCAGAGACGGAGTCGCTACTGCTACTGCTACTTGTTCGCTCCTCAGAGGAAGGGTCATCATCCTCGGTGGGAAGCCCCAGAGGACGAGTCTGATGGATCTGAGCCTGGTGGAGAGCGATGGCAAACAATGCTCCCGCCGCGTACCTCTGCGTCGGCGTCAAAAATGACTTCGTATCTGTAGCCATGCCTCAAAGAAGTCGCCAAATTTCTCTAACTTATTGGAGCTCCTAAAGCAATGCCATCATCGTCCTTGGTCAATTTCTGCAATTCTATTTATAGTTATAAAATTTCGGGATTTTTTTTTTCATTTTCGAGGCTTTTTAACTAAACAAGGAATAAAATAATAATAAAAATAAAAATAACTATGATCCAATTGTATTATTATAATTTTTATATAATTTTTTAAATAATTCGATTAAAATTAAATTCGTCACTCATTTAAATCATAATAATATTTTTAAATTTAATAATTTTAATTCAATGATAAAAAATAAAAATTACACTAATATAAATGGATTAAATTCATAATTCATCTGAATTAAATAATTTTTTAAATTTAATAATTTTAATCAATGATCTAAAAAATATAAAAAATATGTTAATATAATAGATCTCTCCTATAATAATAATAATAATAATAATTTTTTAATATTGTTGGAGTTATTTTTCTTTATTTAATTAATTTTTTAAACTAATTTTGGAAGTTTATTTGATTTATTAAATAAAAATTGAAAAGCCAAATGTCCAAAAACTGGTTTTTTAATATATCAAAACAAACGCTTCCTTTATACAAAAGAAGAAAAACACCGTACACATCCTTTGGCCGCAGAGAAGTAATTGTATTACATTCTGAGATTTATACGAAAGGATTATTTCTTCTTTTTCTTTTGTTTGCTTTGCTCCCATTGTTAAGGTGGCTGCCTGCCACAGACCAGAGAGAGAGAGAGAGGAGCGATAATAGCCACAATGCCCACAAAAGGACGCAGCAACCAGCAATTGAAGGTACTAGGCTAAATCCAGAGAGTAGAAATAATATGTATTATGCCCAGCTAGCTTGAATGATACAGTTACAGCTTACAGATTAAATTGGGAGAATTTAACAGAGCAAATTCCCGATACGAATAATGAATACAGAATTAAATGTGCACAATTGCAGTGGTGACCCTAATCAAGGGTGCCAAAAACTACAAGATGCTCCCTTCTTGCAGTATCCGCTTTCATAAAATTTACAAACTCGCTGCCCTTTAGGCGGTCTTAAAGAACCTACTCCGTTGTGGCCACCATGCCAGGAGTGCCTATTCCATGAGGACCTGCCCCTACCAAAACTTGAATCTCTACCATGAAAATCACGGTCCCTTGGACCAACATACCTTTGTTGGTTTCCCCAATAGGGCGGATTCCCTGATGAGGTGCCTGAATTGAAGCTGCCATTTTCCTGGAATGTTCCCTGACCTGTGCCCCAACTGACATTCGTAGTTCCTTGACCTAAACCTCCCCAACTAAAATTTGGATTTCCTTGAACGGCTGCCCAATTGGTGCCGGAAGTTTCTGGACCAGCTCTCCAAGCAGTATCTTCGGTGGCCATGTCCCAAGTTGTTACTGGTGGTGCAGGAGGCTGTATATCTGAACCAGCTTCATATTGGTTAACTGAGACATCGCTGGGCCTTTTATCTTCATCCATTTCAGCACTTGTGGAAGAATGACCGCCAGAACTCTTCTGAGTGTCAAGAAGTTCAGACTGAGAGACCCCAAATAGCTCATTGATCACAGTCGACTGACAAGGCATTTGTAGATCGTTTGTTGAACTCAAAGCATCACTTTTTCCTGGATCAGGTGCGGGGCTCAATCCTCCTACAGGACTAAAACAATCAGGTTCAGAACCTTGAGCCAACTCTCCATCACCACGCAAAATCAATGTAGGTGAAGCCAAGCCATTAAGAGACTCCATCGCTTCAACTTCAGCCAAGAGATCTGAAACTGATTCATCACCCAAAGAATACTCATTCGGTTCAGGAACAATTGGATCCCAAGAAGATGGATTATTTGCAGGATCTGTGGGAGAAGAATGTGTCAATTGGCCACTTCCTGACGTTGGAGTAGCAGCATGATCACTTCCCAAGTCGGTTGGTTTCAAAGAAGACTCAGGCACAAGATCCGAATCCCATTCCTCAACAGAAGTTTTCACCGGAGTGGAGGAATACCCACCCCATTCACCAGCTACTTCAGGAAGCTGTGGTCCATTACCCACTAGACTAGAAGCAGTACTCCAGCTAGGACCTGAATCTTTTTGAGGAACATTCGAAGAAAGCGGCTGTTTGTTTTTAGCAGCCTGACCTTTTGAGTCTTCATGGTTCAACTTTGATGTTGAGGTAGGAAGATCTCGGAAATCAATATCCTGATTGTGCTCTGCCACTTCAAGAGCCCTAGCCAGAGAAATAAGACCAGAGTTGGAATCCCATCCATTTGAAGCATCATTTAAAGGTGGAGATCTCCAGCTTTGCCCACAAGATTTGCCTGATTTTCCCTCGCTATAATCTTGCTTCACATTTCCAGCAATAATTTGACCTTCAGAGGTCTTGTTCAAATTCTCATTCATGTTAATGGAACCACAGTCCCATCTTTCAACCCCATGACCTCCGCTAACTTGATGAGACTGAGTTTCACATGGTTTCCCAGATAATGTAGATGAGGTGAGTGAACTAGTCACTTGGGGCTGCCCAGGGAAGTAATTATCAACCTTCACAGATTCCCAGTGTGGTAAAGGACTTCCTGTCTGTACAGCATTGGAATTGACAATATCTACCAGAGCAGTACAAGAAGACTGAGAGCCAAATTCTTTGCTCTTCGCAGATTCCTTGTTACCACAACAATGACCACTTGTATCATTCTGCATTGAGTTCAAGCTCCCCTCAACCTGTTTACTTTCCATCTGGTTCACATTCAGATCCCTACTCCCCCTAACATCTCCATCCATGTTCTGGCATCCATCATTAGAGGCAATCCTTACGTCCTCAGTTGGTACACAGCTGTTATGAAAAAACTGTTGCGCTTGGCTGTACCACCCATCTAAAGCATCAGTTAAGAGAGTGGAGTCATCTTGCTTTTCACCTACTCTCCATATTCTCAAATCAGGAGGGAAAAGATCACTCATGCTCCATTTACGTAACATTGTCATAGTAAATGGTCCTTGAATTTTTCCAAGTGGGTCTTGATAGTGCCATATTTTATCAGTCTCAATATTATTTACAGATAGCTCCATTTCTGTAGAATGCAATGGTTCGCTAGTTTCTCTGCTTCCTATATCATTCAAGCCATCACCTCCCTTTAGTGGAAAGGCAGGCTCCTTTTCCTTCATACCAAAGCCAGAATTTCTTGGTTTCATGTTGTTTTCTACACACACACACACACACCCCAGGCTAATTAGCACCAAAGATACATAAAAATGCATACATTCATGCAAACATACATTCAAATATATGGCCAATACTAAAAGATAATGAATAATATAGGAAAAACAACAATAAAAAAAAGGTTAAACATCTAAAATTGCTGGCTACCTTTTTTCTTCTCATCCAATTCTCCAGCAACTTCCTCAGACTCATGATATAGAATCATATTTGGATCACTATGTACATCAGGAATTTCATGCAGTCTACACTGGCGTTCATCAGGTGAGTTCAGGAGCTGCAATTTTTCTACACATTTTCTAAGCGTGCAACATGGTCAAGGAATACTTGATAAACTTGTTAACATTTACTTGCCAACAGAAAGGCTTATGACTAACGACAACTGCCAGTATTATGTCTAGTGGTGTCACACAACCTCATAGCATGATTACTACAAAGAAATTTGAAAATTGAATGTTTTAAAAAATGTTGAGGCCAGGTTTAAAATTTCTGTTACAAGATTCCAGGTTCCTCATTTCCCTTACAACTTCTCAACTAAACCAAGCATAAAGTGGAACCGTAAGGCCAGTTATGCTTCATGGTACAATGCAGCAACTAGCAAAAAATGCAAAATATTTAACAAAAAATCACTGCCATAATGAGAAAGCAACATAGCCGAGATGGTAATAACAAGATATGAGTTGAAAACGCTAAGCCCTACTTTTAAAATGCTGGTTATCCATGTCATCTTTGAGTCCTACGGCTCTTAGTTACTCCTTATCTTTACAACAACCTCACTTGAGCCACTAAGATTATTCCTTTGGACATCCCTTTTCACTAGAATTACATGACAAGATACCTTTGAGAATTCCATTTGATTAAAAAATTATTGGAGTGTAAACAAAATCAGCCTTGAAATAAGTGCATCAGGCAAGAGATAGGGTGGTGTAGCACAACATTCAGCCAAAATTAGAGACAGAGTAAACTGATTTTGTAAGACATAGGCCTATAATTAGGAACCGAAGAAAACATGGGCAAAAGCTATCAAATTGACTTTGCATTCACTGATCTTGCTAAGGGTATGATCCTAAATAAAGGAGAATGGCATGATAAGATTAAATCAATGCTTAGGTTTATTGTTAATTGTATGTTGGTGACATATGTAGAGTAGCAGCATATTAGAGAATATAAGGGCAACAGGAAAAAAAAAAAAAACAAAGGAAGCTTAAAGGTCAGTATCATATCAAGCAACAAAGGATATTCTTTTGTGTGTCCCTTCTCCCTTGCTTGATCAAGAAGATTTTTAACTCGCAAAATCTCTGACTCCAGCCACTGGTCAAAAAAGTAAGAGCAAGTGCAAAAAGCACTTTCAGAAACTACATTCAAGAGTTCTTTAAGGGCAAATAGAGAACATGTAACCATATAAGAAGTAGAAAACTAAACATCCTATGCCTTTCAAAGTAACTACACAGTTATCACTTGAGTCATTTAATGTGCTGCAACATCACAGCTTAGGAACTTACATCATTTACCCTCACTGCTTGAAGTGCCATTGCTTTCTCCTGAATCTCACCCTACAACAAAGCGTAAAACTCCTATTCAGATGACACTACAATTATCTTGGCTGACAAGTAAAAATGAAAATAATACACACTTACCACTGTAAACCACTTGGTCGGCCCACATTTTATACTCTGGCATAGTCGTTGGCACTCATCCTGGGGTTATAACAAAAATACAAAATCAGAGGGGAAACTTGTATACCCCATCCAGGAAGGGAAAGTTATGGCACAATACAAGATGGTCCACTGCCTGCCTAACTAAGAGTGCATTCAAATGATAGCGACATAGATGGAGAACATGTCAATGGCCTTTAGATTGTGACCCTTTTCCATTTAATGGTAAACTTGTTCATGGATTTTACAGCTTATTGTCTTTCCCACTCTGTTTAAATTTTGCTCTTCCAGCCTATAACAATCTACACAAGCCATCAATTATCCTCAAAATCCTAGTTCAACTCTGCCATTAAATCCTTAAATATTTTAAATCTTTCTTTTTGGCTAATTAAGCCATTTCCTCCCTAGTTCAATGATAAATATAACCCTTACTAAAATTCAAACCTATCTCTTCGTCCCTTTTTGTTTCAATATGGAGATAAAATTATAAAGTTAATGCATCAGACTTCCTTACAGAATTCTTGTTAATAAATGCATGAGTAAACATGGAAATTTTCTGTTTTTCAAACAGCAAAGGATCCTTTAAATAAATGGAAGTGAACAAAGAATTAACACAAAATAAAAGTGAAATAAATGGAAGCGAAGAAAGAATTAACACAAAGTACAAGTGAAATATAAGAGTTAAGGAAGTATATTTAGACACCTCAGAAAATTCCTGATTTGAAATACCACCAATCGAGACAACCTCTTTCTTGTCTAAATTTAATATCTCAAGCATGACATCAACTGTCCTTTCGCCAATTTTATATGGTTCAGCTACCTTGCTGGTGCCTGCAAACAAACACATTATTAGTGAATGTCTAAAATAAACAAATTAAAAGGAATTCTTGGTGCATTGGTTATATAAGTAAATACCTATTACTTGGACAAGTCTATATGTATCTTGCTTCTGATCACTACCAGGAATGTTTATCCTTACAAAGGAACCAACAACCTTGTCATTAAATTTGTCAGCATCATCAATTAAGTTCTCCATCAAACTACGCTTCAAGTAGATCAAGTTCATATTATGAACATCAATCGCAGCAGATTTATCAGGATTTGCCTTTTGTCCCTTCTCATCCACCTTTTTACGTGTTTTACGTCTCTCATCATTGGCAATTATAGTTTGACTATAATTGTTCCCATCAACAGCCAATTGGGTAGCAACAGCTTCAGTACCTAGGCCTCTAATGGTATCAATGGCTCTCGAAGGGTCTTGGACGAAAAAGTGTGATTCAAGAAGCCTTAACATTTCAAAGTGGTCCACCCTTTCCTTTCCAAACAATTTTATAAGCCTTGAATCACAGACAAATTGAGATTTTTGGCAAGGATCATGAAGATTGCTTCTTGTTATGTACTGAAGCAAAAGTGCCTGAACATCAAAAAGAGATAGCACAGATATATCACCATTTTTCATGTGTGCTACAAATTCAAGAAGCTCCTTTGTTGCCCAGTTAGTGCCTTCAAGCAAAGGCTTCCCTTTTGCAACACCCCATTTTTCTGCTTCTAGAGATTCCACTTTGTTCAAAAACTTCTGTTCCTTCATCGTTTTTCTTCTCTTGGAATAACTAGCTCCTGGGTCTCCAAAAGACTTGTCCATGTTAGCAGCTTTAGAATTACTACCGTTATTAAGTTCACCAGATGACTCTCCCTTAGGACCCATGATAGCAATTTCTTTCCAGGGATTTTTAGCTTTACTAAGCTCATCTAAACTTAAAGATAACTTCTCCTTCAAGAAAATCCAATACACCTTGAAAAGATACTCCCAACTAGTTTGATCATCAAAATCCACTTGAACCTGCTCATTATAAATTAAAAGGCCTTTAATGTAGACAAAAGCTTTAATCTTCGATAATCTAAACATACCAATTAGAATAGTTACCAGACAAGGAAGCACAACTAATGGAAAAAAAAGATGAGATGTTCAAAAAGAAATCAACTGTGTAAGGCACAGTTAATCATACCATTTCCTTATTTCCTAAAGCACTGTTTTCAATCAGCATTATAGTTCTCATGCACATTCCACAAAATCCTTTATTTCCTCTTACGTTCATGTAATCAGCATCTTTAGTGCAATTCTTGCACAAGGAATATGTACAAGTATAGCACATATAATATGAAGCCTTCTGACAAGTGCTACATATATGCCACCCTGAAATATACAACAAATATAACACCAGAAAATTAATGAAACAATCAACTTAATCATTGAAACTTACTAATACTTGAGATAAAAATGTTAGCATAATAACTAATCAAGATGCAAGAGTCCAAGTCAATGAACAGACATGGAAGTAACCATTCAATATACACGTGGAGACAGTATGATATCATAATTGAGATTAAAAAAAAGTAATATAGCAACTACTCCAGAAGCAAGAATCCAAGTCAATGACAGACATGAAAAGCCACAATTCGATAGGCACATGTTAATGGTATGATATCATATCATAGTTGAGATAAATAGCAACTACTCAAGAACAAAGAATCGAAACCAATGACAGATACGGAAAGCTATCAATTGACATGCACGTGGCAAAAGTAAGGCAGAAGAACAGTTAATTAACAGCGAAGCAAGCAAAAAGCAACATGAATCTAGATAAACCTAACACAAGATTCAACATTTCCCAGCAGTTATATTAACTAAACTAAAATGAAAGTGACAAATATTTACAAGAGGTAACTAAAATGCAGCATACCACAGTTCCATTTTGCCTTTGATTTAAAGAATGACTCGTCCCTTTTGATACAGGCTGGATGGTATGCCTTAGGACAGCCCCTGACATGTAAAAATCGCATATAATTAACAATAGTAGACGACATAAATGCAAAAAAATAAATGAATACATAAACCAAACTAAACCTACAATCTGTTGCCAAAAGAAGAATACCATGAACTGCAATATATGAATTTAGAACCATAAAATAAACAAAAGATCAGCAGCATCAGCTTAGAACTTCCATATTTAACTGAAATTAACTCCAGTTCAAATTTGCCTAAATGAAAAGCTCAGATAAGCTCAACTGAGCAAAGGCTTTATAAATTTTCAGCTCAACTTAGCAAAACTTTGAAGTTCAATCAACCATTAACTCTAGCTTTTACCCTAATGTCGGCCAACTAACTAAAACTTTCTTTCATTTTCCTACATTTTCTGATCAATCAAACAGAAAAGAAAAACAAAATAGAAACAGAAAATTTCCAAACTCACCGGCGATCACAAAGCACGAGACTCCCGCCATCGAAGCATATAAAGCAAACATCTTCCTCATCCTTCTTCTTCCTTTGAGGCGGCGGAGCCGACGGTGACATGATTCTCACCTGATTCCTCGGCGGCCTTCCCCGCCTCCGCTTCCCCTCGCTCATCTCAACAACTTTGACTCCATTCCCCGCCCCCATTTCCGCTGTATCAACAGCATGTACTCGAACCGCCACGTCAGCGTTCCCAACGAGCTGCGAATCGTCCATCTCTGGAATCTTCTGGCATTGATCGACGCTCATGAACTCTACTCCTCGTAAAGAATCACGATTCAAGCTATCACTATTATTACCAACATCACCACAGCCACCTCCACCGCCACCGCCGTTGTCTTGTAAACAAGGCTTATACAGAGCCGTGTTCGATTCCACTTGTTCACAATTTTCCATAAAATAATCGAAAAAAATTATTAATAAAATAAAAACATAATAAAAATATTTTTCTGCAAAAAGTTTTTTTTTTGTTTTTGTTATTTTCCTACACATAAACAAAAAAATTAAATTAAATTAGAAAAAAAGTGAAAACCCTAACGATGGAATTGGGGGTTCGGAAGTGATGGAACTCTGGCTAGTAGGCACATGGGAAAGGACAGGGAAGGTATGCAACAAGGCATTGTTTGGGAGAAAGGATTAATTAACTTTAAACCCTTTTAAAAGTTTTCTTTCGAGGACACTAGTTGTATTTATTTTTAGTATTTTTTTTTTTTGACGTCAAACGCGGCTCATTTGGGTTGGGGGAAGAAGGGGAAAAGAGGGGGGGGGGGGGGGAGAGTTGAGTGTTTGATTCTCCAATGTTTTGTGCTGTTAAGCACCACGTGGTTAGTGGCAGTAAGAAGCAAAGAAGAAGATTGGGACCACAGTTTGGAAATTTTTGTTCAAATGTTAAAAACATGGTCTGCCCCTTTTCTCCTTTTTTTCTCTTCCAAATTTTCACACTACAATAAAAAAAAAAAAACAAAAAAACAAAAAAACATGGGCTGTTTCATCATGGAAGTAAGAACATCTCAATGTTGAATTTAGGTTAATTTATTACTGTGCCGATTAAACAAATTTAAATTAAAAATATATTTATATTATATAAAATATTAAAATTTATATATTTTTATCATATTTTATACGAAAATTATTTATCATAATTTATGTTAATATAAAAATATAAAATATTTTTTTTATTTTATTAAATTTATATATAATTTTATTAAAATTTTAAAATATATCATCTATATATTTGTTTTGTATTATTGTTATTTATATCATTAAATTTATATAAAATATATGATTAAAAAATTTTAATTATTTAATATTATTGTGAATAAGTGATGTGAGCACTTAAAATATAACATAACAGCAATACTAAATTAAGTCTTAAAGAATTAAGATTTAGGTTTCCGTTTAATAATCTTTGTGGCACCATTATAAACATTGTATATCATTTGCATTTGGCTCGATTGTGATTAATATGTATAATTTTTTTATTTTTTAATATATTTTAAAGAGTATGTATTATTTTTTAATTCATTTATAAAATTTAAAAATTTTATTCATAACAGATTAAATAATTTTTTTAATTATGTGATTATACACAAGTTAAATGTAAATGAATATTTATATTAATTTTGAATATCAAATAAATTAATTATCTCTTGCACCTTGATATTTATATTCAACAAGATTTATCATTTCAAAAAATTGTTACAACATAAATGTAATTGGTTATTATAAATAAAATTATTTTCAATAGAAAAATCTATTTGCACAAAATAATACTTTTGGATTATCTAATTTCAACTCAATCTAAATTTTTATTTGCCTTTTATAAAATTAAATTCAACTTTAATTTTTTTAATGGAATAATGTATTTTAATTTTATCCAAATAAAACTCAAGAAAAAAATTATTTTTTTTGGAAACCTTCACTTTTGCAAGTACATTGAACAATTAACTCTTTAAATAACTTCAATCCTTCTTTTTATTAATGAAAATTCAATGGATTTTGATTTTTGAAGTAGACATTTTATTTTTAATAATAAAAAGACATCTTTTACAAAAAAGAGGTGAACTCGTTAACAGACGCCTTTCTTTTGTTTGCTACTGATAAATAATTCTAGAGGATTTTTTTTTTATTGAGTATATAAATGCTAAGCCTCTGGTATTTAAAAAAATTGACTTGGTTCTAAAATTTTTTAATTTTAATAATTTATTTAGATAAATGATGAGAGAAATTTTTATCATATTATTGATATCATTTTTGATAAAATATCATAAAATTTAATTATTAAATAACATTCATAGTTCGTTAAAAATTTTTTTTCAATGTATTTAAAAGAATTTTTTTTAATTTTTATTTGATTATTTTTTATGAATATTCATAATTCAATTTTAACTAATTAATTGATTAAACTTATTTAATTCGGTTAATCAGTGGAACACAAATTTAATTTCGATCAATTAAAAAATTTTCAATCTTCGATTTGGTTCAAAAATCGAATTAATCAAAATTTTAAATGAATTATTATAAATTATATATATATAATTAAAAAAATATGAAATTATCAATTTCATTTAAAACTATTAGAGTTTTAACTTAATATTTTATTATTTAAATATCTTTGTTGGTTAATTTTATTTAATTTATTTCACATTTGAAAAGATAAGAATTTAACTTAATACATTTTATTATTTTATTAATTGAAAAAATTAATCAAACTGACAAAATAAATTTTGGCAGGTTAATTTTTAAAATAAATAAAATTGATTTAATTAATAAAAATAAAATAACATAATTCGATTTTAATTTATTTGGTTTGAAATTAATTGAACCAATCAAATGAATATCCTTAATTTTTTGTATATATTTACTTGTTGAATAATTACCTTAAAATAAAAAATACATAGTAGAAAGTAATATTATAATTGATTTTAAATGGATAAATAATTAAAACAAAACACTAAATTCAATATAATTAGTGTATGTAAGAGTAAAATAATAAAATATGTATAATTTTTAAAATATATGCTTATTTTTGTATTTAAACATGTTTTATTACCTTTTTAAAGTAAAAAATAAATAACAAAAACACGGAATTTAAATTTGGATTCTATCAAATGAAAAAGAATTTGAAACCTAGTCGCATGATAAAATTATAAAAATCGTTTTGCACGTGCATGATTAAGAAAATATAATTTGAGAAGCAAAATTGGAAGATATTGACAATATATTCATATATTTCATTACAGAATAAAATGTGAAGTTATGTTGTACCTAACATTGATAAAATTATTACTCAAAAATGTAAAAATTTTGGTGGGGGTTGTGGGGTCTTTTTTTTTTTTTTTTCTACAATTTAATTCAATGTCGGACCAAAAGCCTTTTGATTTGGGCTTGTATTAGGGATAAATAAAATTTGACTCATCAAATCGATTTAAAGGAATGGAACAAATAAAAAATTTCAATTTAGTTTGATTTATTCGATTTTGATTATAGTTATTTTTTGAATTGATTAAATTAGTTAAATTAGTTTATTTTTTATTCTTAAAATTGATAATTAAATTGATCAAATTAATTGATTTTTTAATAATTAAGTGTAAAAAAATTGAGATAAATATTTTTATTTGTTTTTTTTTATAAAATGTTATTGAAATTATTAAATTATTTAGTGATTTAGTTTGAATAATACTTGAATTTAAATTTTATTATATTAAATTTATAGTTATATAATTATTCATAATAAAAAAAAAACTTATCAAACCAAACAAACTTTGGTCAATTCAATTATGACGAGTTATTTAAAAATTTTCAATCAATTTTATTATTTATTGAACGAAAATTGATTAATTTAATTATTAATTTTTTTAAAATCAAACTATTCAAATCGATCAATTCCTTATCTCTAACTTGTAACATTCTTTTTGATTCATTATCCAGTCATTTTTGTTGTTGGTAAAGATTTAATTAAACCCAATAAAGTTGACCCGGTAAGAATAAGAAATTTTTTTAAAAAAAAATTCAAAATTAATTTAAAATTATAATGTTCGATTAGATTTATATTAAATTTTTTTATTCGATTCGAATTAAATTTGAATATTAAATATATATATATATATAATAGTTATTTTTTATTCGATTGGATTTGAGTATTGCTGTACAGTCATGTCTTGATTTGTATAGTTGGTGATATGCTATAGAATGCATTGAGCCATTGACCATGTATATTCTGTAATTGTTCTTCCTTCAAGAGGATAATAGATTGCTTTTCACCTTCGCTCAAATTGCCTTCGTATTAGCCATCTGGGTTACTACGAATCATGAACTGTCATTTCTTAGTAACTAGATGGATTTGAAGAAATATAACTTTATAACTTGGTTTATAAGCTGCGGTTGAAGAATAAAGGCGTGATCATGAAGCAGGAAGCCAAATCCGGCCATCAATGAATTCAACTGAAATAAATGGCTTTGCCTGCTCTTGAGTAAGCTCTCTAGCCCATGACACTCGCCCACCAAAATCAGCTCCAGGTCCTGAACACTTGTACTGTCCATAAAACACGGTCCTGTAAATCAAACATGTTTCGGACACAGATGAGTTTAACATGTCTGGTAGCTAAACTTGACAAATTAATCTACAGATAAACTCGTACATTTCTCTGTTTTTGTCTCCCCAGTCATACCATCCTCTCGGGGTGATGATCTTGTCCATGTAAGTATAAACAAAGACCACCCTTGAAAAAGTGCCCCACGCCCTCCCCAAGTAGAGGGCACCAGACCCAGTGACCTTGCAATTGACGAAGGAGAAGCCGGTTTCCTCAAGCAAGCTCTCCCTCTTCTGGGCAGTCAGGGCTCCATAGCTGTTGGTTACGGCATGCAAATGGCAGTCCCTATAAAGGGAAAGGCCATTTCCAAATATAAAATCCACAGAACCTTCAATGTAGCAGTCCTTGAAGTAGTGTCTACCAATGTGATCGTAAAGAGTGTCCTGAGCTCCAATAAACTTGCAACCAATAAAGGCTGCTGTATCCGCGGAAATCCGCAGTGCCACTGCTTGCTTTCCTAAAGCTCCTGATGGCGGTGATGGTGCTTTGTTCTGTTAGAAAACATTCAAATTTCTATCAAATACAATCTAAAACTCACCTAAAACTCATCCTCTTCATTCGAGCAATAACAAATCAACTTGCTTTTGGAAAATATGAAAAAGAAATAAGAACAACATCTATGAATAACATGACTATTATTGTAAAAGGATGTCGAAATCATAGGATTGTAATCTAAAGGTTCTGGCTGACCTTGAAGGTGATGTTCTTTGCAATAAAATAAGGAGAATTAATGGCGAATGTTGCAGAGCCGTAGGTGCCAAGCAGACGCCCACCCTGCCCCATCCTGTCTGCTGTGTCATCCCACTCGATGACGGTTTTGTCGGCACCGGCACCTACCAAAGTAATGTAAGCCATGGTTGCAGGAATTTCAACCTTTTCACTGTATTTTCCATCCATAATTCCAAATCAGAAACAAAATTTCTATCCTCAACCTTTTTCAAAAACAAGCTAGAACAACTCTATATTTACCTGTAAGCTCCTGCTCCAATGGAGATTACAACCCGGCAGTGATTAACAATTGGAATCGATTTAATAGCATTTTGCACTGTAGCAAACTCTCCTAGTCTCGGTTTTTTGTTTACTCTTATGGTTAAGCATGGGTTTAATTTGTTCTTTGCTTTTCCCTGGAGAGAGTGCTTGAAAGAAGACATCTGTTTAACCCAGTTTAGATATTCTTTTTCAATCACCTCAAATTCATTGCTAGGCCTGTTTGAGGTAACCGAAGAACTGGCTGCTTCCGACAGTAAGATAAACATAAATAACTTCATTATCATCTTGCTAGTTAAAAACAGTAGCAGTTTAACCAAGAATGAGAAGAAACTGAGAGGAGAACCAACTTTCTCCAGGGATTTGCAATTGCCAGTAACAGATAAAGCTACAGGGTTTCTTGGAGAGTTGGCTGATATTGATTGTGGGTTTTATAGTCAATGAAAGGAGCTCATTGCATGGTTAAAACTCAAAAGACAAAAAAAAATGTCGTTCTTGGTGTAAGACTGTGAGTTCTGAATTCTGATAAAATAATTTGATTTCCTTGAAAGAACATAAACATAAACAAACGTAAATATAGCTAGTATTGAAGCGATTTAATTACTTATAAAAATGGAGGTTCAAAAACCAAAGAATATGATCTGGCACGGCGTGGCTGTATCTTTGTTGGCTCTTCCTGCCATTCCCTTTAGACCAAGCAATGACTTTCAGTCCGTGGTGTTTCTTCTTGTCTGTTCTTGGTTTGCCAGGCACTTAAAGAAACCAGACATTAATAATTAAAAAAAGAAAAACATCACTTCTGGCTACTAGAGCTGCTGCTTCATTATTTTGATCATTATTTTCTACGGTATTCCGTGAATTGTACTGCTCACCTTCAATTTTCACTTTTCATTGACTGTCAATTTCTGCTTATACTCCACAATCCAGCAGGCAGAGATTACAAGATTGAAAGTAACAAAAGATACAACTGCAGAAAGCAGATGATGGACCCCTCCAATTCCCTTATTTTCTTCCAAACATAGATGATAAGAATCAAGTTTCTCGGACCAAAAATCACTTTTAACACAAGTAATCCACTATTAATCCATGAGGGTAGCATTTATTTGTAGTAAGTTTTGTTTTGTAACTGGGAATTTCATTGCACTTTGACATTTTGGGTTTGAATGAAAAATCATGGAGAAAGTAGACAACATAATGAAGTGGACCATACATGATTTCTCTTCCTATTTCTAGAGCGAGCTAGCTTGCTAATGAGCTAAAAGAAAGAACAAAGCAAACGATGTTGTTTTGGGCAGAGGCATGGGGAACGATGACGAAAGGATAGTCTTGATATTTCATTTTTCATGATGGAGATGCTACCTAAAACCTATGAAAAACATTACCACCACCTTTGCCATCTCAATAGTGTCACGAACTTTCAGTTTGCCTGCTTGGCTGTAAAGTGAATTAATTTCCTACTATACATAGGGATAAATATCTTCATTCTGACGTTCAACAATTGGTTGTAGTCTAGTCGGTTAGGATATTCGGCTCTTACCCGAAAGACCCGGGTTCAAGTCCCGGCAACGGAATCATTTTTTCCTTTTATCTCTCAAGTATAAGCAGTCTAAGCAATCCAAGATTCTAAGTTTGTGCAACTTTTTTCTCAGCCACTGTCATGTGTTGTAACCTTTGCATCTGCTTTGTGTGGCAAAATGAAGTAAAACTTAGCAGCTAAGATCCATTAGGATGGCAATAATCATGATTCATGCCACAAGGTTTCCTTCTCATCACCGCTTGATAACTTGATCAGTAGCTTGTATTCAGCAAATATTTCGGGTTACATGAATTTGTCAAAAACTTCAATTTGTAATGAAAAAAATATGTCCCAAGAGCAAGAATCCACCTTTGCAACATACAACTCAGATGTGCAGCTTCAACATCTTTAAGCTCTCTAATCCACCTTCATTTTTGGATGACGGACAATGGCTTTTTGTCTTTTATCATCACTACCCTTTAAGCTTTTTCCCAGAAAATAAGAACAAGCAAAAAAAATTCCGTTGCCGGGACTTGAACCCGGGTCTCTCGGGTGAGAGCCGAGTATCCTAACCAACTAGACTACAACGGATTGCCAGTATCATATCGTACTAAGAACAAAAGAAACTTTCTTTTGGTAAGTTTTTGTTACTCCGCAAGCAGGGTTTAGCGTGTTTCTCCAAGTTTCCCACACTCTGCTTCCCTATCTTGTGCAACACCTTACGGCTCGACTTGGCTTAGCATTTTGAAAGGTGTGTCTTCTTCTCAACATTTATCTTTAACAAGCATTACTTTTCACTAAATTTTCATGTTTGATTTCGGGTTTTAAATGCTCAGTGGATAACACTAAATAATATGGGAACTGTTGGTTGAATTATCCTTACATTTGTTTGGCGTTGAATTTCTCAATTTATGTGCCAAAGTTAATTGCTTTACAGCCGTGGTTAGTTGGTGAAGATAAAGTTGCAGTCTTTCATGGGATTTTAGCTAAATTGCTGTTGAGTTGATAATAGGTTATTTTTCTAATTGGCGTTTTGATTGTATATTCTTAAGGGTTTTCAAGCTGACCTGATGATTGGGTTATAAGAAAAGGAAGTGAAATGTTCTTTTAGATTCAAGGCAATGCACTATACTGTTTACTTTGACAGAGAATGTAGTTAATTTTCCCTTTCTTGAATTCACCAACATAAGTTGAGTTATATATTTTGAGGAATTTAGTAACATGATTTTCCTTTTAAGTTTCACTGCTATATTCCCTGTGGAATACAAAATAAAGAAAACTGAGATGTTTTTGATGGACCATCTTTGCTCTTCGTGACTGTTTCTCCTAGATAGTTGTTTAATATAAGGTAGGCATGGTAACTTTTATTTATTCTTTATTCAATTCAAGTTGCCATCTAATGACATTGTCATTTGCAGCTGTTGATCCTTGATCTTTATTAGTGTTTTCGTGAAAAATAGCCGATTGAGGTATTATAAAATGAGTGTCTCTGGACTGGCTGGCAGTCCCTCACGATGTTGCCTTCGGCTAATGCACCACAATCAAGTTTTGGTACGCAGGCAAGTTTCAGCTATTCCAAGTGCTGGCAAACCTAAGGAAAAAATTGGCTTAATCCATTTTGAAAGGTAGTGTTCGAGTATATGAACTAGTAAATTTTGAGTTTGGTTGTCTGATGTCATGCTTTTTTTCCTGTTACGGTGCAGAAGTAGTTGGAGAGTTTCTATTCAAAAGTGGGAGACACAGAAAACTCATTTGATCAGATGTGCAATGGATTCTTCCTTTGGTGATATGGCAAGTGAATCAGCTGGTAACATTCATTACAAGGACTAATGGACTTTTTCTTCTTTCTGGATTACTATGTTGGTTAGCTTTGAATAATTACACATGCAATGCTAAGGATGTTTCTCTGGAAGTAAAAGAAATTTGAAAACCTTCTGACCTTACTAATTTCTGCCCTGAGGAGTTGTTGCACTTGGTGTAAAAGTGTAAACTAAAACAAGTTGCATTGATGTACGTTTAGTTACTTGATCGAATAATTTTTTTATGATTTGGAAAAACTGTAAGCTCATGTTTAGCATAGCTTTTGTTCATTGAGCATGCACCTTGTTTAACCCTGGCATCTTTGGTTCTTAATGAGCTTGGGATATACCTGTTATGTGCATTTACCAGGAGCCTACAAATCGCCATTTGGTTGTGGAGAACTTGTTTCACTGAATGGTGCTTTTGTCCTGATTTATTGTTGCTGACCCCATTTTATCGAAGTTTGTTATGTGTTGTTAAAAGGCATTTACTTTGTGGAATTTGTTCTTTAACTGTCTTTGCAGGATCTCCAATCTTTCCTAGAATTAATATTCGGGACCCATACAAACGATTAGGAATAAGCAGGGAGGCCTCCGAAGATGAAATTCAAGCTGCACGGAACTTCCTTATTAGTAAATATAGGGCGCACAAACCAAGTGTCGATGCAATTGAAGCAGCCCATGACAAAATAATTATGCAGAAGTTCTATGAAAGGAAGAACCCAAAAATTGACATCAAGAAAAAGGTCAGGGAAGTCAAACAATACTGGGTTGTACAGGCTGTCACAAGCAGGTTCCAAACTCCAGCCACTAAGTTCATTGTAAAAACATCGATAGCATTTATAGTGCTTGGAGTTCTCACTGTTCTCTTTCCAACTGAAGAAGGCCCAACCCTCCAAGTAGCTATATCACTGATAACTACCTTCTACTTCATAAATGATCGGTTGAAGAGCAAAATCCGAGCTCTACTTTATGGGTATGTGATGACATTTCTGGTGTTACCTTAGAATGCGATATGATGTCCTTGATATGTCTTTTTAAGGCCTTTTCTTCATTCTTTTTTCATTTTAATCTTCAATATCTATCTTGTTTTTTAATTGGCCATGACATTGCACTACTTTATACTTGTCAAAAAGATGAATGTTTCTAACCAGATCCTTCCAACTATGATGAATGGTTAGCAAACTTCATTTCACGTCTTCTTCCCTCTTCCAAACGTATTCCTGAAACTTCTTTGCTATTGAACACTGAATTGTTATGACATTAACAGGTTTTAGTAATCAATTTGTTGCCGCACTGCAGGGCTGGAGCTTTTATATTCTCCTGGTTAATGGGAACCTTCTTGATGGTATCTGTGATTCCACCTATACCTATTCTTAAGGGCCTGAGGAGTTTTGAAGTGCTGACATCATTGATAACCTATGTGCTACTCTGGGTTTCGTCTACCTATCTTAAGTAGTTCTAAAGCACCAGGTTTCTCTTATTATAGACCCCCAATTTTGAAGTAGTGGATAACACAAGATTTTCTTGGTAGTGGCTTATTGATCATGTTATTTTAGCTTATGAGAGCTGTGTCATATCTCTACTTTGGCCATCGATACTAGTTGTGCTAAACATATTGGTTCAAAGCATAGTTTGGAAGAAAAGATTTGTGGATAAATTCGTTTGCTGTCTGGTAAAAGATGTAAAAATGGATCAAAGTAAAGATAGGTTGTTGTGTGAATGGTGGTTTCTTACATGCTTTTCTTTCCTTTTGTTCTTTTCTCCCAGTTTTGTTACAAAGATTCTGAATCAACATGGAACCACTCTCTATGTCTTCCATTTCGAACATGCATGAAGACAATTTGTTTGTGGGGTTGGATTTTTAGGACAATGAGAACTTTTATATACTTAATTTGAATCACCCGAGCTTTAAGATGCCCCAGAGATTGAGCTGTTGGGAATAGCCTCGTCTTTGCTCTTCAGTCTTTTGATGATTTTTTAGTTAAAGAGTGCCTGAATCTGTCCACAATAGTTCCTACATGCCCTTTTAAGGAGATTTTCTCTTCTCCACAATCTATTGTTTCTGTGTATTTGTTTTTTTTAGTTGGATTTTCCTTAGGCATATAGTTCCCAGATCTTTGACCATGGGACCTTTGATGTTAATTACCTTTGAGTGGGTTAAGGGTCGGACCCTCCGCCAACCTTCAGTTTCTATTGTCAGGTGACACCTCGTTGCTCCTTCTGGACTAACCGTGTTTGCTAGCTCATATGCCGATGAGCTTGTCAAGACTGCAGTAAGTGTTATATAATTTTAACCTCTTCCACAACTTGCTTAAAATATATGCCAATACAAGAATGAACTAAAGAAAGAGAGAAAGAATGGTTCTTTGAACAGCGTCGCAAAATCCTTTCTTATAAAGTAATAAATCTGCATGGATTCTCACAGGCCTCGTAAAGTACTTGTAGTATAAATTTTGGCAACGAGAGACTGACAATTTTATGAAAAAAAAATGATTTTACCGATATGGAATTGTTGGAGTGCTTGTAGAAAACTATTGCTTCTCCAGGCCGTGGAATTTTGGCCATGGATCAGTCAACGCTACCTGTGGGAAGCGTTTAGCCTCAATCGGGTTATAGAACACTGAGTCTAACCGCCAAGCCTACAGGACATTGCTTGTTTCAGCTCCTGGCCTTGGCCGGTACATCTCAGGCGCCATCCCCTTTGAGGAAACCCTCTATTAATCCATAACCGACGGCAAGAAGATGGTTGACGTTCTTGTCAACCAGAATATAGTCCCTGGTATCAAGGTCGACAAGGTAAGTATCATGCCCCATTTATGGGCGATGATGTCAACTCTTTAGTTTAATTCTTGGTAGTATCCATTACTAATAGCTTGATAATATAAATACTGCAGGTCTTGTTCCACTGGCTGGCTCAAATAACGAGTCATGGTGCCAAGGTCTTGATGGCCTCACCCCACGTTCCGCTGCATGCTATCAACAGGGAGCTCGTTTTGCAAATGGTAAAATTTGTATCCATTTGGCACTACATGTCTAAATATCTTTCAGTTTTTCCATTAGCATTTCCCTTCTGTGTTATGAATACAGGAAAGTGATATAAAAATTATGTACATTCTTTCTGGTGAAAATATGCTTTTTTGTTTTGCTATTATTAAAGACATACTTTCAATTGTTATTTATAGGCGTACTGTGGTAAGCATTCCTAATGGTCCATCTGAACTTACTGTGAAAGAAGCAGCCTGGGGGCTTGCTCGCTATGCTGCCATCTCTCAGGTAATATGAAGTGAAATTTGTACTGTCTTGATCACCGTCTTTGGCATTAGATAATCTTTTGATGTCTTACCATGCAGGACAATGGATTGGTTCCAATTGTTGAGCCAGAGATCTTGCTTGATGGTGAACATGAAATTGACAGGACTTTCGAAATAGCTAAAAAGGTTTGGGCTGAGGTTTTCTTCTACCTTGCCCAGAACAATGTGATGTTTGAAGGTATCCTCCCCAAACCAAGCATGGTCACTCCCGGTGCAGAGTGCAAGAACCGGGCCACTCCTCAACAAGTTGCTGACTACACCCTCAAGCTCCTCCGCCAAAGAATCCCTCCAGCCGTCCCCGGAATCATGGTAATTGGCTATAAAATATAAGTTTCTTGCACATGCCTAGATGAAACTTTGAAGCTAAAGGTTGGTTGGTTGTGGTTTTGGCAGTTTTTGTCTAGTAGGCAGTCTAAAGTTCAGGCTACCTTGAACTTGAACGCAATGAACCAAGCTCCAACCCCATGGCATGTGTCATTCTCATATGCAAGAGCCCTTCACAATACTTGCCTGAAGAAGCGGGGAGGCAGACCTGGGAACGTGAAGGAGGCTCAGGATGCTCTGCTTGTCCGGGCAAAGGCCAACTCTCTTGCTCAACTTGGCAAGTACACAGGCGAGGTAGAGTCTGGGAGGCCAAGCAAGTAATGTTTGTCAAGGGTTTTGTTTACTAGGTTGTTTGAATCGAATCCATAAAAGAAGACAACAGTGATGGTAAAATAAATTATGTACAGGTGATGAAGATCTTTGCTGTTATCCTCGCAGCAGTGTACCATATTTTTGTTGATAACATGTATCTTCAACAGCTTTATAAATTTCCAGCAGTGAAAGTTTAATCGAAAGAGGAGACTACTAATCTCTGCCATTACTATTTTGTTTTCCACTTATTCTTCCTAATAACTACGCTAAAGCATTAGAGTTAGGCCGATCCATACTAAGAGTAAACTGAGCAGAAATCCTAAATACCAATGGACTCGTCAGGATTGAGTGCATAATCTAGGGCAAGTGACTCTCAAAATTCAATTTCTATAAGATATTTGATGTTCTATGATCTTGCAAGTGGATGCAAATCTAAATGCCAAAAAACTTAAAGCATAACCTTGTTCATCCTCCAGTTAACAAGCCAAGTATTACTGTTTTATGAAGTGCAGATGTACGTTGATACCCATACCAGATGCTGATTGTCAAGGTTTAGAATATATCTGGAAGAATGCTCGAGTGACACAACTCAGGCCTAGTGTCACCGTCTACACTAATTTGTGAAGTATTATTGGGTAATGGTCATCTGACACTCAGCCTCCCATACTGTGAGCAGATATTCTGTTATGATGAATTTGCTCATACTCTATCCAATGATGGAAACTCTTACGTGTTTCAGAAGTCGCTTCCCCCATTTGTTGTTGGCCTCCATCCGTTTTGCTACTATTGTCATCATCAGGGCTGGATCTTCTTCTTCTCTTTATCCTTCTCATTTTTTCTGCTCTTCTATATTCTAAAACAAGGTGTTCGTTTATTTTACCGTCTTTATCTATAATTTTCTAAAATGTTTTTCAAGCACAAATTGCATCAATTATATGGGTCTGGTTCACTACGTTTTGGGTTGGGGGATACTAGAGGACAACTAATACTGGCAATGCCTTTCACAATGAGCACCTAAACATCTGTTGAGAAGGTAACGTACATGAGATTATGGTTAGTTTAAGTAATCAATTCACACATACATGTATCTCGTCTATGCCAGACACGTTTACATGTAACTCCTACCCGTGTCCTTGCACTCAGACAGCCACAAGTCAATGTGTTCTATCATCTGTTGCCTCACTTTGTGAACTGCATCAGGCGAACTGCAGTTCTGAGCATTACCTGAAATGGGAAAAACCAAAACTTAAAAAGAATTCAGAAGAAAATCTTTATTTAAAAAATTGGTATGTGATAATCATAGATTACGTCAAATGTTTGCAGTGCTACACAATGCAAGCACATAATTAACTGAAAAACATGTGCTAAGCCTTGAGCACTGTGAAAATATTCAAAATAGTTAGATGACTTTAGCAATAAACAATTCTTACCTTCAATGCTTAAAGGAGATTGGGGACATCCTCGCATATCAGTTCCATGGCCACAATTATGACAAGTAATGATGTAAGAAGGCACTGAAATGTTCCAAAGGAAGTTCTTAGAGAGTGAAATATGATAAGGTGGTGGCTTACAAAAAAAATCATTGATCAACAGGACAAGTGCTTTCTATTTTCTAGATAATCTCAAAACTAGTCGCACAGACTAAAAAAAAAAAAAAACTTAGCCTTTTTGCACTGCATAGAATTATCTCCATGGTGAAAAAAGATCATTTTTTTTTTATCACAACTTAGAACTGCTAGGACTGCCATAATCAAGAGGTAGCCTATTAAACATCTAGGGGTCCTATTAAACATCTAGGGGTCCTCTGCTACACCATCCATATTGCCAAGTGGAGCAAATAGCAACAAAGAGATTCCAATAAAGTCTCTTGTTTCAATTTGGAACCTGGGTATTCATCAAAGTAATGGGTAATAATACTGAAGGCTTACTTCCTGAGGATGATGTCTGTTTGGATGCATGACGCCATGGATCCTGTGAGCCATTTGTAAAAATGATTTTTGAACCTGCAAATTGATATTTTTGTCAGAACAAGTGAACTATAGTTTATGGATGAAAGTTATTGATTGCAATAATAAGAACATTAGAGTATAGACAAAAAAATTGTAAATCCATAATTGTTAATTTAAGTTAATTATTTTGCCCTCAAATGCTAAAGAAATTATTCATCTCTCTTGACTTTTTGGGGATGCCTTTTCCTTCTGAGAAATAACATCACTCATTTTCTTTCAGGTATAACATACTTAATTCGTTTTTGACTTATGTAAAGCCCAAAGATGTTAGCTGAAAATGAATGAATAAAAGCACATATCAAGCTGAATAGAAGGCTTCAGCGTATGGAGATGGATAATCCATTTTCCTGAAATGAAATCAAAGAATAATGTTTGACATCAAGAAACATCTTTTGATTTATAAGAACATCGAGGTACAGAAAACCCCAGCCATTTTGTGCATGTGTGCAACTGCTGATCAATGTGTGCCACACCTCTGTTTGCTGGCGTGAAAGTAACATATGAAGGCAGGTACAAACAAGCCTGTGTGCAGGTGTCTGAAGGAGAGGAAAATTATATGCTAGACAGGTAGAAGAAACAAAGCAATTCCGGGCCAGCAATTACTCTAGATGGGGATTGACCAAAGAATCAAGTCCTTAATGCTAGAACCTGGAAGACTAAATTTATGCAACTATAGGAAAACTCATGTTGAAAGAAAGGCAGAAAACCAAGAAAGATTAAGCCTTGACCTGCAATTTTTGTGCCTCCATAGTATATATTTGTCACATCAACATCTGGGTAGATGCCTTCTCCAAAGACATTCTTGCAAAGATCCAAGTGGTATCTGCCATGGATGAGCAAAACATTTGTACGGTCAGATAGGCAGAAAAGCATACAAAAGGAACAAACACTATAACTATACGCATTTAGCAATTTGACAAAAAAACAGGTAGTAGCAACATAGACACAGAAAGCAATCTTAATATAGATTACATAACATGATATTAAAAACATACTTTGTATCAACTTTTGAAGAGCGAATGCTATCAATTGAGGGTGCCACCTGGAAATATGCAACTTCAGTACACACTTGAAACCACCATAGCCGATCAGAACTATCTTCATTAACAGCAGTGTTCTTCAAGTGTTTCTGATTATAAGTTTCGACACTGACACCAAAACTTCCAACATAATACTCTTTGACATATTTGGCATAGGCAGCCTGCATAAGGTAATGAAAATAAATTTACCACAAATCATAGTCTCAGTTAATTTTAAAAAAATGGAAATTCATACTCTCAAAAAACTGTAAAGAAGCATAATAAGAAAGAGGAGCATACCACCAAATCCTCTCCAGCCTTTTTTGCTTCAACAAGAGGGGTGCATAATTTATCTGGATTTCCATATTGAAACTGCAAATTTAAAAACATTAAGATATTATGGAGCAAAATTAATAGAGAGTGAGAGGACAATAGGAGAAAACAAATCTACCGCAATAACAGCTGCATCTGCCAGAAAATAGAGGAAATCACCATCAATCTCAAGCTGGAAACATAAACAAAATGTCAGCATCAGGATTAGGTGGTGACAATTAAAAAAAACCTCATTACTTTGCAGTTTATGTAGAGATTGTCTGCTATGGATAACTACAAGGAAAGAAGATTCAACCTCAGCTGCGCCAAACTGTGTCTTCAGTTCTTTTTTATTCAATGTTAGTCTTTGATCAACAAGTTGAGTAACTTCTTGTAATGCAGCTTTGCATTCAGTACCAGCTGATTCACCAATCTGCACATCGGGGAGGGTTAAAATGAGGAGAACAAAGGTGATGAGAAAGTCTAGAACTGAAGGGAGAAGAACATATCGAGGATACAAAACTAAAGCATCCAGTATGCCAGCAGATTTTTACAGTATGTACTCACTTCAACCACTCAATGTCATCAAAATTTCACTGCTGGTTGTCCAAAATATTAAGTAAGTTAAAAACAAACCACGAGAATTATATCCCCCTATTCCTATTTTTACCCTTCATAGACAACTAACTGTAGGTCTACATCCTAAATTGGATTAGTTTGTAGGTCTTTCTGAAAATTTACAATTAATCAGTCGACACATGAATAGTAAAATGTAACACAAAAAAAGTGGGATGAAGGGAGCATCCATCTCTTACCTGCTTATCAAACTCAGTGAAGTTGTAAACAGCAAGAACAACTGCAGAACTTGCCAGGCTTCCACAAGTTAAATGGGGAAACTTAAGACGAAACCACGCACTAAGAGCACCAGAGTATGAAATACCAAAAACAAACCATGGATTCTCAGCATCGGTTTTATTTTGCTTCAAGTTTAAGGATTCCTACAGAACAGAAGCACCATCCAACAAAACAACAAATTAGGTCAACAAGAAATTAGCAGCTAAAATATCATCACATTGAATTCATTTCATCTCATAAACCAACTAAGACAACCGTAGGCAAGTTAAGAATGGGCTTAAAAAAAGGGAATCAAATTTATCAAATCTCGAAACAATGAAAATAGAATAAAACCTACTTGATACCATTGACGAAAAACAGCCAAGTCAAAGAGAGCCTGCTTGGATGAAAGATACTTCAAGTTTTCCGTTGTATGTGATTTAAAAGGACTGCTTTTCCCATAGTAACGATGCTCAAGAGAAACCACAGCTGCCCCAAACTTCTTTGCCAAAACCTGAAACCCAAAAAAGAAAACAACAATACAATGATGATGACATTTTCTTCCAAAATCAAACCATTTTTCACTGTTCAAAACTTGAGTTTCAAAAGAACTAGTATAATTTACACTGATATAATCATTGGCTATGCCATTGCAGGAAGACTCCCCACAAATTTTTAAAAAAATGGGTCCATCTGGAACTTGAAAGTAGTCAAGAAATTCATAATAACGCTGTTTAAATTGCCGATGATCCTACAAACAAAAACAGATTTAAGTAAACAAATTGAATCGAATGGAAATAAAAGAGAACAGCAAAAAAAGATGAGAGCATTACGTAAGGGGAATAGTGATCGAGAGTCTGATCGAACCAGAGCTCTTCAGTGGTTAAGTAATCGTTTTTTACAGACAAGCGGTTAAGCAAAGTACGAGGCGTCACGAACCCATGGGCGAATCCAGACAGAGCCACAAGACATAAAATCGAGACGGAAACGACCGCTTTTAACACCCTCATCGTCGCCGTTGCCAACTCCAGTTCGGAACGTTGTGGTCGTGTCCTTTATCTTTCTAAAACTGGAGAACTAAGGCCTAAGGCCCAAGGGCTAAGGTTGTTCAGTTGACTGTTAATAGATAGCGTGAAGCAAACCACATCAAACGTGTTCCGGAGTCCTATTCTCAAACTCATCATGTGCTTTTATTTTTTTTAACGCATTTTTATTTATTCATTTAATTAAAAAAATTTATAATGGTGGCATTATTTTAGGAAAAGTTTTCATCTACACATTTTAAAAAAATATTTATAAAAAATAGATTATGTATAATTTATTTTTTATTTAATAAATAAAAATTTTGAATGTTACTTTCTATCCAAAACATGTATCAATCTTTAAATTAAATATTGAAATACAAATTATTTTATTATATCACTAAAAATATATATTTTTTATTATTTGGATTTCAATTGAATAGACTATAAAAGAATCTCTTCTCGTATATTCAAATGAAGTATTGATCTAAATAATTTAAAGACGGCGAAACTTTAATAAAACATGCAATCAAAACCCTTTAAAAATCAATAAAATGGGTTTAGATTTTGTCCATGATCATATACAACTCAAAATTTCATGCAATAAAGGTTGCCCTGATCATCATCATCATCATCAATAAACCAAAAAGAGAAGAGTTTCCTTTTGCTTTTCTCCTTTTCTTCTTCACCCTTTCTTGTAGTCTCTTCAGGATAAACAACAGAGTCGATCACTTTACCTGAGAACCCTTGTCATGTTAATATCAGTATAACATTACTTCTTACGCATTAATCTCAAGCATTATCACATACTCGCAAGTGCTTTAAGAAGTCACAAAAAAAAAGTGCCGTTTCTAAAACAAAGGGATGATAGATTACAGATCAATCCTTTTCCAGTGGATTACATTCTTTTTACTTTGAAGTATGAGCTATGAAAGCTGTCTGAAAAACTACTCTTAAACAACTAAGCTAGTTTAAGGAGAGGCAAAGGAGATGATAAGTTGACCAGCTAAGGATGAACATATGTAAAAATAAGGCCCTCCAGGCTTCTGGCTTCAAAATAAAATTTAACCAACTGGGAACCAAGCAGGTTTCCTAATCATCATTGAGTCTGCTACGAACAGCGAATTATTGTTCCTTCAAACATAAAAATGGGCATCAGGGTCGATTTTGCAAGATTAATAATTGGATGTAGAAGCTATAGTTTTATTCCTGAATATGCTTGTGCAGTGTAGGTGACTCTACATCATGAGACAGAAATGCAATGATTGTATCAGGTTCTGAACTAGGCTGTACATAATAACATTATCAACTTCAGATATGTACCATTCCTCAATGTAATCTTGCCGTTCAACTTGAAAACCAAGACGAAATAAAGTGTTGATACTTAAATGGAAACTAAATCAAACAAATGCATTAGCTCTGAAATCAGTCTATTTTGGAGAATTTCTAGAAAATTATCACACACAAGTTTGGAATATGCTCTAAGTAACCTTTATGGTATAGATGAGTGGTGACTACTTTCTCTTATAAAATCCTATCATACAGTAGTTGATTTCATGAACTTCAGAAATATCTTCCACACTCTTTTATCAAGTTTCCATATCTATCTTCTAAGTCTGATGATAGTGCTACAATCTGTTTTGAAAGGTCATACAATCCTCTTATATAGGTCTATGTCTTTTCATGCATCGAAACAAAGGCATGCGTATTGCACATGAAATGAAATTTGAGGGCTTCCAACTAAGAAATTACTCAATCTCACTCCTTAATAAGTGAATACAGATATTACCTCTAAATATATTGAAAGAACAAGATCATGAATTTCAAATGCTGTGAAAGAAAGAAGAAGAAGCCTGATTTATAGGTATATTAACAGCTAAAGTAGTTCTAACCTGATTGTTGGAGGCATGCCCATGTATTCGATGAGGCTTCATATTCAAATCTATCATTTTAGGGTCCATGTTGAGATGGCCATCAGGATTAGCATCTATCCCTTGAACAGGAGAAACCTTGTGATTTTGTTGGTTCTCTCCCACTGTTGGTTTAGCTGTCTGATTTTGGTATCTTCTGGTCTCATTGGGACCCACTGGCACTGGTTGTGAAGCTGGGTCCTCTATATTACCAGGTTTATCCCCTGGAAACTGCATAAAAAACAAAGCAATAAAATTTCAAGAGCAACATTTAAACTCCAGGAGGAACATATGACCCAATTCTTCTCAAAGATAAGTGACAAACCTCTACTCTCTGCCTTAATAGAAGATATCTTCCATGAGTTCTTTTACCTCCAACATGTACAATCATATCACATTGCAAACAAAGGGAACTTCCATCTATCTCACAGTAAAAGAAAGCTACATGCACATGCCAATACATGAACATAAGTTTAACAAACTTCTATACAACCTGATAAAACAGCTGCTCTGTAATGAAAGGAAAAGTAAGACAAAAAAATTCCTGCATACCAGGTGCCTTTTCACATATGTCACAGCGAGGTACATCACTGGGATTTGCCAGACCGACCCGGACATGCCGGCTAGCAAGCTTATTGCACATGTGGACCTGCCACATCCATCAACAGTTCAAAGAAAGGTTTCAATTTTCCAGGACAGTCCAGAACAATGAAAGAATTCTAATTCGAATTGTAAACAAGTTTGAAGAAGTATCCTTTTGATAATAATGCTTAGGAAGTTTTTGAAAAGAAATAAAATCAAATATACCAATCTATTTTTCAAAAAAAAAAAAAAAACTCAAAAGTATTCGTTTGGGTAAAGACTATTCATCAAATTTTGGAATTATGCTAGCAGTGGTACAAAAGTGACATACTAAAAAAAGAGCTTCAATCTTGAAGAAGAAAAGTGGGGCCTTTGGTTGGGTTTAACAAAAAAAACCAAGTAGCTAGGAAGTAATAAACAATTGGAGAAGCAAGCAACTATGAGAAAAATCCTGCAGGCTACAAAGAAGAACCATGGACGACAAAATCCCACATGTGGTCCAGTTAACAGCTAAAACACACCCCAAAGTGCATAGTTACTTGAAGAAAAACAAGAATCAATTGAAGGAAGAAAGAAAGAAGCAACTTTTTCATCACAGGCACGGCAAAGAGCAGCCTCATCAGCAGCACAGAAGAATATAGCAGCAGCACTTTCACAAGCGTCACAAAGGGTTCGCATAATTCTCTCTCACTCTCATCCTCTCCCAATCAACCAGCAAAAATATTCATCTCTTTTTCAAATAATAAAATAATACGACACAGAAACAAAAGAAAACAAGCTGTTTTAATAATCAAATAAGATGATAAGCAGAGGCAGCTGTTGTTGTTGTTGGGGTTGGTTGGTGATAATGATGACGATGGCAAGGACTAGGATCGGTGGGTAGGGGGAGAAAAAAGATGTTTTTCTTTTATATATTAGAAGGGATTGGAGGAGGGTGTGGGAAAATATGGGGATTTAATAAGCAGGCAACAAAGACATAACAAATGAACGAGATAGCGCTGGAATCAATAGGTGTGTTTTGTTATGCCAACTTTTGGTTTGACTCATATGGTATTTGCTCAATTGATGGACACCACAAGTTTTTCAAAGAGAGTCTTGGCGTTTGCAGTTGTGGGGTTGAGAACCTCTCTTGCTTTAATCTTGCCCACCAGTCACATATCTGCCATGGGACCCAGTTTTTCTTATTTCCTGTTAACTTCGGTTTGGTTTTCTTACATCCTTGCCGCTTCTTGAAGCCTAGCATCCACAAAAGCATCTTCTCTCTCTCTCTCTCTTTCTCTCTCTCAGTAATCTGTAGCTAATTGGTTCCACAATCTCCTCCCTCGTGATTAAAGGAGAAATATCTTGTGTTTCATGACTGTTGCAAGCACAAAATTGACAATATAGTACAAATTTGGTTAGTTATGGATGAGGATGAGATTTCAAAAAGTAATGAATGAGAAATTATTAAAAAAAAAAAAAGGGTTTGCAGGTGGCAAAAATCATCATTTGGAACACTAATAATTCTGTTTTCTTTAAATTAGTTGTCTTATCAATTGATATCCTTGCCTTTTTAACACTTCGTTTGCAATATTTTTCGGTTTTCTATTTTAATGGTCAGATGGATGATTTGTTATTACTTTATTTAAATATGTTCAAATTTATACAGTATTATATTATAAAGTCAAACTGAAGTATATCACATTTGCTTGAATTTAGTCTTTTTCTCCCCCAAAGCAATTTAGTGATAAGGTCACTTCATTGGATCAAAATGAAAGTAGAACTGCTTAATAATGCAGAAGAAATTAATCTTAGTTTCACATTTCAGTTTGAAGATATTTGTGTTGGCTTTTTGCCAAGGTTTCTATGAGCCTGTGGTATCCATTTTTTTTCCTCCTACCTTCCTTTTGATTGTGGTGTCCACATTTTCCCCTGCCACAAAAATGAAATCACAACTAAATTCAATTTAAAATCAGATGAATGGTAGTTGGTAATAATAAACAAACCCAAGCAGTACTGACGGTAATTGGAAATTTTATAACAAAAAAGCAGGCGGCTGCTGCAAAATTGACATTTCACGAACAACAGTGGCAACTGGCCTTGCCAAGGCACAATATGGCAACTCTATTGGTTTTTACAGATCATTTCTTTTATCCTTTTGATCTATATCAGAGGCCATATTTCCAATTTAATGTATATTACATTCGGATTATAACTCAATCTCACAAACTTATTAAAAACTATAACCAATACATGAAACACAGACACCAGACCACTGTAAGACTTGTAAAACAATTGCGGCACACAATAGCAGAAAAGAAAGTCAAGTTGTTCACATTTTTTTTTTTGGTGCAATTCAAAATGATATGTTCATCATATCCATGCTCAAGCTCTCCATCATCGCATTTTCCATGAATCCACATTTAGCTGAAGCAGACTTGTTGAAACTGCTTAACCTTCGCTTGAATGAGCAGGAAGATAGAGGAAGTATTGGAATGTTCTCACAGTTGCAGAGCTCAACCATGTAACCATCTGGGTCGTGGAAGAAGACCTGATCAACCCTGTTCCCTTCATCTTCAACCACAGCTGTTATATACTTCATTCCCATGTCTTCTAGCCTCCTCTTGACAAGGCCAACATCTGTACACTGTCATCACAAACCATTTCAACACAAACTTGTTATAAACATATTCATATCAGTGATATAAATTAAAGTTGCAGGCTAAGTTTCTGAAAGATTCAATTTGAATTCATATATTATACCTGGAAGGATATGTGATTATCCTTAGGATTAATTGGTCGTGGTTCGACAATAGTGTCAAAATCATCAATTGATGGATTCTCAATTAAGTGTATCCCAATGTCATAATTATACAACCTGCATGAGATCAGGCAGATCAGTCATTTAATATCCTATGTCAAAGAAAGGTAAAAATATTTTGAAGAAAGCTAGAGCAGTAAGCTAATTACCAAGCTCCATTGAACTTGAAAGAAGAAGGGCGTTTGATGAGAACAAATCCCAAGACTTCTTCATAGAACCGCACAGAATCCCAAACTGATCTACACAACAATGAGACATGATTCAATGAGAGAAGTGGCAATGCCTCATAATTGTTTACTTCCTCAATCTCCACCATGTTTTCACTCTTTCACTTTGCTCCTTCCTTTCTCACTTTTTTGCATGCACAATTTGCATGACTAGGCTACTGCCTAGTGGTCCTTTTAATATGCAAGATTTGGGAAACATTTCCTAAATTCAAATTCAAGTAATTATGAGGAACTTTCCTAGCAAATTCTCTTACTCCCAATCAGACGCATACACTTTAGAGAAATTGTCTAATACCCTTTATTTTGAAGAAACAGGAGAAGTGCTTAACTTTTCTTTTGTGCACATCACTTTTAAAAATTCTCACCAAAATTTTCACCAAGCTTTTTTATTCAAGTGAAAAATGTTTTAAGGGGATTCTTACTTTTATCAGTTATGTATTCTAGTCTATTCAAGTATAAATTCTCATTATAATCCGAATTATACAAAAAAGTAGTATTATAATTAGATTAAAGGCTCCCAATAGTATTTGGATTCCAATTAGGAAAAAAGGCCAATATGATCTGTTCTCTTGGGTTCTATGGCTTTGATTTAGACAGACCAGCGGTTCCTTCTTATCCCTGCTGCCATTCCATCAGATAGTATATTCTTCTGATTATTATAAGTATATTCTTCTGATTATTATAAGGCTAAAGCAAAACATATAGATGATCAATTGAAAAAAATAGAGTTGGCCTTGATTTTTAAATGTTTCTTTCATTTCAAATCAAATCTTATATACTTTTTGCTTTAAAGATAGCTAGTTACTGCTTTAGCACGCGTTTTTTGTACTGATCATTTGTCCGGATAACCATTTATGTGAAATTGACTATGATTTTTCCTCCCATCAGGGCAGGTAGAAATTTAAGTTCCAAGAAAAAAACAAAGCTGTCTGGTTTAGCTGTTGCCTAAGCCCTTTGAGTTATTGGTTAATGTTGAAGATGCTGCTAAAATAAGTAGCTAATGTCAGAGACAAATCCATTCAAGTATGGTTCATTTGTTCCCAAAAATGGTGATTTTGAAGGTTATAACCAAACATTACATCAAGGAAGAGCACATCCCTTTTAGCCCTTCGAGGTGTCCTAAAGACACAGTACAAAATTCCGAAAGTGAGAAATTTCTTTGATGTTTCCCCTTTACAACATGACATAACCAAATTTCCTTCTCCAATGTTTCACTCCAAGATAAAGGACGAGGAAAGTTTTGGCACTTGACACACCTTTCTATAAACCATTCAGAGCATTTTTTTCTACGTAATTGCTCATGCATCATTAATTCATCATTGCATCACATGGTTGCAATACAAATTGCCCCTACAAAATATATACTAATCTTTGGTTATCATCTCAGCAGTTTAAAACAAGGCCTATCTGTCAACAAAAAAAAAAAAAATCAGTCTGGTTTTTTTGGCCCTGAGCACCTTTGAATCTCTTTTTCTTTCTTGGTTTCCATTTTGGCCGGTTTGTCTTTTTTCTGGAGGCCGGTTTTGACAATAACCATTTGACATGTCTGATCAGTAAGAGTCACCACCTCAGGATTAACATTTTCTTTACTAACATGAAATTTGGTTTCTTTCTTATTTGATTTCTGGTACAAATCTTGGATTTTCTATGGAACTAGAGTTTTGATAGCGCAGCAGAATATAGCTTGACAAGAAAGCTTATCCATATCCAAGCTGTCAATACAGCCACACAATTGGTGAGAGAGACGATGATGACGGCCATTCATAGAGACCGTAAGATATTCTTGAAATACTTGAACAGCAGTCACAACAATATCAGCATCAATGGATCTGTCTAGAACACGAATCAAGATTCAGGGAAGTGAAAAATATTTAGGAGACAAAGCGCAAAAGTGGTACCCTCGTGGTACACCCAGAGGCAGATATTTGAGATGGGGCTGCGAGTCTGTCTTTAAGCTTAGCTGTTTTGGGTTTTAGACAAAGACAACCCATGTTGTCTTGGACTCGATCCATGCAGGGAAAACAATTCAGCAGGGCTTACATAGGCCTTAAATTGTTCAACCCATGATTCTATCTATTAGAGATACCAATAACATATAGTGTTACTCTTTTGATTGCTATGCCAAAACAAAAGGAGACCAAAGGAAATACGATAGGCTGCATCCAGGAAACAGAGGCATATGTTACGAAGTTAAGGAAAAGTTTTGAATTTTATATTGAACATGGGTTATTAAGGTATAAAAAGAGTTTATATTACTTTTATCTTATGAAATATCTTTTGAAAGATAAAATCGTGAGATCAGAGGGTTAGAGTGGACAATACCTTATAAAGGTGTGAACTGTGACAGTTAGATTGATCTAAAATGTCGGATAAGTGGATGCTTGGGTCTTAGAGTAACGCGAATTCGAAGCTTAAGTCTCGACCCTTGATAAATGGTATCAAAGCCAACCCTAAACTATTCGATCCACCTTAGAAGGGTGTGAACTGTGACAGTTAGATTGATTTAAGACGTCGGATGAGTGGATGTCCAGATCTCGGAGCCGTGTGGGTTCGAAATTTAAGTCTCGACTTGTGACAAGTGGTATCAGAGTCAGTCCTAAACCGTTCGAACCACGTCGAGCGCATTGAGAGAAGTAGGCAGGATTCAGCCTCTGTGACGAAGGTGTCACGGATCTAAGAAAGAGTCATGAATCTCACATAAAACATAATAGGAAGGTCACTAGAGTATAAAAATGATTCACACCACCTCTATCTTGTGAGGCGCTTTTTGTAAGATAAAATCGTGAGGTTGAAGAGTCAGAACTCACAATACCTCACAATGATGTGAATCATGACAGTTAAATTGATCTGAGACACCGGATGAATGAATGTCTGAATCTCAAAACCGCACGAATTCGAAGCTTAAATTTCAACTCGTAACACATATGCTTTGCCGTCTAATACTGTTGAGCGTGGTAAGTAAAGACCCCATTTATATTTCAGACATGAACAAAACTTCAAATCAGGTTATTATCGGTTAGGCTTTCCTGCATGGCTATCCTTTATGAAGAAATAACTATATGGGTAATCCAATTAGTAAGAAAGTATATTGCTGTCAAATCTATAAGGTTTTACATGCAAAATGTCCTTAGATATCTAAATGATAAGAGAGACGCATTGAAAGATTTAGCATGGTTTCTCTCGATAAACATGACAAAGCGACACATTTATTTGTTTTTGGGATTCGATGACCTTTTAATGTCAGAAACTTATTAGGGAAATAAGCAAAGCCTAAGTACGGAAACATGATACATCCATTGAACTTAGGGGTTTTGATGTATTTTCTGCAGCAACTCTCCTATATTTCATTGGTTCAAGCCCTTCGCCTTATAGAACATTCTGGGGGCGAACATTCTGATCGGATGTTTTAAACAATCTTCGTTTTGGTTTTCTATTGTGGGTCAAATTGCATTTCAAGAGAGAGGATATATAAAATAAAATGATTCATATACCTGAATTCAATAATATTGACCCATGAGCTACAAAAGCAAAAGGAAAAAAAAAAGACAAAGAAGGAAGTGATCATGCTCCATTTTTGTCCCCAAAAATCATTTTCCACTTTTACAAAGAGAAAAATTAAAATGAGATAAAAAGAAGGGATTGTTTTGAGGGAATAACAGTAGGATGAGCACATGCATGGAATCCAATCTTTTTAGTTCACAAATCTTATACTACTAATTATTATTTTGGTATACCAAGTTTAAGGTTCTTTGCCAACAAATTTTCTCACACATGCATGGACCGCCATTCAACTTTGAAGGAGGAATATGTTAAGTAATCGCTTTTCTCAACACATGAAGGGTTGCAATTATTAATCTTGGGCTTCGGTCAAAAAGGGTCCCCATGCTTCCTGTCTTGAGCAGCTATTGCCTGCCTATTTTGGAGGAAAAAAAATTCAAGGACAACTAATGGACTACAAAATCAGCAAGGGAGAGAACATTGCAAATTTAACCACAGTTCTATATACAAAATGGACTAATGGTATTCCTTTTAACCTTGTGTTTTGGGTTTCAGTAACTTTTTTAACTATAGTCGAATTCGACAATTATGAAATCAGCATGAAAAGTGTATCGGTTTGGATTTGGAATGTAAGATTTCTTAAAGGAAAATGAAGAAATGAGATACAGTTTTGTTGTTTCTTGAGTCTTGACATGCAAATTTTCTTTTTTGTTCTAATTATGTGACAGATTAATCTTCATGTATCCATAATTATCATCCAACATGTCTGATCTTTAAGATTTCTATGTACATTTCGCACGTAAAACATGAATGACAAACTAAAAAAATCATTGAAAATTATCCCAGACCTGTAGAAATGACCATGATAAGACATGATATTTTGCATTTTAACTGCCATGCATAAAAACTTCTATGAAGTGAATTAAATAATAGACAAAAATCTCTGCAATTTTAATTGTTCCAATGCCAAATTAGAACCCATCAAACTTCATAAATCATATATTTTAGCGCCTATCTAAGGATGGAAATCTACTTTAGATTCACTTTTTGTTGGTTCAGAAAAGCTAGTTTCATCTGGTGCTCTTGTCTTGAGCAATAATTTAATGCAATGACTAATGATGCTTGGTTGCTAAGAAAATTAGGTACAGCTTTTATGGCCAAAACTGTAATCTCATCAACCTCTATTATCAAAAGCTTTTTCATTTTGTTTTAATTCAAAGGCTAATTATGTTTTCACTTTAAATGCAGCTTGCAAACCAACTCACAATCAAAGAGAAGTAGACGCCATAACCACTTCAACATCTAAGTCATTGAATTAAAAGACCCCAGCTTTCCTCTTAAGTCAATGAAGATCACAGATTTTCTTCTCTTTTACTCTATGTTTCCTTCAACGTGTTCTATTTTGAAGATTCTGTTATAGAATTTTTACTTTTATGTGCATGCAAATGCAGCCTGGTAAGAGTCCCAAGTTTGAGGATTGAAAGCTGAAGAATTTGGAGTTGGGTGCTGATGTATTGATTCTGGTAAATATGGCTCAAAAAATGGGTTGGAATTTTTTCTTTTTTGCTGTAATTCTATGTTTGCAGAAAGGAATTCAACTTTGTTTCTTTTGCTCTATATTTGGATTAAGTTATTATTGGATTTTGTTGTTTCTTACAGGGCTAAATATAGACAAAACCTGAGCGCAGATAAGAAGAGAAAAAAATAGGTGATATTTGCAAATGTTCCAAACCCAAACCTGAGAGAAAGATAAAAAATTCCATGAAAAAGACCATGCAACGTGAATTCAAATTCTCAATCTCAAGGTAAAAGCTTCTTATATCTCAGACTATCTTTAGTTTTAACCTTCATTCTTTTATTGAATTAGTCCAAAAATATTCTGTATTTAAATGGTGTAACATGAGAATCTGACTTTGACACTCTGTAATTGGCGACAATCAAACTGGATATGAATTTGTGTTAACATTGAAATTTTTTAATAAAGAAGGGCGGATAAAGAAATGGGGCGGTTTGGTTTCTGGGTTGAGACAAGTTACTGAACAAAATTTTGGGTGAATTTAGCACTAACCCATGACTAATTTGTTGATTGCAGACAATGATTGCAACTGCCTAAAAGTTGGGTGGTCCTTACATTTTATAGAAGCCCAACAGAACCTTCATTGTCAAACCATTTGAATTGTGATGGCCCAGATTGACTAGAGATGATCAGCTGATAGGGAGCCGAAGTAAAGAGGCTAATATCGTTGATATTAGTCTCATTGTATTGAATTTTCTATTCATGGTATTACTTCTACCATTGTTTTGAGAGGAGAGCTGAGAGATGGGGGTGGATGGTGGAGAGGAGCAAATGCAAGAGCCAGCAGGCTGTGAGGAGAGAATTTTTGTTTCTGTTCGTTTGCGCCCTCTCAGTGAGAATGAAATTGCCAGGCATGATGTGTCAGACTGGGAATGCATCAGTGATAACACTATCATATACCGGAACAGCCTTTCGGTTTCAGAGAGATCTATGTACCCAACTGCCTGTACATTTGGTAAGTTAGATTCCAGTTTATGTAAATTTGATTGCTTTCCTCAGTCTTTCCTTACCTTTGGTAAGCTTTGAAAATGTCTCTCAATTCCTGGAAATAGCAAATGAATTCACTTGCATTTGAACCAAAATTCTTCATTTTCTGTTAACTGTGTTTAATGTTAATGTCAGTAGCTCTATGATAGAAAATTTTGCTGCATAAGCCCTTGAACGGCCCCAAACCCCAAGATGAAAAATTAGGATGGAGAAAAAGGAAACATTTTCTTTCAAACTGGCTCCCATAGTTGGAGTTCGAAATTCCTTTATGATTTACAATTTGTCACTTACTACCGTGATGATTTTATTGCCACTTTTTAGGTTTCAGGACATATTTGCTCAGCTTTCTTAATAAATGAATAATAAGGTGAATGGGTGCTTGTTATTACCAAGGCCTTAATTCTTGTCAGGAAAATTTGTTGTAGAGAGTATTTGTTATAGCATTTTATCATGTATGGAGTTGACATCAATGGTTTCTCATAGTTTTCTGATTTGTTTTTCTTTTCCATTCATGGGTCTGCTTGCTGATTTTAGACACAGTTTTTAGCTCTGATTGCCCCAATAGGCAAGTGTATGAAGCAGGAGCAAAGGAAGTTGCTCTTTCAGTTGTCAGTGGTATAAACTGTGAGTGCATCTTTTTCCTTTCGTTTTGGAGACTCCTTATAATGTTCTTTAGTGACTCCACACGACTTCCTGATCTCCTCCTTCAATTCCTAACATAAACTATTTTTCAGCAAGTGTTTTTGCTTATGGACAAACAAGCAGCGGAAAGACATATACGATGATTGGAATTACGGAGTATGCCATGGCAGATATATATGACTACGTACAGAGGGTAATGAAGACAAAATGGCTTTTGTGGCTCACTTGTGGTTATGCTTTTCCATTGTATTTCCCTCTTTGACAAAAAACAAACTGGACTTTTCTGTAGCACAAGGAAAGAGAGTTTATCCTGAAGTTCTCTGCTATGGAGATTTACAATGAATCTGTCAGGGACCTACTGAGTGCAGACAACACTCCCCTCAGGCTTCTAGATGATCCAGAAGTGAGTTATATCCTTTGTTTATGAGCAGCTTGTTATCTTATGGACTATCTAACTAACAGACAGCTACTTTGATAGAGAGGTACCGTTGTTGAGAAACTCACAGAAGAAACTCTGTGGGACTGGAATCATTTTAAAGAGCTTCTATCTGTGTGTGAAGGTATGAATGATCTCAACCAGTCTTCCTTTCACTAGCTTATGACTGCATATTTAAGCATGTCTTTGTGCACGTTGGCAGCTCAAAGACAAATAGGAGAGACTTCTCTGAATGAGACAAGCTCTAGATCCCATCAAATTTTGAGAGTGGTATGATTTATGTTTCATTGCAAAACTTTTAGTTATTGTTCACTTGACAATGATATGATATTTATTTTTTTTAAAACCATGTACCTATGTGCCACCCATCAGACGATAGAAAGTTCTGCACGAGAATTTTTAGGCAATGACAAATCAAGCACCCTTGCGGCCACTGTGGTATGAAACAATATATATTTTCATTCAAAGATTTGATTGGTCAACATATATTGGATGGCAGGTGACATTTCTATTCTGTTCTGTCTAGAACTTTGTTGATCTCGCAGGAAGTGAGCGTGCATCTCAGACATTATCAGCCGGTGCAAGGTTGAAAGAAGGTTGCCATATAAATCGCAGTTTATTGACACTTGGAACTGTTATCCGTAAGCTGAGGTGAACTTTTTATTAGAATTTTGTTTTAATGTTTGTAGCACTTCAAGAATCCTTTTTGTGGAAAACCACTAAATTTCATTGATTTCCTGTTCTTCAGTTTGATTAGACATGATCAAACATATTAGAGAACCAGTTGATAAGTGCAGGAACAACTTCAGTTTTGTGTAACTGATCATTTTCCAGTGTTGAGCCAAAAATAGCATCTATTATCATAAAATTTACAAATAGTTCTTTTCTTTTTCCCTCTGCATGCATTTGCCAGTTGTTTATGAACTCTCATTCTGATTCAACTTCAGTGTTCCCTTCCCCTAATGTTGATATTTTTTTTTGATCCATTGGATTGGGGATAGGGGATGGGGATGGTGGGGTTTGAACTCCCACCTTACATGTCTTCCTAAGCCTTCTTAGCCGCTAGGCCAAAAAGCTGAAGACTCCTTTAATGTTGATATTATATTGAAACTCAAGCACAAAACAAGTAATAATTACCATATATAGTTATAAATTTGTATTTGGCTGCAGCAAAGGGAGAAATGGACACATTCCTTTCAGAGATTCAAAGCTGACCCGTATACTTCAGTCTTCCCTCGGAGGCAATGCTAGAATTGCTATCATTTGTACCATGAGTCCGGCACGAACCCATGTTGAACAATCAAGAAACACCCTCTTGTTTGCAAATTGTGCCAAAGAAGTGACTACCAATGCACAAGTCAATGTGGTCATGTCTGATAAAGCATTACTGAAGGAATTGCAAAGAGAATTGATTAGATTACAGAACGAGTTGAGAAGTGCAGGAACAGGTTCTATTTCCTCTGATTCTGCTGTGTTGCTAAGAGAGAAAGACCTTGAGATTGAAAAGGTGATGAAATAGGGTAGCGAATAAATGCTTCAAACTCAAAGTACTATAAGTACCCTATACTTGCAATATCATATGTTTACTCAAGAAAAGAGAGTATACATCGATAATTATATTCAAATGAGTGTATATATACTGCCTTAATAACAGTATCTGGGACTTCTATATACTGCCATCGACAGCCATAATTTCTTTCTGCCATTCATAACTACATCTAGAATTTCTTTATGCTGGCAGAATGAATGTCTATATTTCTTATATTTTGACATTTAATTCCTCAAGCTTCATACAAAAGTTTTTCAGATTATTATTGTGAAAGATACAATTCATAATAGCTTATTTACTTTTTCTACCTGCTTCATGCAGCTAAAGAAAGAGGTGACCATACTGACTCAGCAAAGAGACCTTGCTTGGTCTGAGCTTGAGGATCTGCGACAAGTGATTAACGATGAAAGACCAGTGAAAATATGGGTATGTGCAGATATTAAATCATTTTATGCCTCTTTAAGTTCATTTACCTATCCAAAGTTTAATTCCCACCTGTCCTTCTTCACCAGGCAGGTCCAGACCCTCAGTACCCTAAACTGCGAGTGCGAAGTTCATGGGACTTTGAAAATTCAACCTGCACCCCTTCAGATAGACAAAGCTGCAGTTCTGAAGAGAGCTTCCTCCAGCTTCCTGACTTCAAACTGAATATACCGCAACTCAGTTCCTCCTCACAGCCGTCACCTAGAGTTCCTAATTTTATCGGATGTAATCTACGCCAGGAGGAAAATGGTGAACATGTTGATGAAAATTCAGAGGCACTTTGCAAGGAAGTTCGTTGCATTGACTCAGGAAGGTCAAGTATGAATAGATATTCAGACTCAAGTTTGTCAGGGTCTAGCCCAAAGATTTATCAAAATTATAATATGTTATCTCCGAGGGAAAAAGCAGCTATTTCAGGACTGATGGATGTTGGCAATGAAGACAGATCAAAGCGAGAATCCAGGTCATACCACTTGGAAAATAACAGCAACCATCCAGATATTGCTATTCCATCTGCTGAAAAACCATATTTACGTCAGTTGAATGAAGAAATATCTAGCTGTAGAAGCTTGAAATTAACTAGGAGTAGAAGTTGTACAGCGAGTCTGATAACTGGTTTGACCTCCCCGTGGATTGAGAGGGTAGTAAAGGATGAGAACACACCTCCCATAGGGAATGAGAAAGATTTCACTGGAAGACCAGACAGTTTCCAGAGAAAACTTTCTGCAATGAAGTATGATCTTCAGAACGAGGGCTTGTCTAGAAATGGATCTCAAAGTTCTTCAGCAAGTGCTGCTGGTATTGAGCTTAAGGCACTGAATATCCCAATTCCAGTGGAACACAATAAGGCTGGTTTCTGCACTTCAATTGGAGTAACAGAAGATATGTCTAATCTTAAGTATGAGAAGCAACTTGCTGATCATTCGGTGAGTGTTTGATTTCTTTTATCAACCCTTGTTAGTTACATGATCAAAACAGGACATTCATGCTAAATAATAAATAACAGCTCTTAACTTTATGTTTATACATTAATAATTAAGGGCACTTACTAAGAAAGTTCGTTTAAATATGATATTGTTCACGCATGGTAGGTACAGGTGACGGAGCCCATTTTACATGGCAAGACCGTTAAAGACGTTGGCTTGGACCCAATATCAGATAATTGTGGAAGCCCTTCAGCATGGCCTTCAGAATTTAAGAGGCTTCAAAGGGAGATCATTGAACTTTGGCATGCTTGCAATGTGTCATTGGTCCACAGGACCTACTTCTTTCTGCTATTTAAGGGTGATCCAAAAGATTTTATATACATGGAGGTGGAACACAGGAGGCTGTCCTTCCTTAAGAACGTATTTTCCCATGGCAATCAAACGGTGGAAAATGGACGAGTCCTTTCCCCTGCTTCAAGGTATAGATGCTTATTCTATCCAACTACAAGATCGTAGTAGCTTTTGGTACATTGGTGATACCCTTTTAATCCAAAACAACTAATTATTTATCTGTTGTAAACAGCATGAAGGCTCTCCGCCGTGAAAGGCATATGATGAGTCAGCGGATGCACAAGAGACTCTCCAAAGTAGAAAGAGAGAACCTCTTCCTTAAATGGGGCATCGGGTTGAACACGAAGCATAGGAGTTTGCAGTTGGCTCACCGCTTGTGGATTGACCCTAAAGACATGGACCACATTGCTGAGAGTGCTGCCACTGTTGCAAAGCTGGTTGGCTTTGTAGATCCAGAGAAGACTTTTAAGGAAATGTTTGGGCTCAACTTTACACCAGGACAACGCATACACAAGAGACAATATGGTCTGAAACGCAGTGTCATGTCTATCTTGTAGTGGTTATTATATATATGATAGTTTATACAGTTGAATTTCATATTGACATATACATTTGCAAGACTTCAATTTTTTACAGATTATGGTTTTGAATTTTCTGATTCTGATTTTACTGTAATGCAAGAGTCTCATCTCAAGCCACAAACGACATACAATCCTTTTCTTTGTGTTGCGGATATAGGTGAGGAATGATAAAAGAGTCTTTTATGATTTTTACCAAAATGGTAAGTTAAACATGGTAAGTAATCATTTTCTTCATTCTAAAAGTAAAAACAAAAAACCCAAAGCTGAAAAACTACAGTGAATGATATTTACTTTAAGATGCAGAGATTTCACATGTTGGTAGTTGCTCTTTGTATTGAAATTTCATTGTTGTTAGCCATTGTCTTTATCCAAATCAAACATTCAAGGCAATGCAGTTTGGATGGAGGATGGCAACAAAATAGATAGCATATCAATCCAACTGTGAAGTTTTGAGCAAGATTCTCATTTGTACATATTTTCAATTGTACGTACAAATTTATGGAGTTGGAAGAAGATTATTTGTATCATTTAATTCTCTTTCAAAACCATTTTTTCCCTCTTTATTGTTCAATGGTTGAATTAGGAAAAGCCTCCATCTCCAACCCTAAAACATGTCTGTCTGATTCAGAATCAGGATTGAAGACTCATCTTCATGTCACTTGAAAAGTAGTAATCAAACATCGGTTATGCAACTACTGTGATTTTCCAAATTTAGGCAGGCACAACACAGTTCACATGCTCATCAATGGGCCTGATGGGTCAGTTGCCAACCGTGAAGATCCCATTTCCATGCCTTTGTTTTGTACAAAATACATGAGAGTATATGTAATAGACTAATAGTATTAGCTCTAATTATGGGCTGGAATCTGCTATCTCATTAAGTGAGGCTGTTGATCCACCAATGCAAATTTATTGGGTTTAATCAGCTTTTAGTAGAGTTGGCTACAGCTTTCAATGGCAAGCCAGCTTTCAATGGCGGTTTACTCCAGGCCAATTTCTTTCATTGGCCATAATCATGATACCATAGGAAGCTAAGAAACAAGTCATTTATTTGGCAGACAGTGGTAAAGTCCACATCATTTTTTTCTGGTGTATCTGTCACATGTGATTGCACAAGGAAAATGAATATGACCATAATCTTTCTTAGCAGCAGCATGTATTACTTTTATTTGGCCAAAATTCAAAAAAATTCGATTCTGAAATAGTTCAAAAAAATGATCCAAGGACTAAAAACACCTCTAATTCCAAGTTATAAGGACCCCTAGGTTTCAACATGTCATCATAGCAAAAGCACATCATAATTTATCTTGCCTTTGACATGTAAAGTCTCTAAATCTAATTTAGGCTTTAAACCAGCTCCCTCCTAAACATAAATTAGTTCAAATTTGCCACCGAAACAATGTTCTCCTGTTGTCCGCATTTCAATTTATTTCCAATTAATGTTGCTCCTTTTGCATCATTCAATTAGTGTGGGGACTACCAAAGGTTGTGGCCCACCATGTTGATTAGCCTTTTGTCTGGTGGGCTTGCATCTTTCTTTTTTCTCAATTACACATAACTTGGACACTTTGGGTACTTACTTCATAATCCAATTGAAAAGAATGTGTGATAGAAATCTTCTTACCCCAATATACGCCATTTTAACATCTTCACCTTTGAATCAAACAGTGAAAAGAGAAAGGCTAAAGTTTGAAAAGTGATATCAGAATCAGAAATTTTGGAGAAAAGATAACAGGAAAATGTCAAAGGAGAAGAAAAAGAGATAATTGGACTAAAGGGTTAAAGACTTTAAAGGCATCTTGAAAAACATGACAGCACAGCCCGATAATCGAACATTATGAGGCTGCATATATAAACAATAATGCAGAAAGTCAATCCCCAATCCAGTTAAAAATGCTTAGTTGATCTCAGCCCCTACCTAGCTAGAAAAGAGAACTAGAAATGTTAAAAGCAAATTCTGAATTAAACCCACCACTACCAGCAGTGAGCAGGCACATGAACATTAACCTTCCCATTTGATACAACTAGGATTTCCCAAATGAGCTAACAGATCCAGAAAGCCAAAAAAAAAAAAAAAGAGAATAAAATATACTAAAAATTATTAAAAGAAAGAGAGAGAAATGAAAGATTACAACAGGGCAAAGATAAGATCACACAGGGCTCAATGATTCTGCCCATATCATATCATATGAGGTTAAAAAGAGCAAACCCCCTTTTATTCCAAACCCCACCATTTGCCGTTTCAAAAAGTGCTTATTCAAAGTGTTTTGGGGAAGAGGAAACCAAACCCACCCCACTGTTTACCCCTCAAACCAAACACTTCCGCCAAAACCCATAGTCCATTGTAAGAGAGAGAGAGAGAGAGAGAAGGAGCCTCAGCAATCAGCAGTATCATCTCTGTTGTTGTTTTTCTTGCGTGGGTCTCTCTGCTGACTACTCCTCCTGGCAAACTCTGCCCTCTGCCACAAATTGTATGGCAAAATTACCAACGCCTTTGTTACAGACGCTCCTCCCTTCTCTGCCTTCTTCATAAACCTTTCCACCCATTAGTAAAAGACTCGATTTTTTTTTTTTGGCCACAGAACCAAACTTTGCCATTGTTAACCAATGAGTAAAGGTATAATTTTTTTCCTTTATTTGCTTCTTTGCTCACCATTCTTGTCACAAGCCGAGAAGAACCAAGATGAGATCCAAGCATTAACGTCTTTCAAGCTTAATCTCCATGACCCACTTGGAGCTTTAAACGGATGGGATCCATCGACCCCTGCGGCTCCATGCGACTGGCGTGGAGTTGCATGTTCCAACAGCCAAGTCACCGAGCTACGTCTACCTAACCTACGACTCAGTGGTCGAATCAGTGACCGTCTCTCTGATCTCAAGTATCTTACCAAACTCAGCCTCCGTTCCAACTCCTTCAACGGCACCATACCTTCCACTCTTTCCCAATGCAAGCGTCTACGCGCTGTTTTCTTGCAGTACAACTCACTCTCCGGGACATTATCGTCCGAGATAAGTAATCTCACTGATTTAACCATTTTAAATTTAGCTCAAAACCATTTATCCGGCCAAATCTCCAGTGATCTCCCACGAAATATCAAGTATCTTGATCTTTCTTCAAACTCGTTTTCTGGTTCGATTGCTAGAAGCATTGCTAATTTATCACAGCTTCAACTCATTAATCTCTCTTATAACCAGTTTTCCGGTGGGATTCCCGCTAGTTTTGGTGAGCTTCAACAGCTTCAATATCTCTGGCTTGATTATAATATTTTAGAAGGGACTTTACCATCTGCTTTAGCCAACTGCTCTTCGCTTATTCATTTTAGTGCCGAGGCCAATGCGCTTGGTGGGGTTATCCCAGCAGCTATTGGAGCTCTTCCTAAGCTTCAAGTTGTTTCACTTTCTCATAACAAACTCTCAGGAACGGTGCCGGTTTCTTTGTTCTGTAATGTTACTGTTTATCCGCCTTCCATTCGGATTGTTCAGTTGGGGTTTAATTTGTTTACGAATGTTGTTGGTCCTGAATCAGGGATATGTTATAGTGTTTTACAGGTTTTGGATCTTTCTGGGAGTCAGATTGGTGGGGGTTTGCCGTTATGGTTAACGCATGTAACAACGTTAAAAATGTTGGATGTTTCTGGGAATTTATTGTCAGGTGAGATTCCAGTTCAGATTGGGAATTTGTCTAGATTGGAGGAGCTGAAAATGGCTAACAATTCTTTAACTGGGGTGGTTCCTGTTGAGATTAAACAATGTGGTTCATTGCATGTTCTTGACCTTGAAGGAAATCGTTTTTCTGGTGAAATTCCTGGTTTTTTAGGTGGTATGACTGGTTTGAAAGTGCTCTCTCTTGGGGAAAATTTGTTTTCCGGTTCAGTTCCGGGGAGTCTTAGGAATCTTACTGAGCTTGAAACCTTGAATTTGAGACATAATAACTTGACTGGAAGCTTGCCAGATGAGATAATGGGATTGAGCAATTTGAGTACGTTGGAGTTAAGTGGGAACAAGTTTTCTGGTGAGATTCCTGCGAGTATTGGGAACTTGAGTCGGGTTGTTGTTTTGAATCTAAGTGCTAATGGGTTTTCAGGGAAGATGCCGGCAAGTTTGGGCAATTTGTTCAAGCTAACTACTCTTGATTTAAGCAAGCAGAACCTCTCTGGTGAGTTGCCGTTTGAGCTCTCAGGTTTGCCTAATCTGCAAGTCATTGCGTTGCAAGAAAATATGCTATCTGGGGATGTTCCTGAAGGGTTTAGTAGTTTGGTGAGTTTGCGTTATGTGAATCTTAGTTCCAATTCATTTTCCGGTCATATACCAGAAACTTTTGGCTTTCTTCATTCATTAGTTCTTCTTTCATTGTCTAATAATCACATAACCGGGGTGATCCCACCAGAGCTTGGAAACTGCACTGAGCTTGAAGTTCTCGAGCTTGGATCAAATTCTTTGACCACTTACATTCCTGCAGATCTCTCTCACCTTTCAGGGTTGAAGGTGCTAGATTTGGGTGGTAACAACTTAACAGGAGAAATCCCAGAGGAAATCTCCAAATGCTTGTCATTGACCACTTTGTTACTAGATGCTAATCAGCTTTCTGGAAGCATACCGGATTCTCTGTCCAAGTTATCAAATCTTACAATGCTGAATCTTTCTTCCAATAACTTGAGTGGAGAGATTCCTGTTAATCTCAGTCTTATTTCTGGATTGGTCTACTTTAATGTCTCAAGGAATGACCTAGCAGGGGAGATTCCAGTAACTCTGGGTTCTAGATTTAACAATCCATCAGCATTTTCAGATAATCCAGACTTATGTGGAAAGCCATTGCATCGAAAGTGTGAGGATATAGCTGAAAAGAACAGGAGGAGAAGGTTGATTCTTTTGATTGTTGTGGTAGTGTGTGCTGCTTGTCTCTTGTCATTGTGTTGTTGCTTCTATGTTTTCAGCCTATTGAGATGGCGCAAGAAGCTCAAAGAAGCTGCCGGGGAGAAGAAACGGAGCCCTGCAAGGGCTAGTTCTGGAGCAAGTGGAGGCCGAGGCAGCACCGACAATGGAGGGCCAAAGCTTGTCATGTTCAATAACAAGATCACACTAGCAGAAACAATTGAAGCAACTCGGCAATTTGCTGAAGAGAATGTGCTTAGCAGAACCCGATATGGGTTAGTTTTCAAGGCTTGTTACAATGATGGAATGGTGCTCTCTGTTCGCCGTCTACCGGATGGATCATTTGATGAAAACATGTTTAGGAAAGAAGCTGAATTTCTAGGCAAAGTGAAGCACCGGAACTTAACAGTTCTCCGCGGCTACTATGCAGGGCCACCTGACTTAAGGCTCTTGGTGTATGATTACATGCCCAATGGCAACCTTGCAACACTCCTACAAGAGGCATCCCACCAAGATGGTCATGTCCTCAATTGGCCAATGCGCCACCTAATTGCTCTAGGCATTGCCCGTGGTTTAGCCTTTCTACACACATCCAACATGGTTCATGGAGATGTCAAGCCCCAAAACGTTCTATTCGATGCTGATTTTGAAGCACATTTGTCAGATTTTGGCGTGGATCGTCTCATAGTTGCAACTCCGACAGAAGCTTCCACTTCAACCTCAGTTGGCACATTGGGTTATGTATCCCCAGAAGCAGGTCTAACAGGGGAAGCCACCAAAGAATCAGATGTCTACAGCTTTGGCATTGTCCTGCTTGAACTACTCACAGGAAAGAGACCAGTTATGTTCACACAGGATGAAGACATTGTGAAATGGGTCAAGAAGCAGCTTCAAAGAGGCCAAATCACAGAACTTCTTGAACCAGGGTTACTTGAGCTTGACCCTGAATCATCAGAATGGGAAGAATTTCTCCTAGGAGTCAAAGTCGGGTTACTTTGCACAGCTCCAGATCCACTTGATCGACCAACCATGTCCGATATTGTGTTCATGCTTGAAGGTTGTCGTGTAGGCCCTGATATTCCTTCATCAGCCGATCCCACCTCTCAACCCTCACCAGCATAAACCACCCTAAATCCAAAGCCTTTTTTTTTTTTTTACTTTTCCTGTCTCATGAAAACTTTTTAACCATTTTTTTTTTAGTTTAAGAGAGAAAATGTAACACTAGGGTGAAAGTTTTTTATTTAGTTAATTCTTCTTGTTCCATTTGCTTTCTCGTTTGTTACTTTTCTTCCTTTTACAACTTTTGCAATTGTTTCTTTTCAATTGACGCCGGCCCTGGAGGAAAGTGGGGTCTAATTGAGAGAGTGAAGTAAAAAAAGTTCAACACTTCTCCCAGTCAACGAAAGACAGAGGCTCAGTTCAAGATGTCCGAAAGCGGACAAACGTTGGGGGCCCACCTGAGTGTTTCGCGCCAAATGTGCGAGGATTGCTGTGCCCTGGATTTGTCACGTGGCACAATGAAAAATGTAGCCGTTAAATTGTAGACCCCGAGATGTACACCCTGGAAAAAGAGTTAAAAAGAAAAAAAAAACATTGGATTTTGTTGTGTAATTACATAGTCGAGTACGGCTTTAAAAGGTCGTTTCGGACTCTCGTGATGCCACGTGGGGATCTCATGTTACCCTGAGATTTTTCATTGTTCAGGACACGGCAATGGAGAAAAAAAAATGCAGACGAATAACAAGGGGAAGGAGAAGACAAGGTCCCAAAATTTCGAGGTCCAAATGGAACAGAAGGGAATAGGAAAGTGAATGTGACAGACGGGGGAAATGAAACGATGGCTCACTGCCCTCAATCACTTTATGAACTTTTTTGGTTGATCATCAACTCTGTTGAATGAAATTAAATTGTTATCCTGATTCGTCAATTCTTAAGCTGCATTTTGATCGTAATTGAAAGAAACAGATGAAGTACCAACTACCTTTTTCTAATGTAAAGCCTTTCCATGATAAAAGCCACCAGTCACTCCTTATTTCCTGTTTTGTTTTGGCTTTTCCTCTCGTGAGTGAATGGGGGTAGCAGACTGGCCAGGTCGAACAACCAAAGACACCCCCCTGACCCTGGATTAGTCGAAACTATAAGAAACAAGCAAAAATGGGTATTGAAAATTCAAGATAATGGCATTGAGAAAAGGACAATGAATTGAAAATCCAAATCCAAAGCAGTGACCGTTAAGGGTCCTCTTATAATTTATTTTAACACAGTTGTTTAGTACAGGTTTGGGGAACAGACAAGGCCAAATTGAGTTAAAATATTGTCCAACTGGGGACTGGCGAAGATTATAATTTTGTTGGTCGTGTTCTTCGTTATGCGATTTTGTTTGGTGTGAAATCAAAAAGGTCAAATAGGTGAGAAGTCTTTATATTTTATGAAAATTTAAAATTTAATTTTTGTATTATTTAGATTTAGTAATTTTAATTTAATTATTAATTCTGTTATTTTTTACTATTAAAAATACTAACATAATTATTAATTTAATAATGTAAACATTATCTTTACCAAGGTGATATTAACTTTGCTAATTTATGCCATTGAACATTTTTCCCTGTAATAATCTAAAAGGAGTAAGGACAAGTCTATCAATTTATTCTGTATTAGTTGAAATTGTGCCCACATGGGACAACTTGCTTAAGCAGTACCGTAGCCTAGGGCTCGAGTTGACATAGATTGGGCCAGACAGCTTTACAACTTTGGACTATTAAGTATTGAAGTACAAAAAATGGGTCCACCGAAAATTCTAAAAGATATTGAAATTGCTGGTCTGGCCACACAGTCTCATATCACTGAGTGACAAGTTTCAAAGAAAAAGTTGCCGCATTTAATGACTAATAATAATGTGGGTTAAATGGAAAAGGTATAATTTCCATAAAATTGATGAAATTTGTTGAAATATGACAAAAGGGGGAAGAAATTCTCTTTAAAAAGTCCATAATTTCCAAGACCTATATTATTTTTCTTTATCTGGTGATTTTGAGACTGAAACCTTTGTTCCTTGTTTTTATCTCACAGTCATTGATGTCATGGTAGAAATCAGTGAACTGATGAGAGGGATGCATTTGAGGAAACACATGACGTGGCATCATCAACTGTTGCCGATTATAAGTAGCCTCTGGCTGCATGAAAGGAGCATGGAAGCATGCTCAGAATACTGCCCTAGGCCCATTGAACAACACATTGTTTTTGCATGGCGGTCGACCTTGGGTCATGAAGAATTGGAATTGACGGTCGATTGGACATTACATTATTGTTTGCCATGCCAGTTCTTGGGCAACCTCATCATGATCATGAAGACAAGATGTATGTTACCATTCAAACCTTTCATTCGCTTCTTCATTGTTGTAGCTCGAGATTTCTCATGCTCTATCAGTTTCATGCTCAATTTTCCACGAGCCGTAATCTAACAATAACCATGAAATCAAAGAATAAAAATGAATAGACCCAAAATCCAAAGCAATGAAAACATATTTCAGATAGAAGTTTTAACTATTAATTTTCTTGGTTTGTAATGCCTAATCAATAACCAAAGTAGAAAATCATAATTCATGCTCGGTCAACCTTTTTCCAGCAAGCTAAAAATGGTCATGCATGGGTTTCTTCCCCTACCTGGAACCCGATACCTCTAAAACTTATGCAAAAGATTGAAAGAGTGGAGGAAATGGAGTTATACATGGCAAAACTCATTGTTTACGGCATTGATTAACTGTGATAAAACCCAATTAAAGTACAAAGAGAATAACACGATGACCAAAGTTTCAGTGTAAAGTAAAAAGAGCGGTCATCTTAGATTTTTCACTGGCCTGGCTACCTCTCAATTCAATTCAATAAGAAACATGAAGTTTCTCTCCAACTTTTTACAAGGGGAAAGGGGATTTTCCTTAATTATTTATAATTTTATTCTCGTTACAATTATGGAATGTGAATCAAGGATGCTGATTCCTGATTGAGAAAAAAAAAGGAAGGCAATTTTATGCTTCTTGCTATAACCAGATTAAGAAACTGAGAATGAAAAAAGCATTTAGATTAAGATAGAGAAAGTGGGAAGAGGGGAAGCTGAAAGTAGAACTTCATTATAGCAATGCCATTAGTCATAGCAACATGATCAGAGACAGAAATGAATGGTCTTAACATTACATTGAACATACATGTAGATTACAGCAATAGGTAACAAAAATGTAAAACAAGATTTGTTTTAAATTAAATCTATCTTCTAATCATACAAACACCATGGAAGCACTTAAAGAAAATTCATGAATGAGTTCAAATTAACAACTTAAAAATGCTTTTAACTGCAGCAAGCTAGAGGCTCGAATAGGAGACAGCCAAGTTTCGCCAACTAGCAACAACCCAAGTCTCAGAACCTTGCACTCTATTCTGCTCGTGATTGACCAGCCCGGGAAGAGAGAATGATGCCGACAATGAGTCCATACAGAGCCAAAGCCTCAGCAAAAATAAGAATGAGAATCATTCCAACGAAAAGCTTTGGCTGTTGGGCATTGGCCCTGCAAATAAATGCACAGAAAAACTAAATCAAACAACGCACATTCTCACAATTGCAATGAATCTAGAAACCGAAGATAAAGCAAAAACCTTGAGAACATATCACTTACAATTTTTTTTTACTACAATACTACAATTGTCTAATCCGATAACAAAATTATGTACCATATCAAATTTTGGTGGACCTACATAATTCTAAATTGTGATTGATTAATTGTACTACAATCATTGTAAGTGAAATGGCCCCAAAACGTTTTGCAATAAAAATAATGCACATAAATATACAAGTAAACAAGAGAAATGAACATAAAATAATGCACATAAATATACAAGTAAACAAGAAAAATGAACATTGATTATCCAGCTGAGGCATCCTAACAGACCGGTAGATTTGAACCTTTCCTACGTGACCCGATCAATTCATTCACTAACCATCTCTTTTCATTGCTCAACTCTTTGACAACATGAAAAACCCATTGTTCAACTCTTTGACAACATGAAAAAAACCAAAAGCTCTGCCCTCCCTCTCCATCTATCCATGGGATGGAAGCAGGGGTCCAAGAGTTTTATAAAACATTCTTGGTGGAAAAAAACGTGAATGAAAGATCCCACTGAATTGAATTGGATCCATGAATCTATAAATACCTTAATTGAATCAAAATAAACTACATTTTATGTAACAAGTAAAATTCCAACTAATCAAGGTTCAAATTAACTCAACAAGAACAATTCGCCAATATAGTTCATCAGAATTTGTAAGTGAAAAGCCAACCATATGCTCACAGTTATTATGACAAAACATTAATGTAATTCCGTCAGTTGCAGCCAAATCCTAAAACTAAATCACCTCCTGTTATTACAGATTTTACTATGCCCTAAATTCAATTACCTGAATTGAAAAGGCAAATACCAAAATCAAAGAATTACAAGAAAGTTAGCCAACAATACCTGACGCCAGCATCGCCGACGATTCCAATAGCCATGCCGGCAGAGAGACCAGCGAGGCCACAAGCAAGACCAGAGGAAAGATGAGCATAGCCATCGAAAAGGTAGTAAGATTTGGCCTTTGGGTTAATCCCAGTGCTTATAATAACCGCAATAATCAACCCATAAATACCTAAAACTCCAGCCATAACAACGGGGACGATTGATTTCATCACCAGCTCTGGCCTCATCACTCCCATCGATGCCACTCCGACTCCACTCTTCGCCGTTCCATAAGCAGCTCCCATACCTGAAAAGACAAACCAATTGGATAGGGAAATTAGCAACGACAAAAAAAAAAAGAAACTTTTTGGATTTAGGGTTAGGTTTTTACAGGAGAAAACCAGGGCAGCAGCGGCGCCGAGGAAGCCAAAGAAAGGAGCAGATTCATCGCCGCTGAACGTGGACGACATTTTAGTTATTTAAAATTTCACCGACGATTTGAAGAGATTTCGGGAACTTTGATCGGTGGATTTCCGATTTCTTTAGTGATCAGAGACACAGAGCGAAGAGGAACTATAAGTTTCTTCGTGGACCTACGTGAACGTGATCGTCGTGCAAACGTGTCCTGGTTTTTGGGACTGTTTTGGGCTAACATGACTTGGGCCTCATTTGGGTGGAATAAGATAAATTTTTATGGGCATGCTTTGGGCTTAAACTGGGTTGAAGTTTTATATATAAAATGAATAAAATTGTATATGATACATTAATATTTATAAAATTACTCATATTCAGTTTTGATAAAATTAAACTCGAACTAGAACAACTCAACTTATAGAACGAATCAAGTTCAAACATCCTAATATTGAACTTAAGTAACTCAAAATTTAATTAAGTTTTTAAATTTTAATATACTTTTATTATTTTAATTAAAAAATTACTATTTTACTCCTATATATATCAATTTAAATTCAAACTTAAATTCTAACACATAATCAAGTTTAAAATCAAAAAAGAAAATTAAATTCATTTTTATTAAACTAACAAATTGAACAAAATTAAATAATTTGATTTTTATCTCAAATCAAGTTTGAGTTTGAAAATTAAAACTCGAACAAACTTAAACTGAGTTTGAAGCAATTAATTTTGAGTCAAACTCGACCTTCTCACTGTATAAACTCGACTCGGCTTAATTACAACCCTAAAAGTGAGTGATTTGAAAGCTGTTCAATCCAATGTAAGAGCTAATGATAATGTCCAACAACAATTCTCTTTTTGCTTTGGGTTTGGAGTTATCACATAAAAACATAGCCATCTTCACATTTTAGTAACCTAGTTATTATTAAACAAAAAGGAATTACAGACAATACTAGAGCTAACTGATTTACAACATAATACATCAAAACTTTGTCTCTTGGAACTAATATACATATGGAAGAATGGCCCACCGGTTAAGTGGGTAGTCCTCGAACTTCTTGAGGTACCACCGGTGGGTTTCTGCTGCAGCAAATGCAAGATTAGCCACCTGCAGCAGTTACCACAAATGACTCATATGAAGGGGCAATGAATCTAATATTCTACATGGTTGAGTAAAGTGGATGAGTAGAAAATACCACAAAAACCATAAGTAGCCATATGGTGAAGTCAGCTCCTCCGCTCGCAACCAATAGGCCAGCATATATTATCTGTACAGAAGAAAGGAAGCAATGGTCATAACTTTGACAGCAAGCAAGGCATGATATAGCAAGTATCCGTTAGAAACAGAGAGAAAGAGGATCACCATCTCAGCTAAATAGTGTGGACTTGAGACAATCTCAAACCAATCACCATGTGGAATCGCATATTCAGCAGTTTGATCTCTGTGTTCTCTAAGTGAACCCTGATTAAAAGCCAGTAACTAAATCAGCATCTGGATTTGTACAAGCCAAAAGCCATAGATCAATTTGCTCCATTCCAAAAAAGTTTTTTAAAAAAATTGAATCCTTGTGTTCACCCCATCTTGTTTAAACCTTAATATAGCTTTTATTTTCACAATATCGTTTAGGACAACCTAAAACTTGGGTATTAAAACAAATCATCAATATCAGTTCTTGCATATTGAATTCATTTAATCCTCCAAAATCACGATAGAATGATGTATATAGATAGTAAAGTTTTGAATTTTTCAAAAGTTCCGGGTTTTTCAGTTAGAGAGAGGTCAAGAAATTGATTTACACAGGAGAAAACACCTACAAGAATTGCATGACAACAATATTGATGGAGCCATCCCCAAGCAAATATAGCAGCACCAGCCCATTGGCACCATCCAAGCCTTGTTATAGGCTTCACATATCCCCACAAATCAAAATCTGTAATCGACAACATATCTTGGCCTTCAACATTAAGTTCAGCTACCTGATTAGCTGCAAAAGTAACAACCTCCAGTGCACAAAATGTACAGAGTGACAGAGGTGCTGCTGTATAAAAACTGCCAAATGCAATCATCATTCAATCAGAACTAAATGCAATCTACATTTTTAACCAAGGTTTACAAGGAAATTTAAGATTATTAACTGCAAGCAATTAGAGAGGCCTTGAAACTAATATTCATTGTACAAAATTATCATGCTTATGCATCAACTTACCATACTCAGCAAAAAAAAAAACCACTCTTTTACAGTCAATCTTCCAGACACTGTCCAAAATATAATAATAAAATTTTGATCAACAACAGAAACATATTAATTACTAAATTCTATTTCTTATTGCCAGCTTTCCCATCCCTATATTGTTAATTAAAATGATTTTTTTTTTTATAAAGTACACTAATTTTCACAAGCTTTAATCAACAAAGAATCACACAATTCAACAATGGCAATTCATAGGGAAAATGAACTTATAAAATGTGTTCAGAAACTCACTAGAGACCAGTCAAGTATCCAAAAATGTGCATTCGAGCAGAAGGACTATAGTTGAAAACATGAAAGGTCTCATTAAGACGCCTCAGAACATGAACTTCCATCAACAACAACAAGAACGCAGACTTCCAAACATTGAATCTGTCATCAGCCGAGGGAAAACGAGACTTGTGCAAGGAAAAGACATGTGACCCTCCAGTTAAGTGACTTGCAGCTGCAGAGTCACTCAATGACTCAGCACTTAAAGGTGCAACTTTGTACGCAAAGTACCAAGTTCCCATTAACAACATGGTAGTCCAAACCACACCCAACATATAAAAGTGTAGAAAGAAGCTCTGCGGAACTGTGAACTTCTACATCAGCACAAAAACCAAGAAACAAAATAAATTGTTTGAAAAATGAAAAGATGGTAAAAGAATAAGGAGCTGGTTCTTACATGGGATGAAGGCGGCATAATCTTGCCCCTCTTGGCAAAGCCTAGTAAGAGTGTACGAAATGAATTGAGATGTGAAGAAGGGAGTGAAGCGATGAGGATAGGAAGAGTTCCGGCCATCCATCCCGCTCTTAGAAGCCAAACAAGGCCGGTTTTGGTGGTGCTTATTGACTGCAAAGTAAAGGGTTCCATCAAAATTCCAAGAACTTTCATTTTGAGAGTTGGGTTCGCCGGCGAAGAGGGGAAAATGAGAGTACGAGCAGGATTTCGTAACGTGTCAACGACGTGGCGTGAGGGTGTAAAAGTGATTTGGGCGTTTAGTTGAACAGTAAAAAATAGGGCCAGGAATCTGATGACAGCCCAAATGCCATAGTTGGCTTTTGGATAAAGAGGGATAGAGAAAAATAGGGCCAGAAATCTAAAGGTAGCCCAAAGCCAGTCCGTCCTTTAACGAAATCATTTGTGAACTTTGATCATCAAGCATATAAATTTACTTGAATCGATTCGAAAAAGAAATGTACTAAACAAAATTTAAGAATCTATTATCGTTTAACCGAAAAATAATGGCGGGCTAATAATGAAAAAGGAAACTATACTTTGTCTATACTAACAACCTTGAAATTGTATTGGATTAGAGTGAAACATGCACGAATGCTTCACATCTAATGCATTGTGATTAAGTTTAGGAAAAAAAAGATGGTTTTTACATCATTCTATTATCTTTTCATCATTGTATTCAGTAAAACTTGTACATCACAAAAATGTAATCCTTAATTTCACAATTTAAAAGAGCCTCAAAAAGTGGACTTTTAACACAGCTTCATCGATTGTACTTATTGAGCAAATTGTTATAATGAACATGTAATCCATGGAAATCGTTTTCGTGCACAATCCATGGAAGGAGCCACACGTTCACCATGGGAAAATCATGTATTTTTTCAAGCCAAGTAACGATGTTTGGGGCCTTGAGGGGCCAGGAGTAAGCATGCAAAAGGAACCACCCCCCCCCCCCCCCCCCACAAAGAATTGCATCAATGGCGAAATAATTATAGGGAGTAGTGTGGAGAAACCATCCAAGTGTTATCCACAAACTTTTGTTTGATGAGTCCAATTTGTTCTTATAGCATATGAATATGGAAGATCATATATGGAAAATTTTCATGAAATGTCATCACAATATCTTGATGATCCCCATGGCCATAATATTGGCCTATTGCCTTTGCTTTTGATTTCAATGATGGCTCCATCAATTTTTAGAACTAGGAAATATTCTAAGAAAACCTATTTATGGTCTATGTAATTATTGATCGAAACCCTTTTTCATTTTTATGCCTACACTCGAAAATCACAAAGTAATTGAACAAATAAAAATATAGCAAAATATGAAGAGCATATTGTAAAGAATTTGGAATTAAGAATGACTCAAATTTGATAATTTTATACACAACAGAGATCTAGCAAGTCAATTCATACCCGTTGTAATCGATGTGAATTGGACGCCCACTTCCATCCCCAAAAAACTCTGATCTGATCATGAACCACAGGACAGTGCCCAAGTCTCATTGTAAACCAGCACCTCTTTCCAGGACCCCCTCGGCTTACCTGTGACCATCATGGCATCTGTTTCTTCCCCCCAATTCTTTCCCAATCAATGGCCCATCTTCACCCCATATTTGAGAGCTCCCTGTTGAGAAATTTGGCCTCATTGATAGCCTATCCGATATCCATCCAAATCATCCAATGTAGTAAATTTTAACCACCTGTTGTCCATCTGGAAAGACATTACAGGCCGCCAATTAATGAACATATGACTCATGGTAAAAGGGTAAAAACATGTGCCTGCTGTGTAATTCCCCAGGATGACTACTGGACTTATGGGGTTCTTGACTTCTTGTTTCTTGTCAGCTGCAACTTCCATTTTCCTAAAGCCTGGCTGTCATTGAAAACCTGAGCCTGTCATTGTTCCACATCATATGCTTTCATTTCTTCTTAATAGAAAGTTCAACCTTCAACACTACTACTCCTCTTTCACTATATCTTCCTCTCACAATCATTCTAATATCAGAAATCCTGGTAACTACAATATTATGCAAACCATTTGACAGAGAAAGTGTTTGTTTGGGTGCATTTTCAATCAATCAATATCTTTTCCAAAATATATATGATAACAATGTACAAATTAGCCACAGGATATCCATTCTAATTCACATAATGGTCAATCATCATCTCATAGAATGACATAACTTTTTTTTTTATTAAATATCCCCAAAAATATAGAAAAGTTTGGGAAAAAAAAACTTAATATTTTTCAATTTCCACCAAAAGGGTCCAAAAATTTTGATTTTAATCATAGTCTACTTAGTGAAAAATGCATGTATTATATATGGAGTCTAGAAAAGTAGTGTATTTGATTTCATTGTGAATACAAATGTTAGAATTAATGCCTACAAGGGGTGCAATCATGGTTGATGTCCCTGGAAAGAAGCTTGTGTTTCACAGCTTAGAATAAAGAGTGGAAGAAAGAGTACTGTTGATCAGTTATGAGTGTAGTTCAAGAGTTTGGTTAAAACCATTGATTTGGTTTTTCTTTTTCCTTTTTGTTTTGATGAATAGAAAACTAGGAAAAGGTTTCACCAACCATTGTCAAAGCTTAAAAGAAAAAAAAAAAAAATCTTGCAACAAACAAAAACTTGGAAGGTTAAGGTGTTGTTTTTGGATCGAGAAAGAGAAAAAGAGATGAGTTTGGAGGGTGGTCGATGTCAAAAAAAAGGTTTAAGATCCTGATAGGACCCCTCTAGGATCTCCCTTTGCTGGTTACGCTAACTCTTATCTCCCTAAATAAATATATTTTTATTTTTTTATCAAATAAATAAAAATAATAAAAATTATCTCACTTTTAAAATCAAGATAAACCAACTCATAAAAAAATTTATAAACTTTTTTTAAAACTTTTCTATTAATAAAATGTTATAAATATTTAAAACTGAATATTTTACCTTCAAACTCTAAACTTTAGTCATTTAGGTGAACTGCTAGTGACATTTTTCTTTCCAAGGGGATTTTTATAAGTTACTAGTATATTAATATTGCTGTTAGAGGAAGGAGAAGAAGAGAGTGAGTGAGAGAAAGGTTCTTTGGGCTCACCACCCCTCATTTCATGGTGGCCGTGGGACCCGCAAGGAGGGGACTAATTCAATGATGCGGTCCGCCTCATGATTGGAGACCACGGCCGACCCACCACTGTCCTACGTGGACTATGCGTCCACTTCTCTAGCCATTCACTGTAGCCCAGCTTCCCAATTCTCAGCTCCTCCTTTACATATTTCATCCCTTGTCCCGATTGATTCTTTGTTTTCGGCCATTATACTATTGCTTAATTAAACTTAAAGATTATAGTATATGCATCCCAAATTGCTTTAGCAATCTATGTATGTATTTCTTAATAAGATTTAAATTTTTAAATAAAAATATTATTTATAATACAATAAAAATATTCTTATGTTTTGATTGGATTTAATTTGCTTGAAATGCACGGCTCAGGATACATTTAAAATTTTATATTTAAAAATACTTCTTGCAAAATTGAATTTTATTTGATAAAAAAATTTTATTTTTACCAATTATTGTGTGCAATATACATTAATTATTATTATTATTATTATTATTATTATTATTATTATTATTATTACATTTCAAATCTTACCAACTTCTTAGATTGGTTGCCTACGTGCGAAACGTTTGCCTCTTCCATTTTGGAACAACAAATATGTTTTTCAAAGGAAAGAGAATAAGACGAAAAAAAGATGGTTGAGGTACTTTTGTTTTAGTCCGCGATGAGAAAATATAACGAATAAGCCAAATAATTTGTATTCTAATTTAGCATCAATATATGACACGTACCACATGCTTGATTCCAAATTACTCATCATCTTTTTATAAAGTTAGCCAATTTTTCAAGCCATATATCTCATGCGTCCAATGGGGTTTTCTCCGTGTAAAATCATGCACCATCCCAGTCAATTAAATTATAATAAAAAAATTAAGATTCTAATACTCTAATAACAGATTATACAACTGTTAATAAATTACGTATATATAAAATATATTTCACATATATATATATGGATTTTTTTTAACATTATAGAATTTATTTCATTAATTTATAATAAAATCTTTTTTTGGAATAAAAAAGAAAGAGATGCTACGATATCAAACTGGATGCCTTGGCTTTGTATATATTTTTCTAATTTAGGGATAGATTATGCCGACCGTAACCCACTTTCATGATAGCAGTTTAGTATCAATCAAGAATTATGAGATGAAGCCACCACTTTGAGATCAGGCCCTTTTTTTTTTTTCGGCCAATCGAATCAAGCCTTTTGGAGTTGATCCTTTTCAAAATGTGTTCTTTAAGTCTTAACCCTGGCTGGACCGCTTGAATATTTTGGTGGAATGTCTATAGTGGCCTGTCGATTGCTGCTTAATGCTGATGTTTCATAATTAATTTAGTATTGAGAAATTAGTTTTAGTTTTGTTATATGCCCGACCAACGCCTTGATCATCAAATTAGTTTAATCCGTAATTGTCGGTTATCGAGATAACGATTAACTCAATTAAGTTTATACTTATATAATATTAAATTAATTAATTAATTATATCAACACAAATCAATTATTAATTGATCACATCAACGTCATTCCATTTCATAAAAAATAAAATTAGAATACAAGTACATCATTCTAACCATTCTATTCACTCTTACTTTTGCTTCCTACCTTCTCTTTCTCTATACTTTCATTTGCTTATTATATTTCACTGACTTAAGCGTCAAAATATATCTTGAAATTCTACTCCAAATGTTTCTTAACCATTCTTTATTTTACAAATCACTCTAGTCTTCAAGTCATTTTTCAAATCAGCTTCCATCAAACCTAATTACCATACTTAAAATACCATCAGCAAGTTTTTTGATAAAATGATAAGTAAAAAATACAATAAAAATGAAGTATATTACATTTCATATAAAAATTAACAAATTAAATCAAATATATGATTAATCAATAAGTCGATATATAATTATATAAATTTAATATAAAAGTATACAAAATTTACGCATGATAAAACTTAATCTGTAATTGATTTTCTTATATAAGATTAAAAAATTTACATGGTTAGTTTTTTTTTTTTTTTTTTGTTAATAACTTGATTGAGATAAGCTTCATTTTAAAAATCAGAGAGAGATGGGCAAAGTTAAAAAGGGGGAAACTGAGTGGAAGGAGGGGTCTTCCCTGACGATATATTTTTGTCTTTCTTTTGTTTATCTTCTACGTAAAGAAGGATGTCAATCCACCAACCGTATCCGCCACGTGGCTTCCAGGTTTTCCTCAGCGTACGTTTTCTGTGTTCCTTCTGCAGAATACTTGTCATAAAATCATTTGAAGGCCGTATTCCTACTTGAAATGACTAGAATATCCCTAAAAGTGAGGGCTCATTTAATTTTAGAGTGCCCTTCGCCAGTTCACAGTTTTGGGGGTTTTGGTAAATTAATGAAAGCGGGAAGCCATGCGAGCCGCGAGCTGGGAGCCGACAGCGGCGTGGGAAAGAGTGACAGCGTGGACGGACGGTTCTCTGGCGGCAACACGTGGCAACGTTGTCTTGATGTATGCCAACGTGGCAGGTGTGTAAGAAGGTTTGAAAACGAAAAGGTTAATGAGAAGGGAAATTATTGGAATATATCGTGAGAATTTTACGATATGTTAAGGATTGGGAAGTTGCAAAAACAACAATAATAATGCCAAGGTAATCGTAGATTAGTAACAGCGGATGTGTTCCTATTTTATTTACAAGATATAAATATAAAAAAAATTATATTTGATGTATTAATAATTTTTATTATTTTCTAAAATTTCACTTTATTAGTAAATAAAATTATAAATGCGCACATTTTTTAAAATAAATATTAAAAAGTTATTTATATTTATTAAAAAATGTTTTTATAATTAATTTCATAAATTTATACACTTTTAATTTTGTTAAAAGGTGTTACTTTGTAGTTAATTAATATTTTATACGCAGTTAATGCTGTAAATATGAAAATTTTAATTTGAACATCCTAATATTTTAGATAAGAGTATTGATGTTCTGATTAACAAGTTGCATGTTTCTTTCTTTATTTTGATTTTTTTTATTTTGTTTTTCTTTTGAAAAATCTAACTAGTTTATTTCTAGTATTTCATTATAACAATGTCTAATAAAGTGTCGATCTCCATGCCAAAGAAAAAAAAAAGAACTTGAAAGTCAAAAAGTAACATATGCTTTATGATTGAAATTCTATTTCTAGAAAAGAAAAGCATATGTTTATGTTCAAATATTTGGAAAAAAAAATGAGTATTTATTCTAGCATGAATAGCTTGATATGACAACCAACATATGCATATCAAACATGTTAATTACAAGAAGGTACCAAACTATATCCGGCCCATGAGCATAATAAAACCATTGAAATTTCATGGAAATGAAAATGATGTAACTTTTTATATCAAACAATCATTTAATTTATAAATAAAATATTAAACTTAATTTTAATAATTAAAATCATCGTAAATAAAAATAATTAATATATTCACGTTGAAAATTAAGCATGTACATGTGGTATATTGACTTCTCGCGAACGAAATGCAGTAAAAGGTAGAGAAAAAGAGAGGAAAAGGGATTAGAGTAGGAAGTTAGGCATTAGCGTAAGCAACTGGGGACAGGCATCAACCATGCGCAATCGAGCGGTCCTCCCCTCCCCTATCCTCCCCTTTTTATATTCTCTTCATCTCTCTCTCACCCTTTTGTCTCTCTATTCTTCAATTCTCTCCCTTTTCACTTCTTCTTCTTCTTCTTCTTTGTCTTCTTCTTCTTCTTCATTTCTTGTGTCTCAAACGAATAATTAACTCCACCAGGTAAGCTTTTGCATTTGCATGGAAAATTATCTTTCTTTTCAACATTCTCATCTATTCTCAATATTAATGTTTGGTACTGTGTCATGTCACCTTCTTTTTAAAATATTTCCTTCAGCTGTTTATATATATATTTGTAAGGCAGCACAATACTTGCCTAGATTACAAATTTGAGTGTCACACTCCAATTTTGTCTCCTTTTCACATAATTTTGTTTGGTCAAATTAAACAAGCTGCACCTTATTACATGGAAGACTAAATATGGCTTATTTCTTTGTCATTTGTGCATTCTGACACTAACCCACCAACCAGTTTTCATATAATTCCTGCTGAACTTGAATTTCAATGGAGATGCAGTTCTTTCCTTTTCCTACTTGAGCAAAACCTAGCTGACAGAAACTAAACCCTGAGTGGCTGAGTAGGAAATTTCCTTTTCACTCTAGCAACTTGTTGACAAAATAACCTTACACGATCTTGACTGATTTCCCCTCCTGAAAACATGAATGTCTTTGACAGAATAACCTTACCAAAATCTGAATAAGTTTAGAGGTCGTTTTTGTATTGGAAACTATGGCTATTTGAGATTTGAGAGGTTTTGTCATTTTGAGGGTTAGAATTTTTTCACTCAAAGAAAAGAGGGTCAGACGTGCTATGGAAATTCTCGACAAACAGACAAAGTTGACAGAGTCCATTTCATTTGCCACGAGACACAGCTTCTGCAAGTGCCTCATCAACACTGCTTTTCTTTTCTTTTCTTTTTTCTTTTTCTCTTTATAGTTTTTATCCCTTACTTTTTGTCAGGCCTTGATCCAATGGAAACGGTCTCGCTCTTTTTGCATCTGAAGAAAAAACCTTTTCTCTATCTTTTTTTTTTTTTTCTTTCGCTTAAAAACATAGGCATGCTTGATTGTGATAACGTCATCCACCTTGTCCATTCAACTTTCTAATCTGTCGCAGAACAACTCAAAATCCCAAACTCATATGCTTTTATATAGCAATATTATATTTCTTTGATTAATTTATATATATTTTTCAAAAGTAATTTTTGTTTGTTTCAACCCTTTTAATAAAACTCTCTTAAGTTTGTATATATATTCTAGAACCCTTTTCTTTAAAAAATAATTTATTTGTTTATATACTACTAATTTGGGGTGGACTTGGATCTAATTGCATAGTGAAGTGCACTTAAGCTTAAAAACCCTTAAGTGAAATTCAAACGCTAACATCAGGGAGATGAATTTTATTAAATATAGCATAAAATTTCACTAGACTTAAAAGGTTCAATGGAATTTTTTTTTTAATTACAGTTATAATAACATTTATCACTGTTTTTTATCTTATTAGAATTAATTTTATCACCTATCTAAATGGACCCTTAAGTGTTATGAATATAATAGTTTAGTAATGGAAACCCCATTCTTGATGCAACATTTCCACCATTCACCAACACAAGACAACATCATTAGCTCAAACCTCTAGTTGTCCGTTTCCTTGAGAGTTCTGTGCCCCAAACAGAGAGAGAGAGGGCTATGTTTCAACTTCTTTGTTTTGTTTTTTTTTAATCATAAACAAGCTCTTATGATTCAATTTTTACCCTTTTCACCTCTTCTCTTTTTGTCCCTAAAAAAAAAAATCATTAATGTCTATGAAATAATGGGTTTTGTTTTGTATCATGCGCTAATTTTAATTTATTTACCTTGAGAGAGATAAACATGGGGGGTGAGTGTTGCTCACTACCAAATGAGCTAGCTAGCTGATGATTATGATAACATTTGTCACCTTTTTTCCCTTTTTTTTTAAAATTTTTTCTCTCGGTCTTTTAGTTTCTCTCTTCTCTTTTTAAGTTCATTTATTGGTTATGATTTAGAGATGATGATGTAAAAGAGTGGTATAGTGCTAATATTGTGGTGGTGAATTTGATGCAGCAACAAAAGTTATAATGGAGTCAATGGAGTCATGTGTCCCACCTGGATTCCGGTTCCATCCGACCGACGAGGAGCTTGTTGGGTATTATCTCAGGAAGAAAGTTGCATCACAGAAGATTGATTTTGACGTTATCAGAGACATTGATCTCTACAGGATCGAACCATGGGATCTTCAAGGTATAATTATATATATCACTAACATGTTTTTTTTTCTTGTGGTTTTGATCATCTGTTAGGGTTTCTGTTTTGCTGATCAATTCTGCAGTCTGGGTTAAGATCCAAAGTTAGGGTTTCACATTTGCATGAGAGCCTAACAACCCTAGACATGGATGTTAACCTCCATATCTTTATTCTTTTAATAATCATACAAATATATAAGATCTGAATATATTGGTGATAAGCAGAGAGATGCCGGATCGGATATGAGGAGCAAAACGAGTGGTATTTCTTCAGCCACAAGGATAAGAAGTATCCGACAGGAACAAGAACTAACAGAGCAACCATGGCTGGTTTTTGGAAAGCAACAGGGCGAGACAAGGCAGTGTATGATAAATCGAAGCTGATTGGCATGAGGAAGACTCTTGTTTTCTACAAAGGAAGAGCCCCAAACGGACAGAAAACTGACTGGATCATGCATGAATACAGGCTTGAATCCGACGAGAAAGGACCTCCACAGGCAAGCAATCATATAAATTACAATCATTTTTTTTCTCTGATCATCACTTCCTCTTTCTCTCTTTGTCAACAGAGTCGTTAATAAAGTGAAAAAGTTACATCTATTTGTTTTCATGGTCGTCCAACATTCTGAGTAGCTTTGAACAGGCTCTCTTGACTTACTATTTGGAATTTTCTTTTTCAAGTATTTGTGTCCAAACAGGATGATTAGTGCCTGACTGCCTGCCTCGTAATTTCTTCACATGAAGCCTAACTTTTAGTGACGAAATAGATGGTTTTTTTTAATAGATTTATGGTTGAATTTGCGCCATTAGACAATTTATTTGAGAAACGGAATCACTTTTTTCCTTTCAACAAAGACCATTTCAACTGCAATGTCAACAGAAGTAATCCGATTTCTAGAAAGATGCCAACCACCATCTCTTTTAGTAAAAAAAGTGAATTTTAGTGTAACTTTCATACCACCATCCGATTTCTGGCATGGCCCTTAGATCTCTCCCATTTTCATGAGTTTGTCAAAGGCGAAATTCTATTTCTCCTCTATAGCTTTGATCATAATATCTACTTCTCTTCACCCAACAGAAAGAAACGCTTGCAAAAGCCAAAAGAACATATATTCAAATGGAAGAAGGCTGGGAAAACTTTAATCTTGTTGGTGCAAGAAAATTATCTGAAAGTAATTAAAGCAAATACAAAGCTTTCTGATCTCTTATCTCAAAGTTTTGCAGGAGGAAGGATGGGTAGTTTGTCGAGCGTTTAAGAAGAGAACCACTGGTCAAAAGAGCATTGAAGGGTGGGACTCAAGCTACTTCTATGATGAAGTAAGTGGTATTAGCTCCGTGGTTGATCCAATCGATTACATCTCGAGGCAACCCCAGAAATTTTTACCCCAAAATTTCTCGTGTAAGCAAGAAACAGAAGCAGATAATCTAAACTTTATCTACTCTGATCAGTTTGTACAGCTTCCTCAGCTAGAGAGCCCATCTCTGCCATTAATAAAGAGGCCAAGCTCGATATCTCTAATATCAGAGAGTACAAATTATGAAGAAGAGGATCACCAGAATAGAATGTGCAACAACACCAAGAAAGTGACTGACTGGAGAGCACTTGACAGGTTTGTTGCGTCACAACTGAGCCATGAAGACAGATATGATGGTGAAGGAGTTTCAAGCTTTGACATCAATAATAATAACAACTCAGACATGGCATTGCTGTTATTAGAGAGTAGTGGTAGAGAAGAAGGGAATAAGTTGAACGAGTTCTTGAATCTTTCAAGTTCAGATTGTGATATTGGGATATGCATATTTGATAACTGAAGGAAAAAAAAAAAAAAGAGACATGAAGAGGCTTTTATCGCTTAGTGTTATAATCGTTTGATGCATAATGAGACATATTTTTGTAAAAATATGGTTGTGAAATGAATGAAGAAATTCTTTCTCTCTCACTGAATATTGCATGCAAAGCTACATGTAACATTTTCTTGAGACCTGAGCTCCTAAGCAACGCAAAAGCTTAATTTATTCAGTTTCTCAGAGCCAAAATATATGAGTTTCATCATCGTTGGGACAGTGGTCGGTGTCACTACAGGCAAGGTCTGAACAAACCTAGAAGACATAACTTACATGCTACTATGATTCTTCCTGGCTTACTATATTATATATTTTTTACCCAAATATATATCGCTTGCAAGGGCCATGGTGAAAGGAGAAATGTCAAGTTGAATGTGATCTCTCAAGTAGCTTCTCTTTTGTCTCATGCAGCTACTAATTCAAAGCTTCCAATTACTACATTTTGTCTCAAACTTTCAACGACTTAACTTTGTTTATACTCAGATTGGTTTCATTTTCACTACACTACAGGGATTTAGTAAGTTGGGAAATGAAAACCGACTCTTTTTCTCGACTTTAATTTGGTTTTCTTGGCAACCAGCAAACATGATGGAAGATAAGAGTAAGACCAAAGGGAATCTCCATAAGAAAGTAAGAAGACAAATTTATTAGAACAGAAGTTGATTGATTTAAATTGATCAAACATAGACAGCAAGTATGCATCTGGGTGTGGGCTTGGTGGACCCATGGCTTGTCTAGCATGCGCTGGGCACCGTGGCTCCTGTTGGCCATGCCTTGCAATTGTCTTTGAGGACAAATTTTTTTTCATTGACCCTGCTTGTGGCTAGCCTTCCCATGTCCTCTTAGTGCCACACATCAATGAAACCAAACCCACACGATCAACTACATTAATTTTATTTAATTAATAGCAGATAATTACTTTTCATCATAATTAAGAGATAATTAATCACCTTTTTCTCTACAATTGAACCAAGTCCTGAAGCCGTAACATTAATCTGTTTGCTTTTCGAATGTGAGTTTGTGCCCAAATGATTCTCTGATTGGACAAAGAGATATGTTTTGCCGATCTAGCCTTTTTCAGGTGGACCAAACGGTCCAGATTTAAGATCTTTCTTGATTGTAATTGTCTCAATATCATGTTTCTGTACGTGTTTGCAAGTTTGGGATCAAATTATATGCAAAAAAAGCTTCACCAATCAACAGAAACTCAAACCCAGAAAAGAGAACCAAAAAATTTCATCAGAAACAAAACCTTCTAGTAAAGATACCAAACTTTGAGAAATAGACATTTCAATAAAAGTTGACATATCACCTTTTTGCATAATATCTGGCCAAATAGCATCATTCCGACATAACAAATTTGTTGGTGCTGATCTCTGAGCTGAAGGTTAGAACCCTGAAATTATAAAAAAGAAAAAAAAACGGTTAGGACAAAGATAACTGTAATCTCTACTTTATATTGTAATCTCTACGTTTATATTTTGACACTCAAATCAAAGGTCGGATCAAAAGAAGTTAGAAAGATAAGAAATTAAAAAAGTAAGGAAAGAGTTAGATTTGATTAATAATACCCGAATGACTTTATTTATAGGTAAAAAGTGAGTGGTTTATGAGCAAAATAGTGACGTAACTAAGTTGATGTGACGTTATACATATAAGATCGACTTAAAAATAAAAAATATTCTTGATTATCTATTGATAATCTCTAATAAAAAAAAGATCAATTTACTTTCAGGACCCACAAATACCCCTAACACAAGTTTTTTTTGTTTTTAAACTTTCATCATGAATGATTAAGCACTTTAGTCTTCAAATTAATGATTATATATAATACCAATTTTGCATTTTATGGGAAGTGGTGTTTGATAATTATCATACCAAATAAAAGAAAAAACCAAATTTAAGATGAATAAATATTCCCTTGACTATGAGTGCTGCATTGTTTTTACTCCAAATCCTTTCAATCTATAGGGCCTTTGAAGTGATCTTATTTCCATGCTGTCTAATTGTCTGTGTTTCTTTGTTTCTTTTTTCCTGGAGAGATAAGTGGGTAACGAATCCATGGTATGTATTTGAATGAGGCTTAATTGGACCCCAACTCACAGGAAACGTCTCAGTCAGTTACCGAAGAAGGCCTCGACCAATCACGTTCCCTTAAATGAGTGCAATAAAGCAATGATGATCAATCACCAGTGCCCAAAAGAATTTTTTTTTCTTATTGTGATTGTTGCATTTGATTGTAAGCATAAATTTTCTTTCCTTGTTTTCTCTAGAAAACACTGTTACACATGCTTTCTTGAACTTGGTCGGAGTGTACATCTAAGCTTACGGGCCAACCAAGAACTTCTACATTAAATGCTTCCAAGCCTTTTTTTTTTTTTTTTTGTTTTTTTAGTTCTGATCACAGTGAGAAGGATGAACATGGATGGCAATTAGTGTGATGGTTGACCAAAACAAAGCATCCCTTTGGAGAACAATGATGCACAATCATAGCACGCAACAAAGCAAACCAGACCCATGTTTGATGAGCTTTTTCATGCAAAAGATAAGGTTGAAAACCTAGAAAAAGAGAATATTAAGAACACCCTTCTCCTCCTTCTTCCACCGTCACCCTCATAGGAATATTATCATAATAAAAATTCAACCTCTCTCTCTCTCTCATGATTAAGAAGTGAATACCATATTCAGCCAGAAAATCATCATTTTGGGGAGTATTTGAACCTAGAGATGCCATGTTGACAAAACCTCAATTGAACTTTCACCAATCACATTGCGGAATGTCAATGGGAAAAAGGGGAAATTTCTTTTCTTTATTTTTTTGAAAGGGACATGACAAAGAGCAGCTTCAGTACAATGATGTTGCAGTGATACATATGGAAGACTTATTTGAACTTTGTCGGCAGGGCCAACCCCGATCACCCCCATTCTTCACAATTTAGCCAATAGCTCTCCGCAACACATCATCATATGTCAGTAGAGAGGGTTTGACCTGATCACTCTGGTCGTTCTTTATTAGCTTTTACTAGCCAATTAATCTACATATATCACACTTCCATTATCAACCAAAATTAAAAAAGAAAACTTCAACAAGTATTGCAATGGTAAAAACCTTCCTTGACCTATTATTTTCATTGGTGAAGAACAACTCTCTACCCTGATGTTCTGAAGGGAAGAGCTCTCTCTTTGGAAGGAAGGTTTGTGCTTATAGAATCCTTAAGCTGCTCTGATATATCCGTCTGCCAGCATCAAAAACGTTCATCGATCCTTGGCTTTTCTAGACTGAAAAATTGGTAATATCTCATCTCTTCCTCGAGGACTAGAAAATAAGCAGAAGATGAAGTGCTGAACAAAGTTTCTAAGCGCCTGATGGGCCCTTTCAATTAATATTATACTCTACTAAATGAAGTCCTAAAAATCAAACTAATGGGCTACTGCTGGAGACTGATGAAATGAACGTAGGCCTATTAAGTTTGGGCCATTTCACCACGAATTCTCCTGGCAAGATGGATGTCTTTCGGCATGATTGTTACCCTCCTGGCATGGATAGCACAGAGATTTGTATCCTCAAAAAACCAACAAGGTAGGCCTCTGAAGCCTCTTGAAGTGCAAGAACCACATATGGCACTTGAACCTCAAATCCATCTAATGAAAAGTTGTACAACAAAAATATAATCGGGGACTGTGCTTGCATGAACAAAGTGAAACAAAAATGAAACCTGCTTTGAAGATTTAATACCTTGAAGTCTTGTGCGACTTCACGGACAAGACGCTGGAAGGGCAGCTAGCGGATCAACAATTCAGTGCTTTTTATCCAGGTACTTTCGACTTTTACTATGTTGTGCATATTTATTCAATTAACAAAGTCAATTTTTATACTCATCAAATCAATATATGTTCAATTGTTATATCACCACGAGAAAAGAGAAGATTGACATTCAAACTCTTAGCCACAAAACAAGTTTGCCCTTGCTTAGTAGAGGTTCGCCTAACTATCTCCATTAATGTTTCCTTAAGATATCATTTTACAACAAATTAATTAATTTTTAATTTGTTTGATATCATTAAATGTAATTTACATTGATCTAAAATCATTAATGCAACTCTTGTTCACTCATGATTTCTTCTCGAATTCCATACAAATTTATCATCAATTATTAATTACTTTGATCATATCATTATCATTCCTCTCGTATATAAGTTGAAAAAAAAAGTCTAAACATGACAAAAATGCTTAACCCTCCTCCTTAAAGTTTCTTTAACATTTTTCATAATTCACCTTTTTTAAAAGAAAAATAAAAAAACTCTAAACGCTTAGATTGATTTGAGCGTTAGAACATATTTCCACAAATCAATTTCAGAGTCTCCTTATCATGATTCCTGCTACAAGTACAAATCATCCCTCACACAATCTCCAAATTACCCGTCATTCTACCAAGACCCAAAACTCCATCAACCCACTGTTTAAAAGATTACAACAAATAAGGTAACTAATAGGGCCGGTGCCTTTTTCCAGCAAACTAGATCGCAGAGAAAGGAACAAAGAAATAAACATGCATAAAAAGATACATACCACTGTGAGGTTTCTTGACTCCTCCTGTGGTTGGTGCAGAATTGCTTGCAGCCTTTAAATTGGAAAGGAAGGAAAGATTATTGGACAGCAAAATCTCTTGAATTCTGATCATACCAATACAAAATAAACACCCCCCCTTTCCCGGCCAAGTTTGTCAAGTAAGAATTCATCATTTTACAGTCAATGCATATCATATACATTGTCAAATTAGTCACCTACTGACAGGTGCACAAGTGCAACGCTCAAGCAACTGTAGAATTTTACAATCTTGAGTAAGGATGATAAACTCACCCATCTTTCAACAAGTGATTAAATTTTCACAATTCATAGTGCCTAGGTTTCAAAGATGCTTTTATGCTTTTTGTTTGCTCTGAGACAAATAGTGCAGAAACAGAATGCTTTATTTTGAAGAAACATCGTTCATATTTCTCACAACGTACATTCTTTTTATCAGGTAAATGAGCAAGACACTGATAACTGAAACCCTCAAAGATTATGGCCAAGGGATGATCTTGACTGCTCTGAACTCTGAAGAATAGAAATTCAAGGCCAAAATCAACCTCCCAAACCTTTTATCAGGTGAATATAGTGATCCTATGATTTAGAACCACTTTCCCAATTTTGGTATAAACAATCACATTGTAGCGCTTTTTTTTTTTTTTTTTCACTTACATTTTAACAAAATTGAGTGAGAACAGCTGCAATAAATTTAGAAAAGGCGCCCACAGGCCCAAACCCCAACCATAGACAAAAAATGTTAAGAATAAAAGGACATATATCAAACAGACTTCATGCCCATTGATCCACCACGAGAGGCCCATCTCTACCTCCCCTGAATTTTGGGATCATGGTATGTAACCTTCATCGCCATTTCAACACATAGAAGTATGGGATTGCCAGCCCTTGTGCAAATTCAACTCATACAAAACACATATTCACCTCTTAATACCAAACTAGAAGTAAAACCCAAAGCAAACAAAGTTCTATATTCACAAAGAAACTTCCTGATTACATAAAACCTGAAAACTTTCTAGTTTCTACACTTGTTTTAAGCGGTGGCCTTCATGGCTTTTTTGGCAGCAGGTGACTTGATGGATTTAGGCTGCTTAGGTTTCGCAGGAGTTGATTTCTTCTTAGCACCAACTTTCTTTGCTGGCCTCTTTGCTACCTCAGATTTCTGCGGCATTACAGCTGGTTTAGATTTCTTCTCTGTTCTACCTTTTGTAGCAGTGGCTTTCCCCTTCTTTCCAGTCTCGGAGAGCTTGTAAGAGGCCTTGATCTTTATCAGTTTGCCTCTGGCAGCTGAGTTTTTAAGCTGAAGAGCTAAAATTTTCCTGAAATTCGCTGGAAGCACCGCCTTGTGCTTCTCTTCCATATACTTGGCTATAGCGTATGGACTCGAACCACTCTTCTCGTTTAGAGCCAGCAGCGCCTCCTCAATCATCTGCACAACAATCCACCGTTAATTAAGAAAAAAACTCACATATGATTACAAATTCAACAAACAAAGATTTAAGGAATGAGAAAAAACCTGGAAATAAGGAGGATGAGCAGCAGTTTTTGGTTGCTTACTCTTTTTCTCCTTTGGAACTTTTGGTTTTTTCTCCTTCGGAGCTTTGGGTTTCTTCTCCTTGACAGGCTTCTCCGCCGGCTTTGGCTCTTCTGCTTCCGGTGGCTGCTCAGTAACCGAAACGTCAGGTTCAGCGGTGGCCATGTGTAATCACAGTAACCAAGCAGATGCGATTAAGAAAGATTCACAGTAACAAGGAAGAATCTAGAGAAACGGTTCTGCTTTGATATTCGATGGAAAGGACACTCGGGGAATTTATAGGGAGGGCGGGGCCTGTGTCAGACGGGTATGTCGATCTAGGATTGATTGATTTCGAGGCACGAGGATTGCTAACATGGACAATGAATTATCGGAGGCGTACACGTGGAAGGAAATCAAAGTGTTGTTTGGTCTGGATATTTTTAGTGCCAAAATGGGGATAATCCTGCTGCAGTGGATAGGCATTGAAAAACATGGCTTCATTTTTTTTTTTATAAATTCCTTTCAGGGTGTGTTTTCTGATTGATTTTAGGGCTTTATTTCCCGGGATTGCCTATGATTTTTGGCCTAAAAATTTGGTCAGATTGGAGCGAAAGAAGAGGTGAATATAATGTGATTTCAACAGAGTGAAATGGTTACAATTAAAGGGTGATTTGAAGCAGTTAAAGAGAAACAGTAATGAAAATGTATTACAATTAAGGGGTGACTTCCTGTGTAAATATTTGCTTCATTGCCATGTGCTAGACTTTCCGGTTGATAACCCCAGAAAGATGAAGCCTTTTCCCTTGAAGTGAAACTGATAGTCTTTGTTATTGTTTTCAAATCAAAATGGCCATATGTTTCAAATTTTCTGAAAGAAATAAGGATTGTGCTTTTTTTCCTTACCAAGAACTCAAATCCTATACATGAAGCATTTAGCAAACATTAGGCTCCTGTTATTTACTATTTTATTCATGGTGAAACGGAGGTTACATGGCTGGTAAGATCACAATATATCCTACCGTCATCTAACCTTGTGATTTCATTGCATTTTACTTGGCTGAGCTAAAGCTTTTACTGGTTATCAAGCCCACAAGGCAGCCATGGAGCCAAGAGAAATTAGTAAACTAGCTTATCCTAGGGAGTGGTATCTGAGTAGAAATCCATTTGGTTCAATGGTATTTGTGCAAGACAGATTTCTGTTTTCTCTGCTTCTTAATGAAGTCATATACTGTTAAATTGTATTGCTATAAGGAGCGTCCATTCCCAGTTTAAGTCCCATTAGATCAGTATACAAGTTTTCTTGACTTTGCATTCACTAAAGGTTTCTGTTAACTTCTTTGTCTATTTGCTTACTATTGGTTCAGAAAGGAGAAGATGAATTAAGCCATGGTGTCTGATACAAAGTGTACTAACATTTGGGCCAGCAAAATTGTTAATACAGATTACAGAGCAATTTTTTGGATGTGAAGGCAGCCTATGGAACAAGACAACTGCTAAGATTCTTATTATAGAGAATGTTGCCCCTGCCGACATGATATAGTTGTTGAGATTAGAACGCTTTCTAAAAAAACTATCTTTTTCCAAAGCAACAATCAGGAATCACTAATTTAAATCTTCATTGACAATGTATCCAGGTAACAAGATTTTGGTTTTCACAAAGCTTATTTGGCCATGCATGCCCGGACACATCACATGATACAACAAATACCAAAATACATGATTGGCCAACCGAACCTAGTGACACCAACAGATCAAAAGACAAACAATTTTCATTTTCTGATCAAACATACATTAACTGTTTACTTCAAACTGAAGTGATGGGATCAAAATGAAAATTCAGAGTGATATCATTATGAACTTCCTGGAATTAAATGAATCAAACACAATAAAACTTAAAAGAAAAAAAAAAAAGTTAAACACCCTCTTCTAAAACCCAACTATATCATCGAAAAAGCTCTAAATTAAGGTTGTTGCTGAGCATCCATATAACCAGCATCAACCAACACTTTCTCCCTCTTAGCCAACTCAATATCTTCATCAACCATCATCTTCACCAATTGCTCAAATCCAACTCTGGGTTTCCACCCAAGAACCTTCCTAGCCTTACTTGAATCCCCTTTCAGGTTATCCACTTCAGCAGGCCTAAAATACCTCTTATCAATCACTACATGATCTTTCCAGTTCAACCCAACATACCCAAATGCCACTTCCAAAAACTCCTCCACCGTATGCGACTCCTCCGTTGCCACCACGTAATCGCCCGGCTTCTCTTGTTGCAGCATCATCCACATAGCTTCTACGTAATCCCCAGCAAAACCCCAATCCCTCGAAGCTTGCAGATTCCCCAAAAACAACTTGCTTTGCAACCCAATCTTGATCCTTCCAACGGCCCGAGTAATTTTCCGGGTCACGAAGTTCTCTCCTCTCCTCGGGGACTCGTGATTAAACAGAATCCCGTTGCAGGCGAAAATCCCGTAAGCTTCCCTGTAATTCACAGTGTACCAATGCGCTGCGCATTTGGAAGCAGCGTATGGAGATCTGGGATGAAACGGGGAATCTTCAGATTGCGGCGGAGGGGTGGATCCGAACATTTCCGAGGATCCAGCTTGGTAATACTTGATATGGCTCCGACCCGTGGCGGCGATGTGGGATCTAACAGCTTCCAACAATCGGAGGGCTCCGGTAGCCACCACGTCAGCAGTGTAATCCGCGATTTCAAAAGAAACCGCCACGTGGGATTGTGCCGCCAGATTGTAAACCTCGTCAGGTCGGATGATGTCGAGCCAACGACGAAGCGAGGAAGCGTCGGTGAGATCAGCGTAATGGAGCTTCATCCGAGCCTTGTGGGCGTTGTGCGGGTCGATGTAGATGTGATTGATACGCTGCGTATTGAAGTTGGAAGAGCGGCGGATCAAGCCCTGTACTTCGTAGCCTTTGTTGAGGAGGAACTCGGTCAGGTATGAACCATCTTGACCGGTGATGCCAGTGATCAACGCGATCTTGCGATCAGGAGAAACGTCCCCATTGACGGTGGGAGATCCGGATCCGAATCCGACCCTGGAACTATCATTTTCGGTTGCCATTTGTGGAGTTCGAACAAATTTGACGGTGGACTTTGATGGGCAAAATGGAAGATGACGTGCTCTCAGTGCATTTAAGCGAGTGGTGGCTTTAGGGACAAAATAGTCAATGAAGAAGATATAAATATTCTTTCAGAGTAACATTGGGCCACGGCAACAAAGGCCTGAAACGGATCAGTCAAAAGTTATGAGGCAGGCTCATGCTCCGGCCCACTTCACATTTCGTAAGAAGTGATTGGACTTAGAAGAACTCTCACTTTCCCTTATTTTTTTCTTTAATTTTAATTTTTGATATCTTAAAATTATATTTTATTTTTTAAAAATATTTAAAATATTTATTTTTACTTTTTAACATTAAAAGTTATGAAACTTTAATTTTATAATAAAAATTTTAATTTTAATATTAAATATATTAAAATTAAATTTTTTTTTAAATTTCTTGAAATCAGTACAAAATAAACAAATAAGAGCGGAAGGAATATTTGATAAAAATAATGGTGATTATAAATTTTTTAAAAAAGTTTTCATAATAAAGTTAAAAAAAAATTGTTTGATATAATAATATCTATATATGATACTTAGAGTAATTTATAATATTTTAATCTTATATTCATAAGCTAAAATAATTGTTCATATATTTTAATTATAATTCAGAATTAATATATTATAAAATTTATAAATATATTAAAAATATATATAAATAATGATTTTAATATTTTTTTATTATATCATTATTTATAGAGATTATGTAATGTTTTTATTTGAATGACGATTCATATTTTTATTGCGATTGAATAATGATAACGAAAATCGATATTACTATTAAATAATGATCGTTATTGAATAACAATAATGAAAAAAATAATATTACTATTAATCATCGATTGTGATTGAATAATGATAATAAAAAATGATATTACTGTTAAATAACAATAACAAAAAATAATATTACTATTAAATAATGATTACGATTAACGAAAATTGATATTGTTGATAAACATTGATTTTAAGCTCTCAATGTTAAATCAAGAAAACGTTAAAATTTTGAACATCGATTAAAATACATTAATTATATATTTGATTTATAAAATATTTATGATTGATATTATATTATTAAATTAATTGATTTATACGTTATTATTATAATATAAGATAACATTATCAAAATTCTACTACCCAAAAAATTCGAAACTGAAGCTGTGTAATTGCCAGAGCCACGTCGCGAACGTTACTTAAATTCTTTGTTTCAGTACTCCAATTCCAAAGTTCACATAGGAAATGCAAATCCAGAACTAGCTGTATATCACCGTACAAAGTAAATCCAGCGCAACAGTTTTAGATTTTGACCGACTCAATCTCGTATTTATTTAATTCCTTTTACGACAATCATCACTTCCCTATAAATAAAAAAGGCTGCTGTCTAGGGTTTTCACGTCCTTCTCCACATAATTTTCGCGTAGTCGAGTCTCAACTTTCGAATCTCAAAAACCCGAAAAAAAACCATCTTGAAAAATCACTACTTTTTCTTTTTCTAGGTTTTCCGATTAGGGTTTCGGAATTGCTAATGGGGTTAAGTTCTTGATCGGAAACTTAAAGTAGAGATAAAATTTCAAGCGTTAAAGGAATCGACATTGATTTGGGCTTTTATAAAAAAAATGAAGCGATCGAGGAAATCGGACAGGGTTCCTCGGGCTCCAGGTGTCAATCTTCGTCAGGTATGGCCCCCAATATTATCTTCAATCAATCATTAGTGGTTTCATTGCCTTTTTCAACTGCTTTAAAGAAAATAAAATCAGAAATTAATAGTTGATTCTTTATATCTGATAATATTATTATTATTACTAGTATTAAGATAGACTTTTATATTGATTGTAACTGGAATATTATTTAAAATTTTGAGCTTTTAAGCATTTGATTCTGGTAACACTGATTCAGTATCCATAGATGCAACAATTTTCTATTTGAACGACTGTGATAGAGGGAAAAATTAATCCCAGAAAATAATTGTGCTAAAATTTGTTAAGTCTAAGAATTACTGGAGATTGTAGTAAAAACAGAAATGGGGTATTTTAGAACTGAAAGTTAATTAAGAAATTCATCTCTGAATAAAATTAAAATTTAAAATTCCATTATTGGTAAGCTGAGCTTTAACTAAAGAAGTAAATATGCTGCCATTTTGAGTCCAAAAGAAAGAATTTGCTATTGATTCAACTTGGGATTTTCCATTTAATGTTGGAATCTTCAACAGTGATATCATACCTTCTTGATGAATGGAGATAAAAGTTTTTTTCTCTAAATATAAGAAGGGGGAAACTTTTTGTTTCATATGCTCACTTATTAAAAATGTTGTTAAGCACACATTATTTCATAAAAAATTTATCTTGATTTTCATCTTCCTTGATTATTTGAAACTCTGTTAATATCAAAATCTTAAAGTTGTAGTCTCACTTAGTAAAGATAAACGAGTTATAATATACAAAATATTGAGCACAAAATTATATAGGAAAGTATTCAAGGCTCAGTAAAGTTGATGTTTTGCTACTAGGGCAAGTTTTCTAGCACTAATTGTGACCAATGATCATAATGAGGCTAATGAAGGTACAATGCTAAAGAAATTAGTTTTTGCTTAGCAATAGATTTGAGGTATCTAGTTTCATACCAGCTTTGGATATAGTATAAGATGGATGCAATCTTTCTTTAAAAGTTATATAGAAATGCACTGAATTTATGATGTATCTATAAGTTGAGTTGAGAGTGCTAACAGGAAAATGGTATAGTGGGTTGATTCTAAACAATTTAGGATCCTGCAGGTATTTTCATTCTGCTAATCCCTGTCATGCCTGTATAGATGGCAGACAAGTTCGGTAAATGTTTGTATGAGTTTAGACAGTTTAGGTGCTGAGTTAAATCATTTCATTATTGATATTCTCTGTATTCATCTTTTGCCTAAAGAATTCTTGTTGGTAGCTAATATTTTCTTTGGAAATTATCTTCTCATTTTCTGCTCTGCATTTCATATGGTGCTGCTTGTGGCAGGCACTCCATAAATTTGATTTGATGTCTATTGGGCTGTAGGATTGGCTTTTATGTGGGAAACTATTTAAGAAAGATGATAACCGGATGATTTGTGTACGTATTCAGATGATTTAATAATTATTAACCTGCTAAAGTGTACTAATTCAGGGTATTGTCTCAGGCAAAGTTGTTTATGGGAGAGGAATGCCCTTCAAAAGTCGGTGAACATGAAGCTACTCTTCAAGCAAAAACATCAAGGTCATTGCATTCCAATGTCATGTGTGCTAATGACCTTCTCCCTAGGTTTGAAGGTGGTAATCGATTGAAGTATGATCCAGCTGAGATGCCTAGTGTCCAATGGACATGTCCTCCAAAAGTAATTAGATATATCTGTTCTTTTTTTTCAATGTTTTATTGATTTGAAAAGATCTTTAGTTTTTATATAGTTTTAGTACCCTACTAGCGGGAAAGAAGTTTAGTCTTTGGAACCTTATTATATAAACTTCTGGCATTTAATATTATCGTCTGTATTAAATTGGTCTTGGAATCTAACCTTTTGCTTTTGTCACATTTAAACAGTTTGTCTTGAATTTTAACTGGCGTGTTGCAGCTGGTGAAGAGAGCGAGGAGGTAGAGGCTCAAAAACTGCGGGAAATGAGAGTGCTTGAAACAGTTTATCCTTGCCTTTCTGTCATTCCTCCTAGGTGTACTTTCATCCTTACTTCTATATACCTCTAGTAATTCCCCTTAAATCTTTATCTGACTGAGTCTCAATCATCCATTTTTGTAGTCCCTCTGTTTCCCTGGATGTAGAAGTGGAACCCTATGATGATAGCCAAATTCCTCTTGTTCCTCTGACTCCAATTGAAGATGAGGAGGGTGCAGATGCATCAGATTTTGCTGCTCAACCCAAAGCTCCATCTAACTCTGAGACAGCAGCATTGCTAATGCCCCCAGGTCTCTCAGTATATGGAACTCATCCTAGTTCTGCTGCTGAGTCACCTGTCGTTGACATGTTACCTGGTGTAAGCTCTGATTTAATTATAGCCGCTTCGGCCATCTTAACTGCAGTCACTAAAATCAAAGAGCAGGGGAGTTTGATCGACACTGATTTGCTCGTTAAAATCTTTTGTGATCCAAAGATGGTTGAGCAATTAATTAATGCTGCTGCCAATGGCAATGTGGTAAGTAAACGTGTATATGCTTCAGAGCCAGAAAGAGGAACAACCTTTTTGCCTTGCCTAAAACCTGCTACAATTTCATCACCAATGCCAGCTAACAGAAGCTCGAACCATTTAGTAAAAGAGTTCCATCCTACATTAAGTATTCCAGATTCCAGAGCAGACATCGTTTCCCCTACTATGCCCATGAGAGTAGAGTCATCAGTTCCCTTATCCGGTACGAATATAATTACGATTTCAGGACATAGGGCCGCAAATGGTAATCCTTACTCCACCTTGAACCAGTTGCAACCAGTTCTTTGTACTATGCCTGTTCAGCCCAACTCTGTTCAGAATGTGCGGTCAGCTATTAGTTCAACATCCAAGCAACGAAATGCTGGTCTGTCTGTTGCTGCAATGGAAGCCAACCCTGTGAAGGACACTAACTATTTTAAGAACTTGATTAGGGAACATGGAAGAGAAAAGCAAGAGGCTAAAGTGCATAATATCTCACAAACTGTAAGTCATTTTAATCACAACCTAAACCTGAATCTGGTACAGAACTTAAAACCTGTGGCATTGAAAACCAAGTCTCCAATACCTTGCATGTATTTTAACAGTCCAAAGGGTTGCCGTCAAGGGTCCAATTGCCTTTACCTGCATGACAAGTCATTTAAGTTTACAACTGCCGGAATGTTGGAACCTCCGAGTGCTAAGAGAATGAAATTAGGTCCGTAAATTACAAGAAGGATATAAGAAGGATGGTCTAAATTCACTCCTTTTCCTTTAGATTTTTTTTTCTCGAGATTAGATACTTTCCGTTTGGCTGGTATCTGAGGAGAGTTTGAGCGAAGTTTGGTCATACATAGTTAATTCAAAATTGTTTGGTAGTCTAGGAAAATGGTTTCAAAATTCAGGTAGAAAAGAAATGGAATGAAATTTCCAATATAGAAAAACTCATTCAAAACTTTCGAGTTTTAATATGAAACGAATTTGAACCATAGTGTTTTCCCCCTTTTTCTTTATGCGAAAATCGAACAATCATCCATCATTTGAACAGGGCAGCTCCAACATGAAACGACCTTAGTAATGTATAGAATTATTGAAACATAGAATAATTGGTTGAGAGGGGGGAAAGGGGATGTTTTAACCACAGGCTTTTATTATAAACCAAGCAGACAATGTCACATCACAACCAAAATGGTTCCAAAATCAAATGCCTCAGACACCAACTAGTCCCGAGCATTTAAAAGGTCATTGTTAAGTGTAAAATAGCACTCAGTAAAATTAGCCATAGGCTGTTGAAAGTAATTTCAGAATATTCTTGGACAAATTTTCCCAAAACACTGAACTAATTGCTCGATACATCCATGCATCATCACCCTAATCAACCGGTTCTCATGATGATGTGAACCCCGCTATCAGTATCCACAATGTCACTTATCTCACCAACCTTAAGACCATATGTTGCCTCCTCGAATGGCTTTTGCATCTGGCCTCGACCAAAAGGACCTGCCAAAAAAAAAAAATTATATAAGGTTTTGTTTGGATTATGGCTTGTAATGCTGGTACAAACTAATGCAAGATCATGGGCATTGAACAATAATCAGAACTGGGGGATGTTACTTTTAGGATATAAAGAAAATTACAGCAGTAGTTCCCCCCCCCCCCCCCCCCCAAAAAAAAAAAAAAAAAAACAGCGTTCAATGCCAATAATGACATAAAAATGATATAAAATGACAATAATTGTAAAATGTCCTATAATTGAATGATAGGCTAGCTTCCCATAGTTCGCCTTGGAACCTTAGGATCAAATCCTATAGTCAAAACTCCATTATGGATAAGAATAGTTAATTGGGAAATTTTAAACTATCTAATTTTATATATGTATAAATAGCTGTTTTTATCATTATTTCTTTAACCTAGTAAGACAATTGCTGAAATATTATCTCCATGAGAAAGAATATGAAAGCAGATAACAGACAAAAAAATTTAGATGTAAAGAGCTTTTATCAAATTCTATGCTTCTATGTGTTTTAAAGTAAAAAAAATGCTATATCTCAATTGTCAAAACAGAGCAATCCTGCAAAATACTAACAGGTTCAGGTAATTTGGTTTGCCAGGTTAAAATCTTGAATTGCAAAGCAAAACACAGCCATTGAAACGGAGAAGACTTTACTCCTTTAAAGTAATACACAACCACAGAAGCAAACTAATCAACAAAACCAGACTTATTAACATAATTGGATATCTCTTAAGCTAATGAATGATACGCAGCAACAACCTGTTGAGTAAACAAATGAGTAAACAAAGTTGACTATTACAGCTCCAATTGCAGGGAATCCCAAAATTTTAATATCTTTAACACTCGAAACCCTAATTCCAATTCAACTCAAAGATGTGCTTTTGCAACGTATTCCAAACCCTAGTAGCAACCAAAGTGCCCATTAAACAAATCCATAACTATAGGACTCAATTGAGATTATCTTTTCAATCCTTTAATTAACTCAATGCATCTTCCTTTCCTCCATAACTCAGCATCTGAAAAGTTTCTAAGCAACCAAACAGCAAATAGAACTCAATTAAATAAAAATTAGAGTTCCGAATCAGAGTCCTCTATTCTCGTTTTTAAAAACTAAATCAGCGAAATCTTTAAAATTACCGAGATCGCCGCCGCGTTTAGCGGAGCTGCAATCGGAGTAGCGGGAGGCAACCTCGTCGAACTTAGCCTTGCCCGAAACGATGTCGTTACGAAGGGCTTTGAGCTGAGAGACAGCGGTGTCTCGGGTGGTGTTGGAGATGACGCGGCCATCTGGATCCTTCCAAGAAGCCTTGCGGCGTGAGCCTTGGTGCTTGATCAGTATGTGAGATGCCCTCACTTGATTGGCCGCCGTTGACGATGACATCTTGCTCTTCTTCTTGTGGTGATGGTGGTGGTTTTTGTCTTTATGTCTCTCCGCCGCCGCCGCCGTTCGATCTGCGGATGAGATCGAAGTTTTCTTCCTCTTACGATCCGAATCTATCTTCGCAGCTTTTGAGAAACCGCAAAAGAATTATAAAAAAAAAAAAAAAAAAACAAAACAAACAAACAGTTGTTCTAGTGAAGCCGAAGCTGAGGGGTTTTTCAAGTATTAAGGAAGAGAGAAAGTCGGCTATTTTATTATGACGTGGCTTTCTTTCATTGGTCCTAAAATTCAGTTTAATTATCTAAGAATATAAAAATTCAATTTCATCAAGCCAACGTTTTTTTTTTTTTTTTTTTCTGTTTTTGTCTTTCAAGGTAGAGCAGAGAGAGGAAAGTTGAAATTCGATTGGAACTTAATGTTTTCTTTAAAATTGTTTAGATTACTAGACTAAGCAATTGAAGACGAAACCAACGTTAAAGCACCGGAAACCAATGTCAAATTCTTCATTCTTAGCTCTATAAAACTTTTATAATAAACAGATGTATTTTACAAGTTCGTTACTACAATAAGTTTATACAAAAAATTGGATTGATAACGTATACAATATTTAAATTCTCGATCCTACATAATTAGTTCTTATCCTAAGAGTGCAATATGAGCATCCATCTACAAAAAAATCACTCTTAACATTTATCTCATGATTATTGAGAACGAATCAAATCAGATGATTCTATTTCTCTATCTAACCCAGGATCAAATTCTTAATTGACTATGTACATATATACATACATACATACATACATACATATATATATATATAGCTTAGGATTTAATGTATACTTTTGTTTATTCTTTAACCTTGAGTTCTTTGATGTAGCAGATTTATCAGGTTATGCTTTGGGTAATGGCCAGTCAAGATCAGCTACCACGCAAATAACAAATCAACCACAGAAACAGATAATTGGCTAATGAGAAACATTCTCTACTCTCCTAATATGTCATTGCCAGCCATGTCTGCCTTACTTCGTGGAGAGTTACAGGACAGATTCCCCAACACCCTAGCCACCCAGCTAAGTTCCAATCCGACTATTATGGAAATCGGCGTGTAAAGCTACAGATAGAACAAGATCACAAACATTTGAGTGAAATCCAATTTGAATACATAAACATCCCTCAAGAACTCCAAACAGAGACATAATCTAAAAATTCAAACAAAATTTCTAGCATAAATGTGCTTAATACTCTTGAATGTAAATATAAAGGCCAAAAGAACTAAAACAACAAGTCATATCCTATGCTTAAGCCTTATCAGCCTTAGCAGCAGTAGCTGCTGCTTGTCCTCTGAGCCTACCAGTCCTCCTTGCAGCAATAAGACCAACCTTTTGCCCAGGAGGAGCATCACGCCTAACAGTACTAGCATGACCAATGTGTTGATGGTTACCACCTCCGTGGGGATGCTCGACTGGGTTCATAGCCACACCACGGACCTTAGGCCAGCAGTTCCTCTTCACCTTAAACTTGTGGTAAGCATTACCAGCCTTAAGAAGAGGCTTCTCAGTCCTACCACCTCCAGCAACCTGGCCAATCATGGCACGACAGCCACTTGGAACAATCTTCTTGGCACCAGATGGAAGCTTGATCCTGTAAAATTACACTCCAAAAACTTCATTACCGAAACAACTAATTAATCCAAACTTCCCCAACCATGTTCATCTATAATTAATCACTATCCACACACTTTCAAGGATTAATAAAAATTTATCGTAGGAGCAGTATAAATCAATAAGATAAAACAAAATTTCACATGTAAGTGCCAGCAACAGTCAAGTAAACAGATAAAATAATGAAATTTTACATGTAAAGGCCAGTGGATGTCAAACTAAAGTGACTCATCCTTGTGCTTAAGAGTTGCTATTTCATATTACATTCCATCAATTCACAACTCTTTGCATCCACCAATTAAATGAATGTTCTTACTCGTAAATTAAATATAGGTTTAAGCATAGATATCAATAGTAAGCCCCAGATTTTAGCAAAATTAGACCTGATGATTCATATATTCATATCATATAAAATACTGAAATTCGTGTATTTCTGTCGTGTTTTACATGAAAATTACGTGTCATTATTCAATTGACACTAAAGCATGAAATGTATTTTTTCAGTTTTGTGATACTTATATATAGTTATTGCAAAATTTTTATACCACGTCAGCTTTATCAGCTTCGTGTTAGTGTTGTGTCATCGTATGTGTTTTAGACTGGCAGTTGTAGCAAAATATATAAATAGGCTAAGCAATATAAAAAATGGTCAATAATAGATCCAAAGAACAATCACGTATAAAACAGATTCAAATCAAAATTAAAACAGAGTCAGAATCAGAGACCTGGTGGTGTCATTATCAGGATTGTGACTAATAACAATAGCATAATCACCCGAAGCCCGAGCGAAAACCCCACGATCACCGACATGATGCTCGACGTTACAAACGACAGCTCCTTCAGGGATAGATCTAAGAGGCAATACATTTCCGACCATAAGAGTAGCCTTCTTACCACAGTACACGAACTGTCCGGTGTACATACCCTCGGCGGCGACGAACAGTTCCTTCTGCTTCTTGTAACGGAAAGGGTGACGGAAGACGACACGGGCTAACGGAGCGCCACGGCCCGGATCATGGATGACATCGGTGACGACACCTTTAAGGTAACCATTTCGTTCACCGAAGTCGAGGCTGCGGAAACGCGCCGGACCCTTGCGGTGGTGGGTGTGGGCCTTGAAGACAGAACCAGCACCCTTACGTTGAGCTCGGATGACTCGACCCATTCGGCGAAATTGTGTGCGACCCCGAAAAACCTCTCTCCTGGAGACGGCCGCTGGGCAAAATTGTGTTGACGGTTAGGGTTTGCGTGGCCAAATATATATATTGATTCCTGACCATAGGGTTTTTAGGGTCGATTTTTGGGCGTGGTTGTGTGAGCTTTGGGCTAAAAAAAAACAAAGGGAAGCAATGAAGTGAAAAATTATGGATTGTTTCTATGATCCAACAAAAAATTCCCTTTTGGCCCAATTATTATTGGACAGACAGATTTAAAAGTTTTTTGAGACCGAAAATTAATTCTATCAATTTAAAATTCGTTATAATGACATGATATATATATATATATGATATAAAAATAAAATATAAAAATAATATAATTTAAAATTTTAATAATAATTATATATAAATTTAACAAAAATAAAAAAAATATATTTTTATATTTTTATATCTATATATATTATAACATGTAAATTACATATAAAATATAATATAAATATACAAAATTTAATATTTTATATAATATGAATGCACGAATTATTAAATCTACTAACAATTAATTTCAGCCTAAAAATTTTAGTACGAGAAATATTTTAGATAATTTTTTTGCTAATTTTCTATTTAAATTTGTTTGCTTTACCGAAAATTTTAATCTATTTATAATTATAGCAAATCCAATTTTTTTCCTGCCAAAACAATGAATCTATTGTTCAGGTACCCAAAATAAAAAATATTTATGAAATCTTTTAAGCATTATATTTGTTCTTATTTTTATTTTTTCTTTTGTTTACTTAAATATTTTCTCTAAAATATTTCTAGTTTAAAATAATTTGAACAAAAATAATCAAATATAAAAACTTATTAACTTATAATTTTCGAAATTAAAAAATGAACATATGATAATACATGTAAAAAAATATAAATATTCAAAAAATAAATCATATGTTAATACATGTAAAAAATGAACATACGTTATAAGGCATGAAGCAAGAGGAAAATAGAAATCATTGTGGGCTACGAGATGCACTCAGATTTGGTTCATCACGGAATTTTCAATCACAAACATTTCACATGCAGGATTAAACCAATCTGACCAGGACACATCTCAAAGCAAACCTGAAATCCTTTGCAAAAGAAAGCATGTGGGAAATGGCAGCCTGTTGTTACCACTTACCATACATGAACAAAGAAGCTGGAGGAACTCAAACGTGCGAGCCAGAAGCGGGTCTATCTTCAATCTATTACAATGGGGGCAATGGCTGGTGGGCAATGGCTGGTGGCTATTTCACTCTTTGATCAATGGAAACAAATCCACAAAAATGGCTGTCGCAGCTGATGTTTGAACCTAGATCATTCTTTGAAAACGATCTGGGCACTGACTAGCATTATCTGAGACTTCACTGTCAAAGCACAGTATAAACATTAATTTGAAATGAAATATCAATTAGTCCCACACAAGATGAGTTGAGCTGGCAACTAATTGTGTTCTTCAGCTTCAAATTTGCAGTTCAAGCACTAAAATTTTGCATTTTTTGTAAAGAGAATTCATCCCTTCGCCTTGTCATAGTTGGCATGTGAGCTTTGTCTCAAACATGAATCACAAGGCAGTAAGCTCCCAACCATTTTTAACCAATATAGGCTAGAAGAGATCAAATTACAGAAAACTGATACAAATGCGAGACCCCATCACCATGAATGCCAGTCAAGAAGCAGAAAAAGGGTTTTGCTTATGCGAGTGGCTCAGGCAAGCAGCTGCTTCTGGACTGCCTAAATGGCAAGGGACCAAAAATTAGAAATTTGCTCGAGCCCTACCTAGCTAACAGTGGACCCCAATTGCATGTGCAAAGAGTACAAGATTAGCAGGAAGGAGATTAAGCAATGTAAACACTGAACTCTTTTTTTTTTTTTTTGTGTGTGTCAGGCCTCCATCTTATCAAAAGTCAAACCATATCAAAAGATAAACATCCTAATTGAACAGATAATACAAACACTTAAAAAGGTTCTAAACCACCAAATAACTAAAGGAAGCTCCATTTTCTACTTTATCTCCGTCATAACCTGACAACAGGGAAGGGGCTGCAAATGCTAGGATTTGAACTCCAAACCTGCTGATGTCACTTCTTAAAGATGGCTATACGAATTAACAGCCCTAGGTTAAGTCTGTATTATGAGTAGTCTTCTTACTGCATAGCTAAACAAGCTGGTAATAATGCATGCTAGATTTAACTTATCATTTTGCAGTATGATCACCGAGTAAGTTGGATCAGATTGAAATTGCTTGGTCTAAAAGCTTAGCGAGGCAGTGCTGGAGATGTTGTCATGAGTCTTTATTTTATTATTTATAGCTTGAGCAAATAGGAAGCGCTTTGGCTAAGATCAAGAGTGAAACAAAGAATTCAAGATGGCAACTTTCGATTCTGCATCATTATGTCAATGAGATATATAGGCATATAGCATATCCAATCCTGTTAGAACTTAGATGTAGATCATAAAAGGTGAACTACTAATCATTCAAATAGATCAATAAGCCAGTAATAAAAGTAAATGCTATCCATTTTGAATCGCTTTGTATGTTTTCAATCCCAAGTAGAGGGAAAAGAAAGTTTGGATGGTTTGATATAAAGAATCAACCAAAAGTAATTTCTCCATCTGTTATACTTCAAATTCAAGCTCCAGCCTGTCGCCAATGCAAGCCCTGGTATTCAACTTGCTGAAGAAACATAACTCCAAAATCTTAACCCCATTTAGTATTTGTTTTAAGTATATTTCTAGCTTATAATTACTGGTCTGGTTTTAAAAATTCATCATTTATTAGGATCTTGAAGCTATTGACAACATAAGTACACGACTGTAGAAGGAGAACAAGAAAGATAGAATTGAAGTTTAAAAAAAAACATGGATTTTCCCATGAAATCTTTTAAGCAAACTCTCAAGAGCACGTGCAATATTGTGCCACTTGAGAGAAAAACGGAGGTACATGAACAATATAAAAATTGTAAATAGTTAAGAAGAAGAAAATCTCATTAAGTTATAGTCAGAAAAACCACTCATGTCATGCATAAGGGTTTATATATGACTGCAATGAAGCAAAGCAACTTTAATATCTTTCTTCAATCCCCTGAAACCCTATCAAAGTTTTTTCACCTGATCATGGCTGTTAGAGAGCGAAAAACAACTTCTTCACAAGGAATTGTAAGGCCCATGTCGTGGTTAAACCCAAATTCCTCTTCAGCTCTTTGAAGCAAACTCCGAAACTCAGGGTGAGCCAACGATGATATTGGGATTATGCATCTGCTTCTGTTTTCTTCAACATAGACAACAAAATGGGCTTTATGTACATCATCCGGAAGGCTTCCTCCATCATCGTAACCTTGTTTCTCGCCAAAACTAGAGCACCTTCCCAGAATCTGTTTGATAGCTGCCGTTTGAGGTAGTTTGTTTAATTTCTTAATAGCCATCTTGTTTAGATTACTCAAGCTTTGAACTTTTAGGCAGAGATGGGAAAGGAATAAGGAGGCTAAAACGAATGAACCGGAAAGAAAGGTGGTGAGGAAGGATTAAGGTAATAGAGGCATTTATATGGGGGAAGCTTGGGAAGATAGAATTTTAAATGTTGAAACAAAGTCATGTGGTATGTGGGAGAAATGAACAGACCAAGAATGTATTGGAGATAACTGTATGTGAAGGCATGTAGGTTTCAATCCCAATGAGACTGGGCCTACCTGTTGCCTCTCCTGGGGACAACATGGGTCCATTTTTCTCTGTTTTCATCAGGCATGCAGGTTTCAATCCCAGTGAGACTTAGCCTAACTGTTGCCTCTCCTAGGGACAACATGGGTCCATTTTCTCTATTTTCACCATTTGTATGTTCATACCTTATCCTAAAGCTGAGAAAATTCATTACTACTATATTTTCTAGTTGCCATATTAAACAATATGTCAATGTCTCTCTCTTACACGCAGAAAAGAACTGAAAAAGAAAGAAAATAGTATCAGATTTCTGTCATTGTATTGGAGAATAACCTTGGAAGTGACAACCATGAGATCTCCGGAGGGAAATGGAAAAAACCCTGACATAACAATTAGTTGTACTACGAATATTTATTAAACCATTACTGCATTTTTTTTTTGAAAGACGTTAAATTATTAACGTGCTTAATTTATAGTTATTGATAATTTAAAATGTGATATATTATATATTGAATAGAAAGATTATTTATATATTATTGTAAAAAAATTATTTATATTATTTAAGTAATTAAGTTAAGTATTGAAATATGTCTAAGTTATTTGAGCTTACTAAAAGTTTTTTTAGTGGGTCTGATAAAAAGTCAAAGATAGGTATTTTGGGTACTTTGATTTGTTTGATAAATATATTTAATTTTTAAATCTTTTATTATTATTATTATTATTATTATTACTATTATTTATTTCAAAATATTATTGATTCTAAATAAATATGTTTGAACAGTGAAAAACATAATTGTTTAAATAAAATTTATTTAAACAATAAAATATGACTATACAAAATGTTATGACTTTTTGAATTACCTTGATTGATGACTGTTTATTTATTATAAATAGATCTTTCTGCCTGACCAATTTTATTATTTTTGATTTAGAGAGTTTTAAGGCTTTATTGTATCCTATAAGTATAATTGCCTTTAAGATAGTATTATTCACGCCTCAAAGTCATATTTTCTTTTTTTTTACTATTTTTGTTTTTCTTAAATTTACTAACAATTTAAAAGCAATTATGGATACTACATCTACTATTGTCCTTACTGTTGCTATGGATTTAGAATCAAGCATGAAAGTTCATTTTCAAAATTAAGATGTAATCAGACTTGATCATTTTAAGGGATCAAACTACACTAGGTGGAAGGACAAAATGATTTTTTTATTGACATCATTGAAGATGTTTTATGTACTTGATCCAAATTTGGAACCAATTCCAAAATCAACTCCTGAAGATTCTGATGCTATTAAGGCAATAAGAAGTAAACGTGAAGAAAATGAATTAGTCTGTCGATGTTATATTTTTAATTCATTATCTAACCGTCTATATGACTTATACAGAAATATGAAAACATCAAAAGATATATGGACTACTCTTGAACAGGAATACATGAACAAAAAGAAAGGTACGAATAAGTTTTTTGCTTTGAAATTCTTTGAATTTTCAATAACTGATGATAAATAAATCATGGACCAAGTGCAAGAGTTGTAAATTTTGGTTTCTAAGTTAAGTGAGCTAAAAATTAAGGTTCCTGATTCACTTCAAGTTAGAGCTATTTTGTCAAAACTTCCTCCTTCTTGAAATGGATATAGGAAGAAAGTTTTACATTTAACAGATACTTTCACTATTGAAGAATTTCAGACTCACTTACAAATTGAAACAAAAAATCATGCAAGAGATGCACTATTTCTTGAAGGTTCCAATGTGAATTATGTGAGTGGACAAAATTTTTAAAAAACTCACAAGTCTTCTGGTAAATTTTAAAACAATTTTAAAGTCAAGAAGAATGGATTTAAGAAATTCAAATTTAACAATAATAAAATGTGTTTCTATTATAAAAAGAAAGGACATTTGATTAAAGATTGCAAATTTAAAAATGCTGAAATTAAGATTAGTTATAGTTCTGAAAACAAGGCAAATATGGTTGAGCAAGAAATTAATGAACTTGTTGCAATGGTGACTAACATGCAAATTGGAATGATCACCGAAGTTCATATGGCTACTGCAAATAAGTCATTTGATTGGTGGGCTAGATTCTAGTGCAACAATTCATGTTTGCAATAACAAAAAAGTTCAAGACTTACAAAGAATGCAATATGAAAAATCATGTTCCTACCAAAGTGATTGGAAAAGGAACGGTTGAATTGCAATTCACCTTATGACAGAAACTAACTTTACTTAATATTTTCATGTTCCTGAGATTATAAAGAACCTTGTATCTGTAAATATATTATGTAAGAAAGGCTTTAAGATTGTACTAAAGTCTGATAAAGTTATAGTCTTCAAAAATGATGTATTTATTGGAAAAAAAATTCCAATGATGGTATGTTTAAACTAAGCATTGATGAAATAAATAATGTTTCTACTTATATTGTTGAGCATTCTTCTTCTTTATGGCATGCTAGATTAGGATATTTAAATTATCAATATATAAATCATATGACTAAGCATGGCTATATAACAGACCAAAAAAATTATGACATTAAATGCGAAATCTGTGTCAAAAAAATGACTAAGAAACTTTTTTCTAAAGCTGAAAGAAATACATAACTATTAGAACTCATACATTCTGATATTTGTAAGTTAAATGATTTATTAACAAGGGGAATAAAAAGATATTTTATAATATTTATAGATGATAGTTCTCGTTATATTTTTATGTATCTAATGAGAATAAAAGATGAAGCTTTTGATAAATTCATAGAATATAAATCAATTGTTAAAAATTAAAAGGAGAAGAAAATCAAAATTCTTTGAACTGATAGGGGTGGCAAATATTTTTTAGATTCATTTTCTCTTTTTTATGAAGATAATGAAATTATTCATCAAAAGACAACCCCTTATGCACCCCAACAAAATAGTTTAGTCGAAAGAAAAAATAGAACTTTAGTTGATATGGTAAATAGTATGTTGTTAAATGCTAAATTACCTTTAAATCTTTGGAAAAAAGCACTTTTAACAACATGTCACATACATAATAGAATTCTTTCAAAGAAATTCTTAAAGAGACCATATGAACTTTGGAATCATGGCAAAAAATCAAATTTGGATTATTTTAAAGTGTGGCAGTGCATTGTCTTTTATAAAATATCTCATCCTCATAAATCAAAATTAGGATCTTGAGGTGTTAAATGTATTTTTGTTGGTTATGCACAAAATTCAAAAGCATATAGACTTTTTGATTTAAATACTAATGTTATTGTCGAATCTATTCATGTAAAATTTTTTGAAAATAAGTTTATATGTGACACTAAAATTGATATGGAGGAACAAATTGAAATCATTTCTACGACTGAAAATAAAAGAAAAGAAAGTAATAATTCTATTGAAATTAGAATGAGCAAAAGAACTAGAAAAGAGAATCTTTTACCTTTTGAATTTGTTTCTCTAGATTCTATAGTATTCCTAGTAAAAGAAATAAAACCAAAGTACTTAAGAAAATACCAATTCTACTAAATATAGATGAAGACCCTAAAACATTTAATGAAGCTATGACTTCAATAAATGTTACTTTTTAGAAAGAAGCTATTAATGATAAAATGGACTCAATTGTATCCAATAATACATGGGTCTTGATAGATTTACCTCCAGGTTCTAAACCTATAAGATGTAAGTAGTGTTTAGAAATAAATATAATACATATGGTTTTGTACAAACTTTTAAAGCAAGATTAGTTGCAAAAGGTTTTAAACAAAAAGAAGGCATAGATTATTTTGATATATATGCTCCAGTAGCTAGAATAACATCCATTAGAGTTCTTGTAGCTTTGGCTTCCATTTATAAACTACATGTGCATCAAATGGATGTTAAGACAACCTTTTTAAATGGTGACTTAAATGAAGAAGTACAAATTGAACAACCAAAAAGTTTTATTCTTTCAGGTAATGATAATAAAGTTTGTAAATTAATTAAGTCATTTTATGGGTTAAAGCAAGCTCCTAAACAATGGTATGAAAAGTTTGATTCAATCATAGTAGTCAATGGTTTTAAACATAATGGAGCAGATAAATGCATTTACTCAAAATTTATTAAAGAATATGGAGTTATAGTATGTCTTTATGTGGATGATATGCTAATTTTTAGTACTAATATGATTGACATAAATGAAATCAAAAGGTATCTAATTTTTAATTTCAAAATGAAAGATTTAAATGAAGTTGATACCATTTTGAGAATTAAAGTTACGAGATATAATAAGGGTTTCATTCTTAATCAAAGTTATTATATTGAAAAACTGCTTAATAAGTTTAAGTATCTCAATATAAAAGAAACCAATACTCTATATGATACAAGTATAAAATTAATAAAACATTAAGGTTATATAATTGCACAACTTGAATATGCTAGTGCTATTGGAAGTATTATGTATGCTATGCATTGTACTAGGCCAGATATAGCTTTTGTTATTTGCAAATTATTAAGATATACAAGTAAACTTAGTATAAGTCATTGAAAAGTCATAGGAAGAGTTCTAGGTTATCTTAAAAGAATTAAAGATTTTAACTTATTTTATTCTGGAGATCCAACTGTTTTGGAAGGATATTCATATGTAAGTTAGATCACTAGTATAAGTGACAATAAATTCACTTCAGGATGGATGTTTACCCTTAAAGGTGGTGCAATTAGTTGGGCATCCAAGCAACAAACTTGCATTTCACATTCAACTATGGAATCTGAATTTATAGCTTTAGCTGCAGTAGGCAAGAAAGCTGAATGGCTAAAAAATTTATTAATGGATCTAAAATTATGGTCACAACCAATGATAGTCATTTTCTTGTACTGTGATAGTGAAGCTACTATGTCTAGAGCTTATAGTGAAATTTATAATGGAAAATCTAGACATATTAGTCTAAAGCATGATTATATCAAAGAATTGATAAAAAAAATAGAGTAATTACCATCATATATGTTAATCTGCTAACAACTTAGTAGATCCTCTTACCAAGACGCTACCTAAAAATTTGGTAAG